CACTTTCCATTTCCCTCTACTATCCATCTCCGACAACGCGAATTAATTATGCTGATCGTCCTAGCCTTTCCTGCCTTCGCCCGCCGTCTACTGACCGCATCGCATAGCCGGCGCTCCGACTACCCAGCCGATGCGCAGCCCATGAACTCGTCGCCGTCACACATCCCGTAAGTCAATACAGTTCGTTACGACACATGTCACTGACCATCTTGCTTCCCACCACCATGCCTGCGACGCCGCCAGCACGCCTCACGACGCCGACGACAAAGCTCGCAACGTATGCCGACTTGTACAGGTGAGTTTTGCTGTCTTTACTCGCCCTCGTTTCGCGCTTATCGAATTTTGCCCTTGTCAGAACGCCCGAGATTGTCGATTAGGACACCGATCAGCACCTGGCCGGTTGCTGCGCAAACGCAGAAGTGCTGTCAGGCGAAGGATCTGGTGACCGAGGTGCGTTGACGCCGACATACACACTAGACTGCCACTTACTGACCTAATCCATCTGTATCGTCGCAGCGATAATATTCAATCCAGCTAGAGCGCAAGTCCGCGGCCATCTCCTTGCCCCCGCATCACGCCAGCTTAGCTCCCCAAAGGGCACCCTCTGTACAGGACCCGACGACGCCACGCGCCGTTATTACGACCTTGACATGCAAGTGCGATGCGGCGATGGGATACGGCCCGTCCCGGCAAATTCGCGCGACCCTCAAACCGCCGGAGGCCTGCGTGCGAATACTAGGGTGAGTATCGCGTCTCCACCTTATTATCTGAAGGTCGTGCTGACTGTATACGTGGCCGCTGTCAGGTCCTCGAGCGGCGCTTGATCCCCAAGCCATTGAGTCTTGGTCAGGTTCTCGGGGTCAATGAGGTGAGTAGGACTGTCAGCATTATTCTGAGACCGAGGAAACGCTTACTAACCCTTTGTAGAGCGTCATTATGCGACGGGAGAACCGCCGGAGGCCTGCGAGCGGCCCTAGGGTGATAGAGGCGAAATTCAGGTATGTGCCGCTCTTGGTAATCCGAGCCGCTCGCTGACCGTGCATTGACTTTGAAGGGTCGCCGTCAGGGTGTGAAGGTGTCCCAAGACGTGGGACATGCTGCAAAAACGTCGATACGCAGCGCAGCGCGGCTGAACGCCCACGACGGCGTCATGGTCCCCGAGGTGAGCAGAACCCATCGACTTCGATTCCCCTCGCTCGACCTCATCGTCGCACAGAAGGCGCCGAATGACCAGCTTTATAGCGACCTCACGCGACCCCCCAACCGCAGGAGGCATGCGCGGGGCTCCTAGGGCGGCGATAGCTGCGGAAATTCAGGTATGTGCCGCTCTTGACAAGTCACGACGCTTGCTAATTTCGTACTGACTTTGCGCATCGACCATCAGATTCTGGAGGTGTTGGACGACGCGGAACATGCTGAAATGCGCCAGCCCGCTGCTCGCCGCGTCCCTGCGCGTCCTGAGGTGAGTAAAACAGCTTCAGACTACATTCTCCTCGCCCGACCCGTCCCGATGACTCGAAGCGTCGGCTAACCACTTGCTCAGCGTCTTTACGCGACCCCCACGACCGCCAGAGGCATGCGCGGGGTCACCAAGTGAGTATTGCGAAGGCTCATGTACGTATTGCTCTTTTCCTCCGAGCATCTCGCTGACCATTTCGCAGATGTGCTGGCGCGCGAGGCGGCAGGGTGGGCGATCTCGCGGCCGCACGACGGACCGAGCATGCAAGATATCTCTGGACGAGAGGTCTTCGTCCGTCCGTCAACGCGTCGACGACAGAGGGCGAGCCGCTGTCAACACGAAATCAGGCCACGCGAGAAATGAGCACAGGGACGACTTGGCGAGACACGCGGGGAAGTACAGAGCGTAGGTAGACGGTTCAGAACGCGGGGATGTACGTTGGGGGGCCGCGGCACGGCTGGAGTAGACGGGTAGATGCCGTTGGGCGAAGAAACGCTGCCAGCGCGAGGGAACGAAGGTGAGTGACGTCCCCGCCGATTCTGTGCGTCGACGCTGACCCTGTCATTCGGGATTTATGTTGCCGCACCCCCTGCGTGCCCGCCGTCGCGCTGAACCTCCACGCGAACCCACCCCCACGCACGCCGTCCCCACGATCCACGGCGGGGGAAACTATGCCGGTACGCGGTACGGTGAGTTTCTGACCCTAAACCCCATCCCGCGCATTCTAACATGAGGTCTGCATATAGAACGATGAAGTACATACTATACATGATGTGCCCAAGCCCCCACCCCTCTCCCTTGCCGGCTTCCTGAAGAATTGAGGTATGCTTCCAGTTGTCCCCTTCGACTCGATTGCTCATCCACTCGCAGCGCTTCGCCCATAGCATCCCTCAAGACATTGATAACGACGTGCTTCAAGCGCGCCTACCTTGCGCTTCCAGCCGCCCAAGCATATCGGCCAAGATGTGCTTCGTCAAGAGATTCAGAATTGACCTCTTCAGGCGCTCTCAAGCAGTATTGGTAAGTCATCCTTCTCATCGCTTTTTCCAATCGCTTACCACTCTGCTGTAGGCGTCGAAGCGTGCGGGGGCGGCGAAGGAGAGACAACTCCGAAAGCGCTTCTACCTGCGCTTCGTCCCCAAGGCCGACGTCTTGTATTCTAAGCAAGTATACGAATTTCTCGGTGAGTAATCGCCCAGCGCTTCGTTTCCCTTCCCTTCCCTTCCCTCCCCCTCCCATCGCCTCGCGCTTGCGCATCTCTCCTGTATACAGCTGCCTGACTCTTATCCTACAGATGCCTGACTGCCTGAAGCGCCAGAGGACGACGAAGAAGCGCTTCGAATTCAACGAGAGCGCATTCCGCTCACCCTCGCTCCGCTCCCTTGCCCCTCGCGCTCATCCCCTCCCCCCTCGCGCTTATCCCCTTCCCCTCGCGTTCATTTCCTTCACCTTCGTCCCACGTCCTTTCCCCTCGCTCTACACCATCCTCCCTCACTCCCTTCACCCTCCCTTTCCTTCGCTCTACTCCCCCGCCCACCACCCCTTCTCCCCCTCGTCCCCTCGTCTCTCAAACACAATCTCGCGCTGGCAACACAAAGAGCACGACGACGCGACGCGAATCGCCGCGCTTCAAGAGCGAGGACGCTTGCCGCGCTTCGAGAACGAGGACGCTTACTGCGCTTCGAAAACGCGCTTCAAGAGCGAGGACGCGCTCAGACAGCAAAGAGGGAGGAAGCCGAAGGTGTGCACCCACCTTCCCTTCGCCTCTGACCCCATACTCATCTGTCTCAGGATCGTTTGCCTCGGACCGCTTCGGCAAGGTCATCAAGAAGGAGCTTGAGGGGGGAGGAGGTAGAGGGGAGATGGAGAGGGAGGGGGAGGGGGAGAGGGAGAGGGAGAGGGAGAGGGAGGGGCGAGGGAGGGGAGAAGGCCCGTCTCCCTTCGTCTCTCCCCCCTCCTCCCCTCTTTCTTTCTCCCTTTCCCTTGTATCTGACTCGCTCCGTCGTGCTGATTATATACAGAACACTACGACGCGACGACGCGACTCAGCGCGCTGCGAATGCGAGGAGGTGAAGGGGGAGGGAGTTACAGGTAAGCCCCCACCCCACCCTTCACCCCCTTCGCTTCTACTCGCCCCATACTCATCTGTCTCATCAGATCCAGGCGCTTGAGCTCGGATACGAGCGCTTCCGCGAGCGCTCTGACGAGGGAATGAACGAAGGAAAGGGAGAGGAGGAAGGGGGAGAGGAGGAAGGGGGAGAAGGAGGGGGAGGGGACATTCCCCTCGGCGCTTACAGCCCCTTTCAACGGGGGAAGCGGCGGGGAAGCTGGTAGGTAGCTTCTGGTAGGTACAGTAGTCGTGTACTGGACGTAGGTAGACGAATCAAAAATCGTTGAGCTCACGAAAGAAGGAGGAAAGGGGACAAGGCGCAGCCTTGTGTACCTGCCGCACCCCTCACGAGCGAGCTCAAAGTCGACGAGGAGCTGCGACGACGGCCGACGACGGGCCCTAGGTCGTCGTGTCGTGCATTCCCCTTCCCTTCCGTTCCCCACCTCCTTGTGCATGGCCGCAGGCCTTTCGCACTTTTCACTCATTTCGTGCAGGAAAAAGGATTGCATTAAGTCTATCTACATGTGAGTACTTGTACTAGTCCATAATCTATTCCTATTGTGCGCTTTTTGTCTGCATAAGTGACTGCTGATGAACTCTCGTCCGTCAGTGAATGAGAAATGCGCCCAAGCGCGAGGTGCTCACCAAAAAGCCTGAGACCCGAGCTTGAAGTCGGGCTTGGGAACGGGCGCGACGCGGGGATGCGGGTCGTCTAGGGCGAGATCAGATGCAGGCTCGACAGCACCGTCGAAAGCCGCAGCCTGAAGTGACGCCCCGCTCGGCCAGCGCGGGCAGAGCGGAGGGGAGCGTGGATGAAGGCGGCGGGAGCAGATGAGGTCAGCGAGGCAAGACGCGAACTGGGTCCTGAGCAGGTCGACGTTAGGCGGGGAGAGGCGTGTTTGTGGTGGCGGTGAAGGTGAGAGTGAAGAGGGAAAGAGGAAGGGTGATGATGCTATGCCCAGCAGTGTGGAGGTCGGCGTTCCCCATCTGGCAGGACGACGTCAGTTAAAACTCCGACTGCGCTCCGCCCTTTATAACGCCCCGTGCTCATCACGTCGACCAAGTCTCTCGACCTTGAATATCGCGACCCGCCATCCCATCTCGCGATCCGTTTCCGCTTTCCCGCGTCTCTTCACATCTTCTTTCGCCGCCTAGGCGCGCATCCCTGAGGGAGCCATCGTCAATCAAGGGGAACTAACAGCATGCATCCGGCCAAGCTGAAGAAGATCGACACCAGCGTGCGTGTTGTGCATCCTAAAGCGCGGATTGAGACTGACGATGTCGTCTGCAGGGCTTTTCCGAGCAGGAAAAGCAGCTGTTCGCCAAGTATGGCAAGCTGCCGACGCACAAGAACGTGCTGATGAAGATGCAGAAGGTGCGCGCGCCACATGTCTCGGGTGTGGAGAGGGTGCTTATCCCGCGTTTTCGCAGGACCGCAAGTACTTCGACTCGGGCGACTACGCGCTGTCGAAGGCTGGCGTAGCCCCGCAGAGCACCGTCGGTACGGCGATCCCCAACCCCGAGAAGTGAGTCCGATCGCATACCATCTCATGCCTTTTCGCGGTGTATATTGCACTTCGTTGTGTTTACGTGCTTCGGGCGGGTCTTCGATGCGCCCCCTTCATTTCCGCTGCCCGCGTTACCCGCCGCGTTGTCCTGTTACACCGGTGCTTGTTTGCTGACCCGCCGCCCAGCATCCCTCACGCCTCGTCCCCCTCCGGCAACGGGCACAACAACGGCCTGTCCACCTCGCCCACGAACCCCACGAGTCCCATCAACAAGGAGAGCGGCCGCGCTCTCGACGACGCGCCGCCCAAGCTCGACGACACTGCGCCCAAACCCGACGACGAACCGCCCAAGTCGCCCGTCGCTCAGCCCGCGGTCGAGGTCGGCGGGGATTAGGCGCTGGCTGGCCAGCTCACGACCACGGGATGCACACGACGCATGACCCATCCCTGTACCTTACTCGCCCACCTAGTCTATAGTTCCAGACCTGCCCGCGCGGCTTCGCGTCGTCGCGCTGTTGTCTCTATACGTATCGAGTACGGGCAGGCCTGTGGTTGCGTGTTCGCCCCCCTCCACTAGTGTGTGCGCCTTCCCCCGTTGCATGTTCGCCTTCCCCCGTCGTGTGTGCGCATTCTTCCATTGTGTGTGCGCCGCCCTGTACTGTGTGTCGCATCCCTCCATGCTTTTCTCTCCCACCACCATGCTTGACGGAATTGTAACATTACGCTGCGATACGGGGACCTGTACGTTGAGGAAGGATTCCTTACTATGGAAATGCATGGTTTCTTTGAAGGACCTCAGGCTGACTTCGACGATGGCGAATGTGGATGGAATATAGTGACGTAGAGGGTGAGTCATCCTTGCTTGCGTGTGTTTGGACATGCTGTTGGACGGCCATGCGAGAGAGGGACATCCGCCTCCGTCTGGACTATCATGCATCCTGGGTGGGTACGAGTACGAGCGCTCAACATGGACAGCAATGTCAGCTCCAGACAGATAGATTGAGCCTAGAGAACAGGAACATTACCATGCGCGGATAATATGCGAACGCGCAAGACGTTGTGGGTCCGCTGCGGTACACCCTAAAGTTTGCCACTGGTGGTTCAGTGCCATCTACCGGCAGGTGTGGGGGTCCGTGCCCAAGATCTACTTGTGCACTAAGTTACCGAAGTAGTTTCTCACTGTAACTCGTGTGAGCAGTTGGGTCGTATACCGCATGCGCTGCATTACTGCTTATGGTCGGTATCGATTAGGGGTGAAATCATCTCGTTGTGGAAGGGAAGGATCCACAGGATTCGAACCAGTAACTCCGAGAAGCCGCAGGTTCGAATCCTGCTACTGACAAGTCGCGAGGCTTCCTTTTGCTTTTTTGGGCCCACTGAAGCGCCGAGGAAGTAGCACTCTAACAAAAGATTGCGTGTTCGTTGGCAGGAGTTTGCAGCCAATTGCAAGAAAGGACTCTCACTGTCGCGCCGCAAGGTAGTATCCTATACGTCCTTGCCAATGTCATACTCCAGGGATACACGACGTGCTACACCTACGACACCGCTCAGAAGATGGGTATAAAGTCATTAATCCTGTCCCTTGCATCCTGGGCGATGCACTCCGCGATCCAGGTGATATTCCTGATCTCCTGCTCCTTCAGCTTTAAGTACGCGTAGAACACGCCGTACTGGAACTGCTGCAGGAACGCCTGCTTGTTCAGGTGCACCTCCGTGTGGAAGAACCTGTCCTCCAGCTGCGACGCCGCGCCGAGGTCGTCCCCGCCGTTCGCCGCCGCGCCCGCCTGGTCCTGGAAGAACGCGCGGTACTCGCTCACGCTCTCGCACGCGGCGCGCACCTGGTCGATGTCGTCCGCCTTCGCGAGCTGGTTGTTCCCCTCGGGGAAGAGGCGGCCGATCGCGGGGAAGAGCTTCGCGCGCTGCTCCTTGGAGAGCTCGGTGCCGAAGGAGTTGATGGTGATGTTGACCGTGCGGCGGTCGGCCTCGAAGGAGAGGATGGCGTGCATGACGTCGCGCGTGGGGCCGTCGAGCGTCGCGCAGAAGCGGTGGAAGTCCTCGAGGTAGGCCTTGTAGACGGTGTTGCGGATGATCTCGATGTTGAGGTCGTCCATGTCGGCGGCGGAGAGGCAGTCGCGGAAATAGGGGGCTGATGTACGGGTGAGTGGGAAAGCGAGGGCGGGCGAGGGGATTGGGGATTGGGGACGCACCGAGCGGTGTCTCGACCAGTACACTCTGGTATAACTCCTCGACGTTGGTGGCTACGCATAGCGCCGGCATGGTGTCGAACACACCGAGGGGATGGCACCTTTCCAGCAACTCGTGCGTGTCGCGTTCATGAAGGGTACCAGTAATGAGCAGGACAACATTGTCGATCATGTACGCGTACCTGCGCGATGCTATGTCAGTGGGGTCGCGCAGGGCGAAGCGCGCACACGCACGTGATGTAGTCCAGGAACTTCGAGAGCGGCTCGACTGCGTTGCTCCTGAGGTAGTTGAACTGGTCGACGAGGATCTGCGTCGCCTTGTCCGCGATGGTGGATGTGGAGAGGGGGAGCGGCTCGTTTGCGAGGAAGTTGCCATAGTCGGTCGCACTCAATTGGGTGCGGAAGTCTGCGCCTGAGTGTCAGTTTACTTCTCTGCGTGAGATGTATATGTACGCACCCTCCAGCGTGTCGCATTGCGTGAGGTTGGCATAATGGCTCTGGGTCAGGACGCCCGCCTTGAATCCTCTGACAATGCCCTCCAAGAACCCATTATCGACCTACACGGAACCGATGTCAATAAAGAGCAGTAGATACTCGCTGTCGCTGCGGCGTACGTTGAAGAAGAGGGCCTCCATGTTGCGTGCAACGATGAGGTCGGCGAGAGCAAGCAGTAGCGGCGCAGGGGGACCGGTCACCCGACTCTCCCATCACTCTGCGGCCGTTGCCGAGCTCCCACGCGTCCAGCCAAGGTTGCTTCGTTTTGCTCTCAACGGCCATCTATACTTGCACAAAATGGAATTGCCATTTGTCTTCCATAGCTGTTTGAAGGGCCTCAATTCGTGCACTTTTGCTGCTATCGACTGTTACAGGTCCTTCCGCGCACGGCATGACAAGTGTTTTTAAGACGGTGGCGCTCCTTGTTGGTAACCCCCTGTGTTTCGCAAACAGTATTATCAAGCAGCTCACTTGGTATACCTATCACGTCCAGAACCTCACAAGCTGCAGGGACCATGCTATGGATGGGTCTTCCCTGGTCTGAGCGCTCTTGTCGACGATGAGGTCGTGACCCAAACTCATCTCTCTCCGATCTCTCCCCTCTCTCTCCCCCTCCCCCCTCCCATGTCTCCTTTTTCTCTTTCCACTTTTCTCCTATCTCACCTTTCACTGCTTCTCTGCGACTATCCAATTCTCGAGACGCCCTTTCCCTCCGCCCCCCTCTCCTTTTCGTAGCGTTTGCGACCGCCGCCTCAATCGAAGACTACCGCGCTCAACCTGCACTAATCTGCAGCCACTATCGGACGCGCAGGATTCAAATTTGAACAGGCGCGTACTCCATGCCTCCCTGTGCTAGTCTATCATTCTTGTCCTCGTCGTGTATCATTCTAGCGAACACTTGTGCAGCTCCACTAGTATGGCTTTCGCGTCTGCGACGGTCGAATTCATCCTGCGTGACAATCTACTCTCTTTTGTTCTTCCATTCTGAGGGCGACCGTCCTTATCGACTGAACTATATCGCAAGGCCGATGGGTCACCTATTACGACGCCAATATGAACGGCTTGAATGACAGCTCCGCGCGGGCCTTGAGCGCCATCCGCCGGCTGGGCCACAACATTGACAACGTCCCCCTCTACGCCGTGTTGTGCTGCTTGAGGAGGGGGAAGCCTGTGAAGAGGTAGGAGGGGGCTGACAGCGGGGATGTTTGATCCGTCGGGCAGTCTGGGGGAGGGGACGGGGCGGATGGCGCGGGCGTAAACAACGCATATGTTCCAGCTGGCGCAGCAACTGGAGCAATGGCATCGACTGAGGTAATATAGGATTAAATGCAGCAACGGGACACGAAAAAAAGTGCAGCAACGGGCTCTCCTGTAGCAACGGGGTTGACCGAAGGCGCGCGGGGTCTGACAGCAGGGGCGACGCGAGATGAAGAGGTGCGGTTCCTGCGGAGGAAGGGAGGGCGGTCGCGCCACGGGCAACACCCCGAGAACGCCGTACCGAGGCCTCCAGGTGTCGGATAAGTGAGCGCGTCAATTTGGAGGAAGTCGGGCCATGAAAGGGACCTCTACGAACATACTCGACAACGATTTTGGGGAATACGAACCTATTCGTATACTCTTGTCGGAGAGGGAACAGGACGCTGACATGACCCTTCCGCTGGATCACACTTTGGCTCCTGCCAGTGGACGCTCTTGATACGTATGGCCATATCTAGTACTTCTTGACAGAAGCGCGTGTGCGCCAGCGCAACCGACTTGTTGCCAGCGGGCGTACGTCGGTGGCATGCATCTCCGTCGTGGCTGTGCCGTAATGGATTGCACGAGCCGGCGACCCTGACCGAGGGTTGGAGACTCTGCTTTGCTTGTTTGCTCTGTAGGCGTTGTTTTCAACATACTTGGAAGTCAAGAAGTAGCCAATTTTCGTATGTTTTCCACGCCACAATGGTCTTCACATGGACGGCCCGAGTCCATTGTCCCAAAAAGGTGAACAATGATTGTGAGTCACGTGCCGTGTGGCGTTATTGTTCGATTTGGTTGCAAGGCACGGAGGGAGCTCCACGGCGTTCGCGGTCTATATAACCCGGGCGGTCGACCACAGACGCGTCCTTCCTCTTCCCGCTCCCTCACCACGAGTCTCCGGGTCGCGTAGGCTGCGCCTCGCACATTCCCCTCTTTTCAACGTTCTTTACGAGGACTCGACGCGCCGCGCTCGCACTCCTTCACCATGCACTCCTTCCTGTTCACCGCCGCGCTCGCGCTCCTCATCACGCTCGCTGAAGGCGCACCCGTCTCGCATAGCCGCCGCGCACACCACCACAGGCGCTCGCCATGCACGCCCTCGGACGCTCCCGCGGACGTTCGATTGCCATCGATTTCCCTCCCCTTGACCTCCGCCATCTTCACCTCCCCGTCCGCCCCCGCGTCCTCCGCCACGTCCATGACCGTATCAACCCCCGCCGCGTCTGTCCCCACTAGCGCGTCGCAACCCTCGGCTCCTTCTAGCGCGAGCGCGACAGCCTCTTCGGCTCCTGCCGCCGCGTCTTCGGGATCCGCCAGCAACACTGCGGGCTCAGCAGCCCCTACCGCCTCGTCGACGACCCCTGGCAACACGGGTGACAAACTTGTCGTCGCTCACCATATGATTGGGTGCGTAGAGCGGCTCTCGTCCGACAGGGCTGCTGGCTGACATGTCATCAGGAACGTCTATCCTTACACTCAGGGCGATTGGGCTGACGACATTGCGCTCGCGTCTGCATCTGGAATTGATGGTTTTGCGCTGAACATGGGCACGGATGACTGGCAGCCCGAGCGTGTTGCGGATGCGTGAGTGCTTCTTCGATTGCTGGGCATAGAACTTTGCTGATAGTTTGATAGCTATCAGGCAGCGCAGGAGGCAGGCAACAACTTCAAGCTCTTCCTTTCCCTTGACATGACGTGCGTATCTGATGCCAACTTGTCGTCTCCAACCCAATCTGACACCTCCCTCATCCAGCGTCTGGCCCTGCAACTCCGCCGACAGCGCCTCTAAGCTCCGCGCCCTCGTCAACAAGTTCGCCGACCACCCGAACCAGCTGAAGCTCAACGACCGCGTCTTCGTGTCCACCTTCTCCGGCGAGACGTGCAACTTCGGGCAGGGTAGCGTTGCTGACGGCTGGAAGAGCCAGTTCTACCAGCACCCCGAGCTCGCAGGCAAGATTCACTTCGTGCCGTCCTTCTTCGTCGACCCGGCGCAGTTCTTGCAATTTGCAGACATCATGGATGGTGACTTCAACGTGAGTTGTGCGTGGTCTTCATATGAAGAACAAGCTGATGAGGGCGGTTATAGTGGAACTCTGCCTGGCCGATCGAGGTTACTACCCAGTCGGCGCAGTCGATCTTGTCGGGTGCCAAGGTGGTTTCCAACCTTGCGTCCTCGGTCGCTGGAAACGCAACTGTCGATGGGACGAGCTTTACCAGTCTCCTTGGCGGTCTCTCAAATGCCCTTGGGCCGCTCCTAGGCTCTCTCGACACCGACGAGAAGCATCTCCAGAGCCTGAACTCGCTTTCGGGCAACAAGCGCGACGGTAGCAAGCGCACCTACATGGCGTCTGCGTCTCCGTGGTTCTTCACTCATTACGGAAAGGACTCCTTCAACAAGAACGTGAGTTCGCTGTTCCGTTCCCTTCATACCTCTGCTGACCTCTCTCCTAGTTCCTCTACCTCTCCGACCAGCACCTCTACTCGAACCGCTGGGAGAACCTCATCGCCTCGCGCGACAACTTCGACATCGTCCAGCTCCTCACCTGGAACGACTACGGCGAGTCGCACTACCTCGGCCCCATCAAGGGCGCGCAGCCCAAGTCCAACGCCTGGGTCGACGGCTTCAACCACACCGCGTGGCTCGACATGACGCAGTACTACGCGACCGCCTTCAAGACCGGGTCCTTCCCCGCCATCGAGAAGGACAAGCTGATCATGTGGGCGCGGCCGCACGCCGCCAAGGCGCAGGCCGCGGACCCCGTCGGCCCGCCGACGAACTTCGAGCTCACGGAGGACGCGGTGTGGGCGGTGGCGATGACGGGCGCGCCGGCGACGGTGACGCTGAATGGGCAGAGCTTCGATGTGCCCGCGGGCCTGACGCGCCTGGCGGTGCCGCTTGCGGCGGGCGAGGGCATGGAGGGCGCTATCGTGCGCGACGGGGTGGACACGGTGCAGCTCAAGCCGGAGTTTACGTTCGAGGCGAATCCGAAGACGTATAACTTCAATGCGTTCGTCGCGGGGGCGACGCAAGCGTAGGCGCTTAGCGATTCTCCCCTTCCCCTCCACTTCTTCCCCCTTCTCTTCTCCTCTCTCCACCCTTCGGCACGCGCGTGCGCATGCTCGCTCACGACGAGACGATACCCGTCATGACCAGCGGCTGCGCCGTCTCACGACACGTCTCCCACTGTTCCGGACAGAGAGGGGTTTTAACTTCACGGGTTGGATCCCTTCTCTGCGAGTTGGCTCCCCTCTACGAGTTGGCTCCCCTCTGCGAGTTGGCCCCCCTCTGCGAGTTGGCTCTCCTCTGCGAGTACGACTTCCTCTGCTCTGGACGGCCGCCATACCTGCCGGATGGCAGGGATCCATACCTCCTGGCCGCGTGCTAGCCACCGGCCTCTTGTTCCACTGTCGACATGTTTTCACGCAAGAGGCATCCACACATCTTGTTGTATTTTTAATTCTTTCCTTCGTCCTTTCTCGTGTATGTATTCTACGCGCGGCGAGGGTGCACCGTGTGCACTCCTCCGAGTCGTGTGCTGTATATAGTGTTGAGCTGGTGTCTCGTATAAATGTTTCTTGAAGTGTCGTTGCTTGCGACGACGTCTACGATTTTTGGTGTGATTAGATTCTACTCGAGTCGAACGCAACGTAAGTAATCTACCTACTGTAGTGGAGGTCCGGCAGCGTGCTAAGATTCAGCGGTTCCCTCTGCAGACGGTTGGGGACTTCGATGTCTTCTTGATTTCCTCATTCAGCTCCATCGCAGGGTTCGAACTTTGGTGGGGAAATAAGCTGCTCGCGTGATTGCAATGATCCTTTTGATCGGAACCAAAGTCTCAAGTTGAACTTGACCTCGACGTTCGCCTGACATACGATTTCAATGTGGCGAGCTTCGCAGGGCTTGCTGCTCTTCGACGGCTACCACGATGTTTGTTAGGGCCATATCTGACACCTTGGAAAGCTGAATTCGGCGCGAACTGTGTTTGTCTAGACTCTGGCATCATCATTGCGGCTTGCGGCTCGCCTTTGCGATAACCCACCCTTGGCCACCACATCATCCGTGATTTTCTTCCTCGATACGGCCCACGATGATTCTGTGCGTCATGGAAATCCCCCGCAGGGCACTATGGAAGCTTGTTGAAGTCCCTGGTCCCCCGCTTACACCCATTCTCCATTGAATGTGGGGCTCCCCCTTCATGCGACGACTCGCGCGCATAACGTTGGCCTTCACGTCACTAACTCTATCGCCAGCAACTCGAGCGAGATAGACGCTTGATGATTCGACGGAACGCGAGCGGCTCCCCCGATGGTGCCTCGCAGGAGATCACAAAGTTGCGCGGCGGCTGATGGGCCCGCTTCGTCAGCCACACGCCCGCGAATCGCAGTTCCGAGTCGCAGTCGCGATGTTGGCGGTCCAGTCCGTCCGTTGGTGCCCCTTCCCACGGCGCGCGGGGGACGAGTCGTGTGCGTCAGCGCCTCTCTTGTTTCCTGCCTCGATCTTCGTACAGCACGGCGTCCTAGGAAGCCTTTGGCGCAAAGGTCTCTGCGCCACCGCTGAGGCGAGCATGGACGGTGCCGCGGCGGAAGCTCTGAGCCATGTGTGCGTTCCTCGATCAGTTCTCGGGGCGGAGGCATTCATGCTGATCGATACTTACCAGAGCTTTGTCCCATCGACTTCAGACCGTGGCGTTAAGTAGGTGGATCGACGGTGGTCTCTGCTTTCGAAGCTGATCGTGTTTTCAAGCCATCCTGATCTATGACCACATATTGACCTTCGGTGCGTTCCCCCTTCGTTCAACCATTTCAGCATGCTCACTGAGAGGGACGCAGGCTCTGAAGTCAAGTATATATGGCCTACATGGCGTACCTTCGGTTCCATCGTGTTCCTTCTCAATCGATACTTCGCTTTCGTCGCCAATGTTGTCATCACCGCTATGCAAGATGTGCCTCGGGATCGCTTTGTACGCCCCCTCCCGTCCTACCGCCGCTATGCTCACCCTAACCTCTCCCTCTACCTACAGGAGTAAGTCCTTTGTGGCGCTGGCTTCGTCTTCCCTCCCACTCACCAGTCCCCCTCTCAGCTGCTCTATCTATTCCACGTTCCACAGTACAGTAATTGTCATCAACCAGATCGGTGTTTGCAGTAAGTCTTGCGCTTCGAATTCGCCGCATCCTATCCTCGCTGACATCCTCCAGTCCTACTCACCATGCGCGTATACGCGTTGTACAGCCGCAGTAAGAAGGTTCTAACCTTCATGCTTGCTATCGCTGCGGGGCTGCTGGGACTGGCTTCGGTTCGTCGTTGCCCTCATCACCCCCGAAGACATGATTCTGATATGCGCTTACAGTGGGCCGTATCCGACCAAATCACCTGGCAAGCGCCAGATATTCCATCCTGCCACCGGCTTGCAACGAGGGGATCCATGATTCGTACGTTGGGATGGAGTGCCACAGATCCCCATTACTCCCTAACGTATGCCACTATCACACAGGCCTCGCGGCCGCCTGGGAAGGCCTCCTCGCGTACGACTGCACCATGCTCGTCCTCACTGTCTATCAAAGCTTCCGAGGTCGCTCGTTGTGTAGGCAGGTGCCGGAGCCACTGCTTAGGGTGATTGTGCGAGAGGGGGCCTTTTATTTTGTGTAAGTGTTATCTGATGTGGGGTGAAAGTTTAACTGGTGGGAGGCTGATCGATGTTTGCAGCGTTATGGGGCTCTGCAATCTCGGGAATATCATGACCTTTTATGTGAGTTTACCTCGCTACTCAACTAGCCTCTCGTTGACGATCTTTAATCAGTTCGCCAACGTATGTCATCTCTTCCGTCTCGCTTCGAGCGTGAACTGACTCGACCTCCTAGGAATACCTTCAAGGCTGCTTAGCAGGCTTCTCGAGCTGGTACGTAGTTTCTCCTCGTCCTCTAAGCCTCCCTGCTTCTTCCCATCCTTTGACCTCTCTAACGCATGGTTCCAAATGCTCCGCAGCGTCTCCCTCTCCGTCCTCTCCCACCTCATCTTCCACCTGCACGAGACCGGGCACCGGCGAGCGCGCTTCCCCACCACCGGCACTCAGCGGAGCAGCACGCTCGCCATCACGCACGATAGCAATGTCGTATTTACGTCGCATGTGACGGCGGAGTCGATAGGGATGGATACGATTGAGTGGGATTGAGGGGATGGGATTTGCGAGCGCGAAGGATCGGGAAAAGGCATGACGCGCGTGGCATAGGCCAGAGACATTATACTGCACGCAGATTCTGGACAAGGACGGATGGATAGATGTATCATAGTCATAGTTATCACAGCGTTTACTTGCGGTCGATTCGAAATCAGTGCATCGTTGTTCAGTGCATTTGTTGTACTTGTCTGGTCAGCAACTCTAACACACCCATCATGAGTACATATTGCTCCCGCTTTCCCTGACCCTTTCTTATCCTCCATTCCTCTACATTCTTCTGGAATCCCTTGCATGAGCAGTAGTCGCCGTAGAAGTTCAACCGTGAGGATGTAACGGTCACGCTCTACACGTCGCGACACGTCAATGATCGCACGGGCGCTTGTTCCGCTCGCGCGCCCGCCAGCACCGCATCGCATCTCCGTCTACGCTTTCATCTAACTTATTTCCCAGTCGCTCACAATGTCATTTCTAAGGTGCGTAGGGCTTCCCAGAAGGCATGTGAAGTAGCTGAAGGGCTGCAGGCTGGGCCTATGCGTCGGCGGAGTATACGCTATGTTTCTGGTGCGTCGCGTCCTTCCCCCCGATGAGCTCTGAGCTGAGAAGTCTGTAGATATGGGCCATAGCTCAGGAGAGATGTATGAGCTCCCCCTTGATGTGCAGACATGCATGCTTACCATATACTTGCAGTGTCGGTGCCCTTCGAATCCATAGACGGCACCCCACCCGCGAAGTTCAAGTCCGCCCTCATCATGAGCACTTGCCAAAGTGCATTCAGCGCCCTCGCCGCTCTCTTATACATCTCTCTCCGACGACAACCTGGCGTCTCCTTCTCGCAAGCGATCGGCCTCGAGCCGCCCACACCTAAGCCCTTTACCGCGCAAACGAACGGGCATGCAAAGTCCAACGGACACGCGAAATCGAATGGCGATGCCTCCCTCTCTCCCTCGACCATTACGTTCACCTGGACGCGCCCCCTTATGCGCCGCTTCCTCCAGACCTCCGTCTTCATCGTCGCCGCGGCCCCCTTCGGCTTCGCCTCCCTCCAGTACATCTCCTACCCCGCCATGGTCCTTGGAAAGTCCTGCAAGCTCGTCCCCGTCATGCTCATGAACGTCCTCCTCTACCGCCGCCGCTTCGCGCCCTACAAGTACCTCGTCGTCGGCATGGTCACCCTCGGCATCTCGCTCTTCATGCACTTTGGCGGCGGCAGCGGGAAGAAGCACGGCGGTGGGGTCGCGGGGGAGCGACCGCCGCACGCGAACCTGATCGGCCTATCTTACCTGCTCATCAACCTCGCGCTCGACGGGGCAGTAAACGCGTCGCAGGACGAGATCTTCGCGCGGTTCAAGGGCCTGAACGGGCAGCAGATGATGCTGTGGATGAACACGTTCGGCGCGGCGGTGAATCTGCTGCTCGCGGTCCTGCCGCTCCCGTACATCCCCGTCATCCACCCCTCGGACGGCGGGCAGAGCGAGCTGGCGTCCGTGCTCGCGTTCGTGCGCACGCATCCGGGGGTGCTGAGGCCGCTGGCGCAGTTCGCGCTCACGGGCGCGCTCGGCCAGCTGTTCATCTTCGAGACGCTGCAGCACTTTGGCAGCTTGACGCTTGTGTATGTGATCGCCACTGTGAATATTCGTGCGGCGGGCTGACTTGTCCCGCAGGACCATAACATTGACGCGCAAGATGTTCACCATGCTGCTGTCCGTTTTCATGTACGACCACAAATTGACACCCGGCCAGTGGGCGGGTGCAGGCGTTGTCTTCGCTGGTATCTCCGTGGAGGCCTACGTGAAGAGGAAAGGTGGGTAGCGTTCAAGTAAATGTCCATCACAGCTGCTGACCGTACGCTGCAGAAGTACACGCAAAGCGCGTGATCCAAGAAAAGGAGAAAGCAAGCATCAAGCAGCTATAGAAGCCTGAAGGACATTGTATTTATTGAGCAGCTGCGTGGATAGGATATACCAGGAGGCTAGACAGTGAACACTGATGCGGCGATGTATCGAGGGGACAGTCTACGATGCATGCTGCCCCCAACCAACTCTAGGCGATGAATGCTGCTTCGGATGGGAAGTTTTCAAGACTCTGCTTAGCTGCTCGCGATGAGATCCCACAAGATGCTCGCAGGGGTGACCGGAGATGGCTATGCATAAAGGGAAGGACAGATCTGAAGGGAGAACGGGACCAATTGCAAACAATCACATCACATCGGGCTCACATGTTCTTCTCCCGCGCCACCATGAATTCACGATGCGTTCATAGCGTGCACCCTCCCCAGACTCAAATATGCAGGCGGGGGCGCGGACCTCCCAACTAGCTCTCGTCCTCACCAGCACCACTAATCATGCAAGCCCTCAAGCCCGCCCGCATCTCCCCTCTCTTGAACAACGCAGGACGCAGCTCGCGCCTCCTCAGCGCTTCCACTGCGAACAAGTCCCCCTCCGGGATTCTTCGCCCCTCACCCGCCCTCCGTGCGCCCTCCGCCTCCACATCCTCTCCTACGAACGCCACCGCCCCCTTCGCCTTTCTCCCGAGCAACAGCCTTCCCGCCAAGCCCCGCAAGCGCGGCCTCACCGAGATCCGCGGGCCGTACTACGCGCCGGTCACCGCGACGTACCTCGACGAGCTGCTGAGCGACTGGGGCGAGTATGTGGACGGGGTGAAGTTTGCGGGCGGCTCGTTCACGCTGATGCCGCCGGAGCGGTTGGGCAAGTTGATCGAGGTGGCGCATAAGCATGGTGTGTCGCGTGCGCATGGCCTACTCTGGAGATATTGACCGGGATGCGTAGACTGCTACGTGAGCACGGGAGGCTACATCGAGCGTGTGTTGTCAGCCTCGGGCGGCGATCGCTATGTGATTACGAAGTATCTGGAGGCCTGCAAGAACATGGGGTGCGTCTGCTCCTTCCTGCCTTACCGACGGACGACCTTGACTCAGAGATCCATCCTCAGCTTCGACGTCCTCGAGCTCTCCTCCGGCTTTCTCTCCATCCCCACCGAGGACTGGGCCTACCTCGTCGAGCTCACCGCCGCCCAAGGCCTGAAGCCGAAGCCCGAGATTGGCATCCAGTGCGTATCGCACTAGACCATATCTGATGCGGCGAAAACAAGCAGTTCGAAGTTTTCGAACTTGGGCTGTTAGAAACAAGCCAGGAGTGTTCAGAAACTCGGCGAGCGGGCGTTCACATGGTGACGTCAGGGATCCCTGGGCGCAGACAGGCGCCGCTGCCCGCCAACCCAGGGCTCCAACGCGAGTTACAAACTCTTTACGAACGTCGCTGGTCGAGTTTCTGAACACCATAGAGCGTTTTTTGTTTTGAGTTTCGCCGCTTCAGATATGGTCTATTGCTCGCTCGCCCATTTTCTTGTCCCTTCTCTGACCACTCGATCACCATAGATGGGGCGCCGGCGGCGACGCCTCCGTCGAGGAGCTCGAATCCGCAGGGACGCGTGATCCCAAGTGGCTGATTGACCGGGCGAAGACGTTCCTTGATGCCGGGGCTTATGTGCGTTGGGTCTTCCTCTCCACCCATGCTTCCTTGCCATCCCCGCCTCGACTTCCTCCCGCCTCAACTTCCTCCCAACTCGACTTCCTCTTGTTCCTCCCTCCGTACCACCTGCTAAGTCCCACCCCTCAGATGATCATGATCGAGTCCGAGGGCATAACCGAGAACGTGCGCAACTGGCGGACGGACGTGATCTCCGCCGTCACCAGTGCGCTCCCGAAGGAGAAGATCATGTTCGAGGCCGCGGATCCCGAGGGTGAGTGACTGTATCTGCTGATGCGGATAGCGACGAACTCACGCACCGGACCTCATCCCAGTCTTCGCCTACCACATCCAGAATCAGGGCGCCACCGCGAACCTCTTCATCGACCACAGCCAGATCGTGCAGCTCGCGTGCTTGCGCAAGGGGATCTGGGGAACAGGAGGTGAGTGTTGCTTTTGGTCATTCTGTTGACTACATTCTGTGCGGCCACACTCAAGAGCTCTTCGCGGTCACGTTCAATAGCCCTTCGCCGTTGCGTTCGACGACCGAACTCACGCACTTGCAGGTACCTTCGCCCGCATCGTCACCGTGCAGGGCGACGATTGATGAATTCAAATGAAATTTGTATCCACTGACAGCGTACTGACCTCTCACCTTCGTACTCTTACCCACCCTGTATCTTTCAGTTGACGCGCGCGTCTTGTAATTGTATGATTACATGCTACGATGAACCTTCCTCTATGCGCTCTATGAGGGTGTGGGCCGTCCTTGACGTTGCAATTGCGAGCGGACGTTGACTGACTGAGAAAGTGCTCACTGGGAGACAGGACGGCCCTTTACTAGCTGACTATGACGGGAAAGCTGCGATTATACGGTGCTTACAATTCCTAGCTGCATTCCACTGTGCATGAACCCGGGTAACAGAACTACGAGAACATAATAAAGAAAGAAGCGATACAAGAGGGTTCGTATTGAGGGATTGGATGTATGGAGAATTGAGAGCGAGCTGCGATGTGAGGCAGCGATAGGCAGCGATGGCGCAGCGATTGGCAGCGGCAATGCAGCGATGGGTAGCGGCGATGCAGTGCCATGAAAGACAGAGCCACTATCACTATGTCTCCATGGCGTTGGGATCGTGTTCCGGTCCCGGGTTGGGATCGACCATCGCGCGTTTCCGGTCCTCCATCGCGCTGCAAGGGGATCGTCAATGGCGGGATCAGCAGACCGACACGACCACGCACCGGTCGTTCTCGTCGTCCGACTCATCGTCGGCGCGCTTCCTACGCGCCTGGCGGTCGCCCATGTGCGGGTGTTGCGCGACCGCGATGTTCGCGCGGTAGATCGCCTCGTATTCCTGCGTGGCGAGGGTGAGTGAGGATGACGATGATTGTGTGACGGTAGCCACCCGCCCCGCGCGTGGCGCGCACCTTGATCTGCGTGAGGAAGCCGCCGTTGGGCGAGATGCAGTAGCGGCGGTTCTGCACGAGGTGCAGCGCGTCCTCCCAGTTGAGCTGGTAGTACTGCATCACGAACATGACGACAAACGCGGGGGAGAGGCTGATGCCGCCTGCGATCAATGAGCATGCATGCATAGTTGCTGGACTGGGCCATACGCACCGTTACAGTGCACCAGGACCTTTCCTCCTTGCGATATCGCCTGGTCAATGAATGCCTTGGCTCTGCGCGCGGTCGGCGGGGTGCGTTGAACGAGGGTGGCGAGGCTCACCCTGGAAAGAGGCGGATCAGGTTCTGCTCCTCGTTATCCTCCACGTCCAGCGTCATATACGCGAAGTGTTCAGGGAAGCGCGGCTTGACCGTGAACGCCTCCTTCGCATCGCGGATGCAGACTCTGCAAGGGCGGGGTCAGCGGACGCGCTCAGTGGCGGCGATCGTGTTCACGCACACATGAGTGATGCCCAGCGACTTCAGCGTTTGTAACTCCTTCGACACGACGAATGAGCCAAGATAGAGCCCGGGCAGGATCTCCTGGCACTGCCGGCGCATCTCGTATCTGCCGCGGGGCGCGTTCAGTCAGAATTTGCCCATCATCTAGCACTGTGCGCGCGGGCCGCCAGTAATTAGGGAGCGTGGATGCGTACTTCCACTCCACATCGGCGGGGCCCTGGATGAAGTTCTTGAGCTGCTCTGGGCTGTACTGTATTCGGTTGTACGTCTGGAGGCCGTCCATCGTGTGCGAGTGAGGGTGGGGGTCAAAGAGTGAATGGCGAGCGCGGCGAGGTCCAGGACAATGGGGCCTGACGCTCACGTGCGCCCGTCACAGCGCCCGTCACGCGACGGCGGCACGCGACGCGGGGTTGGAGCCGACGGACCTCGGAAGAAACGCGACTTGCTCCTGACATCCATCTTACCAACTCTTCCCAGACGCGCAGAGAAATATGTTTGACGACGAGGACGAGATACCGTGAGTCGGCGCGCCCATCGCAGACCAATATCGCAGCCTAACTGGCCCACAGCACGCTCATTGAGCACGAAGTTCCCCCAGCACTTGATGACCCAAGTGCTTTAGCCAGCAAGAGGGTGCCTCTCACCATAATATGCGGGTTCCTCGGTGCAGGCAAATCCACACTCCTCAAGTGCGCCTTAACCGCTGCCCCCCATACTTCCCACTAATTCGTTCCCCAAGACGGATCCTCACCGAAAAGCACGGCTATCGCATCGCCGTCATCATGAACGAATTCGGTGACACCGCGGTTAGTACTCTTCTCCCTCTCCGCCAAGATCACTCTCTTACGAACCATGACAGTAGGATATTGAAGGTACGCCTCCCCATCCCCCTGCGCCACTTACTCTCACCGCCTCAATTTACCTCACAGCCAAAGCCATCAACGTGTCCTCACCTGATGATCCGGCCGCGCAGTCAGAGGAGTTCCTCGAGCTCGCGAACGGCTGCCTGTGCTGCAGCATCAAGGATGCGGGTTTGGCGGCAATCGAGAAGCTCATGGAGCGCAAGGGCGCCTTCGACCATATCTTGCTTGAGACGACGGGGCTCGCGGATCCAGGTAGGTGACTAAACATGGGAATGGTGGAGAGTGGTCTGATGATTTTATTAGGCCCCATCGCAAGCATGATCTGGCATAATGAGGAGTATGCGCTCGGATTGGGCAAGGATATCGCTTTGGACGGCGTTATCTGCGTCGTCGATGCGGTCTTTGGCAAGCAGGTAGGGCCTTCACATACATCGCCGCTCCCCTTGCTTACTCGCCTATCCTTAGCAAATGGAAGAGGATTCTTCGTCAGACGATTCCGAGGTCGGCGAGAGTCTTCGGTAAGCATTTCTCTCGAGATTCATCCTAACACCATCTGTACTGCATCCTCCCACCGCCATGTCAATAATTCTCGATGCTGACGTCCTCCCTAAGTCAAATCGCCGGCTCCGACATTATTTTGCTGAACAAGGTTGATCTTGTATCGCCTGACACCCTCGCTGCCACGGAGGACCTCATTACGAAGGTGAACCCCGGCGCGCCCGTGTACCGCACCGTGCGCGGTCAGATCGACCTCGGCAAGCTCATGGGGATCAGAGCGTACGGTTCAGCGCCGGTAATTGCTGAAGATGACGGTGACGACGGATCTACTCCCGCGTCGAAGGCAAACGACCCTATAACGCACACGGGTTCAGTAGCGCACTCCGGCGCAGCGCGCGAACACGAACACGGCCCGGACTGCAGCCACGATCACGATCCCAGCACCCCTCATGCTCACAGGCAACCGCACAGCACGCACTACGAGGTGCGCGGCATATCGAGCTTGCGCGTGAACGTGCCGCCCTTGACGCCGGACGCGCTCGGCGAGCTGGATGGGTGGGTGCGCGAGGTGCTGTGGGAGGGGCGGCTGCCGGAGTTGTCGAAGGACACCCCGCCGGAAACGTCGAAGGACACCCTGTCGGAGTTGCCGAAGGACACCCTGACGGAGTTATCGAAGCAGGGACGGTTGGCGGGGGAGGGGGCGGCGTCGACAGGAGCGGCGGTCGCGGACCCATCCCTGTCTGCCGCCCCGAAGGAGGGTTCGCCATCGAAGCAAGAAGGCTCATCGCCGAAGAAAGAAGCCGCGACAGACCCAGTACAGAAGAGAGATCCCCTCCTCGTCCTGCGCTGCAAGGGCCTCTTCGTCACGACGACTGGCGAGCGGTACGTCCTGCAGGGCGTGCGGAACATGTATGATCTGTTCAAGGCGGAGGATAATGGACCCAAGGCAGATGATGATGTTTCCGGTGTGCCCAAAGAGGGCAAGCTCGTCTTGATCGGCAAGGGTTTGGGCGAAGATGTACGGAGGAGCTTGGAGAGGTTGTTCTGGGGAGGGAAGGAGGCGAAGGAGCTGAGTTGAACGCGTATCATCAATGCGGCGCTGACACTGGCTCGACATGCGAAATGATTCTCCCTTGGCTTGTACCGCTAAGGTGTGCTGCAATGCTCAAGACTAGTATGAAACATCCGTCCTTCCATCCTGGTCCAGTCTGCGTACAATACGAATTCATCGATCGCGGCCCGACGTCGTGCTTGCGCCCTTGCTTTTGTGGTAGATCAGCACCAACCGTGCTCGAATATTACCGCGAAGTACGTCGCAATGCGTAAGCTCTATTCAAGAACTTGCGCCGAAAGTTTGTTTCTTGAGCTGAGAGTGCCTCGAAGAAGGCAGGTACTTGTAAAACACCTTACATGGTGGGCCGGGCTTGGAGTGGACGTTCTACGGCCCCGCCTTCATGGCAGGGATCCAAACATCGGGAACGAAGCTTGTGTCCGTATTGCATCTGTACTTATAAGTACGACAATTACACTAGATCAGACAGATCGTACGGATCGACCGCTTCTGGCTTAGGGATCGTCCAGTCAGGAGCGGGGCGCGTAGGAGCGGCCTCCTCGCCGAGGTGCACGCGTTCGGCGATGAGCGCCTCAATCAAATCGACCCTCTCCTGCCATTCAAGCAGCTCTTCCTGTTCTGCTTCCAGCCGAGCGGGCAACGCTTGCACAATCGGCTCCTCCTGCTGGTGCTTCATTGTCCATCGGAATCGCGGTGCGTCGGGGTCGGCCTTCCATGCTTGAACGAATTCTTGTCTGCGTCCTTCGAACGCCTCAAGGACCTTTGGTGTATGGACCTCGCGTAACCGCGAGATGAAGGCATGGAAGCGTAAAGCCTGAGAGGGATCGCCAATGTCCCATCGCGGACAATTGGTGTCCGCGATGTTGGTTATCACATCGGTGTGCTGCGGGAGGGCGTTGGACGTTGTGATGTTGGCGAGGAAAGGGACGTACCTCCGTAGTCTCCGAAGGCTTAGAACCCCATGCACAAAGTAAGATGCCGGTGCGGCCCGAGGAAACGAGAGCGAATACAGGAAGGTCATATATACCGATGATAGCATAGAACCTGGTCATTGACTGCAGGCGCAATCGAGCGCAGTCGTACGCCCGGGTGAGAGAGCCGTGAAATGCTCGGTCGTCGAACGAGATGATGGGTAGTTCGAGTGCTGACATCGAGCGTGTCAGATTTTCGGGGTCAATAAGAACGGCTGGACGTACTATCATGTATATTTGATAGACAGATCTCCTTTGAGGGGTCGACAGAAGCATCGTGAGGGTCATGCAGACTGCGCGTTGTCGACGATGGGAAGAGTTCGGCAGCCGAAGGCGAGGGGCTTGACACAGAGCTGCCTGGATCTGGATTTATGCCCAGGCGTCGCCTCACCTCGTCGAGGATGTGCGGCAGACGCGCTTCGGCATCTACATCCTCGTCTTCTTCCTCGAGGCAGGGCCCGGGATTGCGGGGACGAAGCTGGGGCCCTATGATGCGAAAATCGGCGATCTTCTGCAAGATGGACGGGTCCGCCGTGGCAGGAACGCCAAAAACGCCAGCGACCGAAACGAATGCGATAGTGTCGCATGCGCCGAGGTGGGGATCGTTGAGAACACGGGCGTGAACATGACATGACTGTTCCCTTCCGGCGCGGCCCCCCCATGCATAGGTCTTCTTTTGGCGCCGTATACACGTGCTCAATACCACTTTCGATATTTTGTCAGCGTGGTCTTCTAGCCAGGCGTCGGGAGGGCAGCCAAGGAGCAGATTCTCCTTCTTAGTTGCCCAGTTGCAGCCCGTGCGTCTCGCGGCGGCGATGTCTGCGTGCGCATCTGCAATGTCCTCCCTATCCGGGAAGTCGGCCGTTGCAGCGCTGTCGAGATACACGTCGCGAGCGAGCGGAATGCCGGGGCACGAGCTGACACAATTTAATCAGCGGTGGAAGACGTCGGGAGAGTACAGTGCCCACCGTATATGCCATACATCAGGGGCGGTCGACTGCTCGTCACCGCACAGCGCAAGAACAAGCGATAGCCAGGGTGCTCTTGCGCAAGACACGTCGTTCACGTGGCGTGCTCTCTCGCAGATACTTTGAACGCAATGCACTAGACGGGTGATAGACGAGCAGAAGTGGCCGTAAGGATGAATCAGACCCGGGAGACTGAGCGTAGCTCTCATGGAACGCTCGTAATCCATTTCTTGCTCGAATTGAGCCAAAATGTGCTTCTCCTGCAAATGTTCGTTTTGTCATCGTTCGAAACGGGACAAGTTGTGAAGGCAGCGCACTCGAGTGGTCAGTTCCAAAGTCCTATTCTCGTCAGATGATCCATATGCGACGGAAGGCCAGACAAGATCATCAAGTATTCCATGAAACATTCGCGTGACTTGAGGGTCTTGGGGTACACTGTGGAGAGGCCATACACGGAATTGGACCTTATTCTCGACTAAGATCTCATGCGCTCGTCTAAGATGTCGTTGAGTCCCAAGCTTCGCGAAGATACACGAGTACTCACAATCGCATACTTTCCCGTCGTTGCGAGTCAGAATTCTCCCTGAAGCTTCGTGAGGAATCCGTGATCCTGCGTAAGGTAAATAAAGCTCACTGCGCAAGTTGTAAATGCCTGATCAACGTTGTTCGTCAGCTCAATGATTTGTACCGAGTTGAGGACAGAACATACTCTACCAGATACTCGTCGCACTGGGACAGTTGCCAAACCAAGTGTTCAAGAGAAAGTCCTCGTAGTAGCAATCGCTCGCTGACAGCCATTCAGCAAGGATCCAGCCACACGGGGATGCAAGGCGCGAACTCTTCGCTAACATGTGCGCTACGTAGATCAGTCAGTTCAGGATGTCTTCGATATGTCAGGCAAAGCGATAGCTCCTCACATTGGCGGCGTGGGGCAAGTAGGTGATACGCTCGATCTGCCACTAAGACGACAAGGTCATCGCCGATCGCTTGCGCCAGTTGTATAATCACTTGCCTGCACTGTTCAGACCATTTCCGTATCGATTCTCTCGCTCCTTGCAGGTTCTCCGGATCAGTGTCGTGCCATCGCATGAGGTCCAGTCGCCAGGTAGGGTACCGCGGGTGCATCAAAGTTTGTCGAATAGACAGTACACGTGCCTGCACGTCGACGAGACCAGACACAAATTCTTCTGCACTTGATGATAAAGCGTAAGCGAGTAGCCGTGCGGAGGACATATCAGATATATCAAGGACACCAAGGTGCCTGTTGGGCCGAGAGTCAAGAGGCGCATGAGCAACTTTGAGCTGCACCTGGAGGACGGGTTAGGCGGACGCGCTCTGACGCAGGACGGTCATGACACGTACACAATCATGATCAAGAGCAGGGGTGAACCAGCCATATAATGCGTTGATGGTCCATTGGCCAGGCGAGAACGTGAGCCCTAGGAGCGGTTGATTCATTCGAAGGGCCCTGCGTTGCATCAAGGCGCTCGCCATCAAGCCATAGATCTCATCGTGAGGAGCAATACATAGTAAAGCGACAGGCACGGGATCTTTGGCGTTCTGAGAAAGTGACAAGCGTGCGTTGGCGAACGGATGATCTGGGTGGGAGGTAGTCACGAGCTGAGTAGTACCGTCGCTGGTACGAGTAGGATTGGTATGTACGTGCTAGCCGAGAAACGTGAGTATATATTGTAGCGTTGTAGTTTGAAATTACCTTCGGCGATGATCTGGGAATTTCTGGCCCTTCGTTGTCCTCAAGAGGAGCATCGTCGCACGCGGGTACAGGGAGTGCCGCAGCAGATGATTTGGCAAGTAAATCAATCGGACAGGTCACTACTGCCGTCGCACGCCCATAATGTGGCAAAGTTCCGGCAAATGAAGTGCTTGAGATACAGGGCCAGATCGCTCTCGCGTAGTATACATCGGCACTGGATTTGTTAGTTGGGATCCCGTCACGGTAGCGTCATTCAAGGACGTACTAGCAGACACCTCCGAGAATGTCAGAGGAGAGAATACCGCCAAAAGTGGCAAAGATACGCCCATGATGACTCGGTCCGAGATGCGGTAATTGCCGCTCAGATGCAGCCTGATCTCGGACCGCTCGTATAAGGCCTTCGACCTTCGGAAAAGGGTACAACAACTAATCAGAATCAGTCCAGAGTTGAAGTCAATGACTGTGTCTGCGCGTCCGGATATCGTCGTGCTCACCGTGGAATGAGGGGCGCCACTCAGATGACGTAGGAACTCACTCGTTGCCCGAAGGTGCTGAAGGGTCGTGGATAACAAGGGGCTGAATTTGAGGACCCGAAAGCTGACAATAGTCGCCAGGACTGGGCATCTCTATGTGCTGCTGCTTTCTGAGGCACAGAGTCGGAGGTGCAAGTCGGAGGAGCGGAAAACATCGCAGTTCGGCAAACCCCGGAATCAGCCTTCAAATATTGACATATCGCGACGCGTTGGGGGTGGCCTGCGTTATTACCTCACGGTCAGAATTCAGAAGTACTCGCTTTCCTGTCAGACAAGGCATGGTATATAGAATAGAGTCCCTTATTGGAAAAAACGGTAGGTCTACGTACTCGGATAGAATAACAGAGGTAGGTAGAAGCAGCGACAATGTCTCATAGGACGATCTCTCGATAGCGATACATGACTGAGATTTGGTATCTATAAGGCGGTATAAGCATACAAGCGAGCGTATTCCATAGTCTGGCGTAGTATATATCCAAGGAAGCAGGAAGTAGAAGAGGAAATTTCGAGACAAGATAGCGTCAGGTATGATGATCATGTACAGTAAAGTACTCGAACCGCTCGGTCACCGCCTTGACATCTGCCTCATGTTGCACCCTTGACAGGAGTCCAGGTTGCAGGGTCGCGCCCAGCGCGTACTTGGAGTGTGTCTCTGGCAGGTAGCGGAGGTTGAAGTATTCGGGAGCGAGTTCGAATAGCCTGTAAGCCCATCAGTTGATGCGCGGATTTTCCGAAGTACAATACTTACCATCCTGGGTCAATAGCAGTAACCGTACGCAACGTGGGATCCGGAGAAAGGACCAGCTGGTCGTACACCACCCAGTCCGGCGTCGCCTCCAGCCCGCTGTCGACATGCAGCGTCGCCGGCACATCATTCTGGAACGTCATATACGTGTCGCCCTCCCTGTGCGCGACCTGCGTGAAGAACCCGTACACGAGACTCCGGGCAATGCCGCGCTGCAAGTGCGCCGCCGTCGGCGCCTCCGTGGGCGAAGCCAGCGAGGGATCGATGCGAAGCATCGTCTTCTCCAGCACGTCGCGCATCAGCACCGCTTCTTCCAATGCCGCCTGCGAGAGGAACATCTTGTCCGTCCAGCTGCGGCCGTGCCGGTCTGCGAAGAGAAGCGGTGAGGAGAGTTCGCGGACCCACGGGCGCGGCGCGCGCACTTGATTCGGCACCTACCTTTGATTCGGGAGTACGTGTTGTAGATGTTGAGTAATGTCATGTGGTCGCTGGTGGGCGAGGTGGACAGGAGCTTGTGCGCCATTTCGGCCTCCTCCTCGAGGTCAGGTGGGCGGCGGAATATTTCCTGGCGGTATTGGACTGCGGTAGAAGTTAGAGCGGTTGGGCCGGGCTTTTAAGGCAAGCAAGCGTACCGTGCAGCATGGCAGAGATTTTCAGCATTTCGCGGTAGCAGCAGCATTTTGGCGCTGCCATCAAGGCCTTCGCCAGCTGTGACGGATGGGTGAGATTTGAGAGTTCAAGCAGACTGTTGACTAGTAATCTCACCTGTGGCGCGACCGGTAGCTTAGCCATAGTCTCTCCCAGGCGTGTCAGTCTCCCAGCGCTGTCAAGGGCCTTCAGATGCGTCAGGAGGTCTATCGCACCCTCCAGCACGCCCGGAGGTGGTGGGTCTAGGTAGCTGAAGGTGAGAACGTTCTATACGATGTCAAACAAGGTTCGCCAGCAAAAAAAGTCCTTGAACCCTACCTTGACCCCGAGGCCAATGAGGTGCAATACGGCGGAGGTCAGGTCGGCGGTCAAAATCTCCGGCAAAATCTCGTCTTCCGAGTTTTCGTGGTAGTCCTCCCGACTGAGCAGTCGGAAACACTTGCCAGGGCGGAGGTGGCCAGCGGCGTGCTTGCGCAGAGATCCCGACTCCTTGTCCGTAGGTATCAAGCGAGAGGTGCTCGCTCGCAGCGCAGGGTCGTATATCTGTCGCTTGGAGAATCCTGGGTCGATGACAAAGGCGATACTCGGGATAAACAACGCAGATTTGGCCAGGTCGTTGCAGACGAAGACTCGACGTTGGGGAGGCCCGTGAAGCGTAGCGTATACTTTGGCCTGGATATCTGCAGGTCGCATGTGCTCGTGCACGGGAATGGCAGTAAGGGGAGGAAGACCGGGCTCGACTGTCTCGTGGATGAGTTTGCAGATGTGCTGTATTTCTTCGTCCTCGGTAAGAAATAGAAGTATGTCTCCAGCCTCCTGCGTCAGATGGATATCCGTGACGAGCCCGAGAGCGTCGTCGATAAGGGCGGTACTTGGTTCCCGTGCGTAGTGCGTGCTGACAGTGTATTCGACGCCCGTCAGTCGTACGTGCCCTCTGACGCCAAAGTAGTCTTCGAAGAGGGACACATCGTCCAGCGCAGACATCAGCACGAGCTTCAGATCTGACTGCTTCCGAATCACATCTCGGAGCAGACAGATGAGGATATCCGAGTATAGCGAGCGCTCATGCACGTCGTCCAGGATGATGACCGAGTATTTCGAGAGGTAGCGATCAGAGAGCATCTCCCGCACGAGCGCCTCGTCGGTGAGGTAGACCAGCATCGTCTGGCGCGTCGTCCTGTTCTCGGAGACGGTCGCATATCCCACGTGTTCGCCGACGGGGACTATAGGGAGGGAATTAATCTTCCTCATATGAACCGAGTCAGACGCTAGAACACGGCGCGTACCTTCCAATTCCTGAGCCACTCGATGGGCTTGGATAGCAGCCATGATTTTCCGGGGTTGTACGCAAGCGACGGCCTTGCCCTTCTTGTGTGGCATGTCCGCGTAGATGATCAGTTGTGGGATCCTTAGCGTCCGGACCCTTCAGATGAGATAATCTGAACATGACTGTGAAGACGTACTGTGTCGTCTTGCCAGCGCCAACAGCGCCTGTTACGAGGGTCACCTTGCGCTGGTTGAACTATCGATGCATCAGCAAAAAGGTGCTATTTTTTAGGGTCGCCACAGATGGGCTCACGGATCGGAGGAACTCATCCGCCTGTGCGTTGGCCGGGAGCGAGCTGCGACTCGAGAGGAGCTCCTTGTAGCGTGGCGTGTATCTCCGCTTGGTGAACGGACTGATGGAATGGGCCTGCGCTCGCTTGACCTGGTGTCCAGTAACCTGCGAGGGCACGAGCCCATGCAGCGCATCGTCGAAGGGTATATCGTCGGCAGAGACCTTGCGTCGCTGGGGTAGAAAGTGTCGAAACATGGGCGCCTTGAGAGAGGTGGGAGGCGCAGCCAACGTAAGGCCAGGCTGGTTGATATCTTCGCACATCACTGTCGCTTGCCGGAGGCGGTCACCCGACCACTTTCCGCCATTCATTGATTCATTCGCGCACCCAGGTCCGAGCGTGTGGAGGCTGTAAGACGGTCCTGGTGAGCTTGCACGATTTGACCTGGATTGTGGCGCAGTGAATGGCACTAGACCCTTCACAGCTGAGGTGACAGCGAACATAGCGGGGTCCACACATCGAAGTTCGGAACACGGTGTTACGCGGGGGTCACGCGCTGATGTGACCACTGCGGAGGGGCCGGGAGATGCCGGGACCTACAACTCTTAAATTGCCTTATCCGGCCATTTAGGGCTGCAAACACGCCACCTTGGCCTCTTCTGTCCTACCTTCAGCGAGCAACGAGCACGACAGAGGCACAGAGAACCTAATTTCTGCCGGTAAGGCAACAAGAAACTCGTGTATATCCATATGCGCGTATACAGTGGTCGAACTCTCCGAAGCCTGCATGATTCCTTGTGACGTGAGGCCAGGTCGGGCCACGACGATATGGGTATCGATAGGTCAGACGTACTAAGCCCCGATCTCGGCGCCATTAGCAGGAAGCAAGAAAGATGACGCAGCGACGCTTCTGTTGGCCGCTCTCGCACCGGTCAGGGTGGACGAATCCAGACTGGCGAAGGAAGCGTCGCTGCGAGAGCCCGAGTCCCACGAACTCGAGGATGCGTTAGGCTGGGGACAATGCATACGCTTGCATGACATTGGTAACCCTGCTATCTGACCTCGTCTGTGAGCGACGTGTCGATCCCATTAGAAACTGCATTGTTGCTCATCAGCGTCACCGTGTTCCAGGGGTTCGAAGTGCATCCCAATGCGCGTGTTGTTCCAGGCCGTGTTGCGCGTGAGGACCATGTCCCCGGGCTGCCTATTGTCCAAGATCCCGCCCGTCGCGTTTTAGAAGGCCATGCAGCTCGTGATGACGTGCGCCGCGGGTTCCATGATATACTTGTCGTCGGCCCCGAGCTTGAGGTCCCGTTGGCGCTACCTCGAGAAGTTCGAAGCCGTTGTCGTTTCCCCCAAAGCTCGAAGCCCCAGTGGCTGAGCCCATTGCCCCAGGTGTAGGTAGTCTCGACCGTGACGAGGGAGCTGAACTCGCTACAGATGGGTTAGTTGGATGGTGAAGGTTAGAGAAGAACAGACGTACATGAAGTCTACGCCGCCGTCGACGTTGTTCCGAAGGCGGGAACCGCGGACGACGTTTCCTTCTCCGAATCCTTGCTTTACAGCGAGTCCATCGGCGCTCTCGCCGTTCTTGCGAGGGGTAGCTGGGCACAAGGCATCAGCTACCAGTTTGACGCGATAGGGGATCAGAAGCCTTACCTATCCAGGTTCTCCACAAGATTGTATCTCGTCTCGCATTGGATTTGGAGGCCTGGGGGGAAGGGGGGATTATTAAGGTAACCGCAGTGCCTAACGCGAGAAGAAGAAAGATTGAGGATAACGAGCGCAGTTCAAATTTGAGCGAAGATGAGTGAGCATCGTACGTCAATAAGTACATCGAGACATGCACTTGAAAGCAGCCAAAGGGGAAGACACGCTGACGGTCCAACGATGTCAGCGCAGGCCAGAACAACCATAGACCGGATGAGCTTGGACTCGAAGTAGTTCGTCGCATGAGTAGCGAGATGTCAAGGTTCAAAATCAGCATACCACGCTCAACCTTGAGAATGATTGTGCAAGTTAAGGAGGTGCGATTTGGACCGACGACGTGTCCCTTCCAAGGTTCGAACGAAGGGCTGATGACCCCTCATCTTCCACATGCGCAGTATAAGAGAGTCGCGCGAGTTACTTGGTACAGAATTGGATGGTCGCGAAGGACGTTCTGGTGGTCGGAAGCAAGGTGTCAAACGAGGTCCGCGTCAATTGCGCGAGCCAAGAAACAGTGTGTCAGGCACGTGCATATATGTCACTGTGACAGTTCAACCGTGACGGAGTTCGGCGAGCGCCGACTTGAAGGGCAAGAAAAGTAGTAAAGGACGAGGTACTGTGGACAGGACGCGCAATGAAAGATTAAAAAAGAGGATATCAAGTGATGCCAGCAATCTATACGATAAGATAAACATCAAGATACCCTCAAAAGTCAAGAAACCAGCTAGATCGCGCGACTCCCCTCCGGTCCTACCGCGCCGCATACTCCTCCGACATCATCAAATCATACACCTTCTCACTCAACGACTCCCCCACCATCCGCACCCCCTGCCCCACATCCTTCAGCAAATGCCTTGCCGGCCGCACCTGGCTCTTCTTCCTCCTTCCCCCCTTCACCGCCCTTGCTTCCATCTCCTCCAGCGCCCTCTCCTCCCTCTCCCGCTCCTCGTCCTCCCTGAACGCGTCCCGCAGCGCGCGCGGGCACGGGTATCTCTGCACCACCGCGCCCGCCTTCTCCGCGCTCATCAGGCTCACGCGCAACAGCTGCCGCGCCCACGTCTCCCTGATCGTCGTGAAGCCCGACTTGGTGTTCAGCAGCTGGAACGCGGCGAACGTTGTGAGGTACTCGCGGTGCGGCTCGCGGCGGCGGAGGCCCTTTTGGAGCTTGAGGTACGTTTGGCGGCGGATGAGCTCGGAGGGGAGGACGTTGAGCGGCTTGCCGCGGTAGCGGTCGAGGACGGCGGCGTGGAGGGTGGTGTAGTAGGCGATAGTGTCGTTGATGTGGCTGGTCTCTTTCACGCGGAAGTGGTCGACGACTTGGGTTGAGCTGATGGCGGTGTCGAAGGCTTTGCCCAGGTTTGACTGCTTGGCGTCCTCTCGTTTATTGCGATCTGCAGAAAGTTAGGACGCGCCCGCTGACTGCAAACAAGGCCACGGACCATAAGCTTCCACGAGGTAGAATACCTTCGTCACGGCCGAGTTGTGGAGGCGGAACTGGATTGTGAGTCAGCACAGCACGTCTCCACCGAGCCAAACCTCCTGTACCTTCTGCTCATGAAACCGCCCCTCCTTAATGCTCATCCACAAATCATCAAACCGCTTGCGCTCCAAAATCACATCCAACACCACCTCATCATACTCATCCCCCCGTTTATGCTTCCTCACAGCCTTCCACGCCACATCCCCAATTTCCAGCGGCTCCTTCACCACCGGGATCCCCTTCGTCGCCAACCGGTCCGCCAGCCAGTCTCGATCCTTCCTCGACTTGACCTCCCGGATGTCGAGCACGAACTTAATGTCGTAGCCTTCGGCAGGAATGACGATAGGGTTGAATTTGGGGATCTCCATGTGTTCCGCAGACGCGTAGGGGTCCTCGAGGTCGACTTCTATTTCCATGGTGGGGAGGGCGGAGGAAAGGCGGGGCTTGTTGCGTTGGACTCTGGTGTTGTTAGGGAGGGAGGTGGTCCTGGTGATACCCTCAGCTGCCGCGGGCGCCGCTGGCGGCGGCATGCTATTGTTCATGGCGGGCATCGTCGCAGAGCGTCCCATGGGCTTTCGCGCGGTCGCGAACGAGGTCGACGCAAGACCGGGCGGCTGCACTGGTAGCTGGCGAGCGGGGTTTAGAGACCCGGTATTGCGCCGCTTCTGAGCGGCGTCCGCCTTGTTCTCCGCATCAAGCAAGTCCGAAAGCTTGCGTTTCTCTGCCTGTGGAGGAGCTGCCTTGGAGGCCGGAGGTGGCGGGGCGGGCTGCGACGCAGGTAATGGAGAGGTGTTGTACTCCAGCGCGAAAATCATAGGAAGGTACGCGTTTAACTTCCCGTTGATCGGGAAGTGTCCCAACAGCTCCTTGATGAGGGGGTGTTTGTCGTAGGGGGCAGAGTATTGAATGAGGTATCCTGGTTCTCTCAGCTTTTCCTCTTCAAAGTAGGCATCATCTCGCTTGCGAACAGGACGAGAATTGCTATCTGGCGAGTGGAAATCAGTCGATGGTCGGGAAGTATGTAGGCCTAACCTACCGAGGTAGGTAAACAGAAAGGGGTTCGAGTCCGTTAGAGGTGCTCCGGGAGGTGGCGCGTACTCGACGGTCGCTTCAACCGCGGCAGCACCGGAGGCCTGACGAGCCCGCGGGGTAGCCCTCGCTGGTCCAGATGTGTGCATGACTGAAGGGGCAGAGACTTGGCGATTCAAAGGTGTAGCAGCGGTGCCATCAGCCTTCTTAGGTCTGCCGCGCTTCTTCGGTGCCGGTTCGGTCGCTGTAGAGGTAGAGGGACCCGCCGTTGAGGGGAGGTTGAGGTGAGCGCTCATAAAGCCTGTCTTCTCTTTCTGCTTCTCCTTGAGCTTGCTGATGATCTTTGGTCCAATATTCTTGATGCGCACAGCGTCTTCGATGCGCTCGAGGACGTCGGGGTACTCCTTCATGCTCTTGTACGCTCTACCGAGTACCATACGATAGTTTGAGTCTGTAAGTAGGTCAGTCAAGTCGAGAGTCGAGGAAGTAAGTATTGCGCACCTTCCTCCGTCTCGTCGCGCAGCTCCCCAAGCCAAGATAGGAGTTCAGGATTGGCGCATTTCGTTCGAGTTCTGGACGCCCCAGTTCTAGACATGAATGCAAGAAGATATAGTCAAGATATATAATCAGATATGAGAGATATCGCCTAGATGTGTGCGCCGTCGTGCTCGTCGGGAACAAGTTGTCGAGTCCCGCGGCTGCAGCCAATGAACGCGACATGTCACGCGTGACATGTCGCGTCGAGCGCGTCGCTTGAGCACATCACAATTAAGCGTAAGCTTTCTTCCCACCGCCGCTGACCACGATGGCAGCCCTTGATGTTATTGACATATCAGATGGCGAAGACGGCGAGATCACCTTCAGCCAAGCCTCGCTTCCTCCCTCCTCTCAGCTGTCCGCTGGTGAGGTCATAGACCTCTCAGACTCAGACACAGAGCCAGACGACGCTTTCGTCCCGGCACCTTCGAGTCCGCCACTATCAAGCCAACCACAGATGATAGAACTGGATAGCAGTAGCGAGGACAATAGCTCTGGTGACGAGTTCCCTGAGCTTGGGTCTCAACAGTTCGCTGCTCGGGCCCCTTCACGGTCGAACAGGGGTAGTCACACTCCTCTCGAGACTCGAGACAGCGGTTCTTCTGCAGGCAGTAAGAGGACTCGAGCTCTCAGTGATGACAGCGAGGACGAGGTGCGTGATGAACTTCATTGGGCCTTCGCAACTTCATTGATGAGTCCTGCCCAGTCTGAGCCTCCTACGCCGGTCAAGAAGCCTCGCCGTTCTCGCAAGACGGCAGAAGAGAAGTCGAAGGCGGAGAGCGAAAAGGAGGCTAAACGGCTGGAAAGGGAGGCCAAGAAGCAGGAGAAGGTGCGCCACAATCTCGCTGCCGCAAAACATCGTCTCAATATATCCACCAGGAAACCCAACGCCTCGAGAAAGAGGCGGCGAAGGCTGCACGAGAAGAAGAGCGTGCGCGCAAGAAGGAAGAAGAAGCAACCCAGAAGACTGCCCGGCGAAGCTTCAAAGCCGCCAACAAGCTCGTCATCGACCGCAAAGAAACCCTCAAGGAGACCACCATCGTCGTCTCCGCCTCCCTCGCTCGCGCCTACAGTGGCATCGTCGCCGACCTGCGCACCAAGGTCGGGGAGTACGGCGGCCAGGTCGAGGCGGAGGCGGACCCAATGACCGGGTACGATACGATACGCTTCCGCCGGCGGGTGACGAAGGCGTACGATACGAAGCTCTCGGTGTGGCAGCACTGCGAGCCCAAGGATAAATTCGACCAGACGGCGATCCTGTGGCTGAGCGCGCAGAAGCTCGCGGAGCACGGCGCAAGGGGCACGCTGGGTGGCCTGGTCGATACGTTCTGCGCACGCCTCGCACTCGAGGGCCCCAAGCGGCAGGCCGTCCTTCTCATCCACGGGATGGCGAAGCTGCAGTCGCAGGCGCGCGGGGCGGCGGATCGTGCCTTGCTCGCGCTCGAGATGGCGCACGACGCGTTCCACATGTGCGCGGAGACGCCCGCGGAGATCGTGCAGCGGCTGTACGACACGGCGTGCGATGTCGGGCACCGGATTCACAAGTACCTCGAGCGGTCGCATCTGCCCTTTTGCGCGGAGACGCGGCAGCCGAAGGGGAAGAGCTCGGCGGAGACGTGGGAGGGTGCGCTGGCGAGTCTGTACCGGATGAACGCCGAACACGCGAAGGCGATTGCGAAGGTGTACCCAACGATGAACAGTCTGTACTGCGCGTATGAGAAGGATCCGCAGGCGGGGCCGCTCTTGTTGGCGCACATTCCGGTACGTCCATATAGCGCAACGAGCCCAAGTCGCGAGCTGACAACTTACGCAGGTCGAGTGCACGGCGAATGGTCAGAAACGTGTCAGGGACAAACTTGGGCCGGCGCTTTCGAAGCGCGTCTTCACTGTTCTCTACGAGACAGATCCCTTGCGACTTGTCGTTAACGACAAGTAGGCCATCTTAGTGCGGATTGTCTTCACGGTCGGTTATTTACCTAGCATACCTTCTCCCGCTTCCTTGCACCTATTATTCCTGATTTATTCGTACATATTTTCTAGATGTATCCTTGGTTCTATTGTTGGCTTGTTGACGGCCCTATTAATCCTTTTTAATCCCCATATAATCTTGCATACCATCCACGTATAGCGCCTTCCTACCCTACTTCGAGCGCATTTATTTCATCGTATTCGAGGCACCCTTTATCGTCTACCCACTCCAGGGACAGCTCAAGTCGTTACACGGTTGTCAGACGTCTTCTCCTTCACTCTGACCTTGGAAGTGCCTCGCTGCAGGACGCTGCCTTGACTTCAAATTAGATGAAACTTCAAGTGCCTACTCGGGCCATCCCGAAGTTCAACATGTCATGTGATCATGAGAAGCCGGTGAACCCAGAACGTTCGCGGGAAATTCTCCTGCTCTTGCTCTTGACTTCCATCTGCGATCTGTGAAAGCATACGCCCGCTGCTTTGCTGTAGCTCGTCCAGACAGCTGGGAGGCTCAGAAGCTGAGTTGTCACCTCTTTACCTCCTGTGAGGAGCGAGGCGCAGCAAGTTGCTCGACAAGATCTGTTCTCGTCAATGAAGACCGCGAACGCCCATCTACAACTTCCCATGCTAGAAGCGCAGATGCCTTTTCAGAGCCTCCTCGCGCTCTCAAATTACCTTCTTCCTCATCCTCCACCCTCGCCAGCCGGAGTTTTTGAACGCTCGAGCGACCCTCTTACCGCGCGAGCGTCAAGCCTCCGGCGAGAAAAATACAGCCGGGCAACCGGCTCGCTCTCTGTTTTGTGCGCTCCTGTCCTCTGCTACCAGGAAGTGCATCCCAAATGAGGCGGTACATACTACATCTGTCGCCGGAAGGTTCAGATGTCTCAGCACCGTATACCCTTCCACCGAGACCGTGCGTTAGCGCTAGTCATTGCGCGCTGTAGTCAATCAACTCGATAGCAATGCAATAGCTTCCTGTACGAACCCCTCGCAAGCATTCAAAAGAAGCAGGATATAATCCTGCAAAAGTACAGTGCCTACAGATGGCATATGATACAAGCTGAACATTCGTAACCCAAACACTATATCGTAGATCCATCACACCTAACGTCGTCGCCCTTGCCGGCTCTCCTGACCCGGCGGGGCAGGCGTCTGCGCCCGAATCGTCGCCGCGCGCGACCGGCCCCGCGTCACCTCTCCCAGCGGCTCATCATCGCTCGACGAGTCGTTCTCGACGGCCGATGGACCGCTCTTCTCCCTCTGTATCTCTTCCCGCAGCTCCTTCTCTTCCCGATGCGCCATCCCTTCCCTAAAAACCCTCCGCCCAATATCATTGCCATCTTCCTCCTCCACTTCGGTCGCCTCACTCCCGCTCCGCTCCACCACCCTGCCCGCGAACGAAACCCGGCGACCTCGCGAGCGACTACGCGCGACTATTGTCGGGCGGTGAGATTCGCGTTCAGTCGAGCTGCGGTATGACTCGCGCTCCGTTGAGCTACGATACGCGTCGCTGTCCGTCGCGCTCGCGCTCTCGTCGGCGCTGTAGTGTGCGTATGCGACAGAGGGCGCCGCACTCGCATATCTGGCACCAGAAGCCGTGCTTGAGTACGTAGGCCCCGGTGGCACGCTTGCATATCTTCCGTCCGGAGCAGCTCGATACGGATACGAGCTCTGCGGAAACGCAGCATACGGCGCGCCGGGAGGGTAGGGCGGGTACGATGGTTGCTGCCCCGGTGGGTACCCTGCCTGCTGACCCTGCGGATACCCAGATTGTTGCCCAGGCGGATACCCCGCCTGCGACTGCTGCCCCGGCCCGCCCACGAACAGTTGTGCCAGATGGTGCATGAGCTGTCCGACAACGAACTGCGCCTGCGTAGGGTCTATCATCGGCGGTGGGTAAGGGTATGCTTGATTGGGCGCCACATACGCCTGGCCGGGCGCCGTATACGGCTGGGCAGGAGCTCCCGTCGAGGTACCCGATGGCGGCGCATACGGAGGAGGCTCAGGAAGTACTGATGGCGTCCGCGCGAGTTCCGCTCTGGTCTGCGGCACCTGCGTTGTCGAGGCAGCACGACTGACGCTCTTGCCACGCTTCAACTTGCTCGGTTTGTCTGCAGTGCCGGGCTGCTTGTCTGAGGTACCAGGCGAACTGTTTGAACCAGTTTCCGGAGGACAAGTGCGAGGCCTGGAGCGCGAGCGAGGTCCTGGTTTGTTTGAGGCGCGACGTGGGAGGGGAAGGGATGCCTTGTTCTGGGAAGCGGGAGCTTGAGGCTGACCCACGGATGGCTGCGTCTCGGGCGGCGTGTTCTCCGGCTCCTTCTCCTTCTCTACATCAGGTCGTGGCTTGGACGCTGACCGGGCTCGCGACTTCGCGCGCGGTCGCGGGATCTTGGACGGGGCCTTGGTGGGTGAAGGTGTCCGCACAGCTTGCGACGATTGCGCGCCCTCTGTCGGTGGCATGAGCGACTTCGCGAATGAACGGCCGGCGCGTGCGTACCATGCGCTTGCGTGTTAGCGTTCGTGGCTGGGGTTTGCTTGGATGGCTGAGTCTTGAGTGCCTTATGGGAAGGGGTCTGTCCGCCCTGTCGAGGCGGCGGGACACTGATCTCCACATAGCACGTTGGCCCTCGAGCTGGCAGCGCCTTGCCTGGCTTCCCCTTATCCGAAGGCTTGTTCAGACTTGAGCCAGACGTTGCCTTCGCCCCGTCAGTGGAAGTCGAGCCTCCAGAAGGCTGCGATGCGTTAGACTGCTCGTCCACGCTCATTGCGGATCCTGCAGATGACTGTCGCTTGCGTTTCTTCGCTCTCGGTACTGTTGGCTGAGCAGGTGTCGATACCTGTGTAGATGTTGTCGATAGGCGCGTTATAGACGTTGTAGGCATGCGCGTTACAGACGGCCGTGTAACCTCTTGGGGCACACGAACCGGCGAAGACGAATCATGAACAGAGGAAGAGTCATCCTGCGACAAAGGTGGCGTCGGCGTGAATAAATCCACCGCGCGCTGCTTCCCCTTCGCCTTTGCAGACATGACTGGAGGCGGAGATGGTCGGGGCGGTGGAAGCATGCTCCCGCGGGTAGGTGAGCATTCCGGCGAGCGTCCAGGTGAAGAATCTTCCGTGGCCGAAGCTTGCCTGGAGGGCGTCGTAGCAGGCGAGTTAAATATCGATAGTGATTTCTTGCTCCTGCGCTTTGAGGATAGCATCTTGGATAAATCAAGACGGGGTATAGGCGTGGATTGGGGGGTATTCATTGTGTTCAATTTGGATGCGGCCGGGGTGCGATCGTTGTCTGTTGTGTTCTCGGCGCGCGCTGTCGGGGCCGGCGAAAATTGGGCACGCCTGATTGGACTTGACTGCGGCCTGGTGAGTTTGGGACGCGACTTGATGGGTGAAGGAGCGACTGGAGAGGACGACAAGGGAGGCGACGAGGGCGGTAATGGGGAAGATGGGGGCGCGTACGCTGGGCTGTCCTGGATGAACGGCCGCTCGTCTGTGCCTGGCGTGTCGAAGGGTGGCACGGACGAAGCAGTCTTCGATCGTGGGGGAGTGTAGAGTTGCACCGGTATAGGTTGTTGTGGGCGGCCCCGCAGAGCATTTGACTGCGCGCCGGCGGGCGATGGCGAGGATGGCGCGTTCAGCTCGCCCTCGCTTTCGTCCCCTTTGGGCACCAGGTACACGATGTTTGCTTCGGATTCCAAGCCCCAATCGTCCAGCTCGTCGTCGGAGTCGAAAATCTCTATCACCTTGGGATCTGACGAGAGTGGCGCGCTGTCGTCGTCGTCCGTGTCCGGCGGCCTCGACGCGTCCGAGAAGGCGTCCGACGTGTAGGGCGCCTCACTGCTGAAGTCCGTGGCGTCGTCTTCCGAGCGTCGACGCTCCCGCTCCGCACGCATGAACTCCTCGATTTCTTCCTCTGTCAAGGGCTGGCGCCGCGGGGGCAGGTCCTTCGCGGGCTTGGGGGCGAAAGCGTCGAGCTCATCATCAGACTCCTCGGGCTCTTGGACCTCTTCTGCTTCCTCCTCCTGTTCGCCGGGCTGCTCGTCCTGGTTCTCGCTCCCCTCATCATCTCCATCATCCAAAAGTGCCTGCCGCATGCCGAATTGCTTCACGGGGGAGGACGCGAGGACGCCACGATCCTTGATGACAGTCAAGTCGGCCAGATCCACGATGTCATCGTCTTCCAAGTCGCGGGTATATCGCTCCTCGAGGTTCGCCCAGCTTTCAAAGAGACGCGCCAGGGATGCCGCCTTCTCGCGCTCGATCTCGTCGGGCGGGAGGAAGCGGCCAGGGGTTACGGTGCGCAGGCGCTTCCTTGGGGGCGGACATTCCGAGTTTACGCGGTCGAGTGAGGGCGAGGAGGAAGACGGCGTGCACGACGAGCTCATCGTCAAAGGCGACCTGCTCAAGATCGCGCGCACGAACCGCGCGATGTCACGTGCGCATCAGAAAAACACGATCAAATATGGACATCTCGACGCGTCGTCTCGAAATTCGAATCAGCGTTACTTTCTGCACGCCGTCATCATGTCGGGGCAAACACCGGTCTTTGTTATGAGTGAGTGAGGCATGCATGCAAAGCGACTGAGATCTGATGAAGTAGACTCGGCGCCCGAGAGGCAGTCGGGCAGGAAAGCGCAGGCATCAAATATCACCGCGGCAAAGGTATGCACGAAGAAGTAGAGGGGGAACAATAGCTCACTATACCAATAGACTGTTGCAGATGTCATCAGGACATGTCTTGGGCCGAAAGCCATGCTCAAGATGATTCTGGATCCTATGGGTGGTATCCTGTACGTTTTCTCCAGCACTTGCAGACTTGAAATTGAAGATCCCTCGCAGACTTACCAACGACGGCAATGCGATCTTGCGAGAGATCGATGTCGCTCATCCGGCTGCGAAGAACATGATTGAGTTGAGTCGCACACAAGACGAGGAGTGCGGAGACGGAACGACGAGTGTGATTATCCTCGGTGCGTGGCCCTCTGCTCCCTTGGTCCCTCAAGGATAACGGTAGTACAGCCGGTGAAATTCTCGCTCAGTCTCTGTCCCAATTGGAACGCGACATCCACCCTGTCGTAATCATTTCCGCGTACAACAAGGCTCTCCAGGAGGCCCTCAACATTATCAAGCGGATATCCATCCCGATCGACGTCAACTCCGACGAGCAGATGCTTTCCCTCATTAAAACCTCCATCGGCACCAAGTTCGTTGTCCGATGGTCCGAGCTCATGTGCAACCTCGCGTTGCAGGCCATCCGGATCGTCTCGCAGGATCAGGAAAGCACTGGCTCACAATTCGGCGGCATCAAGAGCGTCGACATCAAGCGCTATGCGCGCGTTGAGAAGGTCCCCGGCGGCGAGATCGAGGAGTCCCGCGTCCTGAACGGCATCATGCTCAACAAGGACATCACGCACCCGAGCATGCGCCGGCGCATCCACAACCCACGCATCATCCTCCTCGACTGCCCGCTCGAGTACAAGAAGGGCGAGTCGCAGACGAACATGGAGTTCTCGAAGGAGGGCGACTGGGAGCGCGCGCAGGAGATAGAAGAGGAGCAGGTGAAGGCGCTCGCGAACAAGCTCGCCGAGTTCAAGCCGGACCTGGTCATCACGGAGAAGGGCGTGTCGGACCTCGCGCAGCACGTCTTCGTGAAGCACGGCATCAGCGCGCTGCGCCGCGTGCGCAAGTCGGACAACAACCGGATTGCGGCGGCGACGGGCGCGACGATCGTGAACCGCATCGAGGACCTGCGCGAATCCGACATCGGCACGGACTGCGGGCTGTTCAACATCGAGAAGATCGGCGACGAGTACTTCACGTTCCTCACCGAGTGCAAGTCCCCGAAGGCGTGCACTGTCCTCCTCCGCGGGCCATCGAAGGATATCCTCAACGAGATTGACCGCAACCTCGCGGACGCGATGTCCGTCGCCCGTAATGTCGTCTTCTTCCCGTACCTCTGCCCCGGCGGCGGCGCGACGGAGATGGCCGTCAGCGTTGGCCTCCAGCAGGCGAGCAAGTCGCTCGCGGGCGGTGTCGAGGCGTGGCCCTTCCGCGCCGTCGCGGACGCGGTCGAGGTCATCCCGCGCACGCTCGTGCAGAATGCGGGTGGCAACGCGATCCGGTTGTTGACTGAGTTGCGGGTGCGTTGATATTATATTTGTTCCGTTGGAAATGCATCTGACTGATGCCCTCTCAGGCCAAGCACGCGAACGGCGAGCACCAGTGGGGCATCGACGGCAACACTGCGAAGCTCGTCGACATGAAGGAGTACGGCCTCTATGAGTCCGCCAGCGTCAAGATCCAGACATTCAAGACGGCGATCGAGGCTGCGCGCATGCTCTTGCGTGTTGACGATGTCGTGCAGGCCGTAAGGAAGGACAGGGAAGGCGGAGGTGGGGGCGGGGCGCCGCCGGAGGAGATGATGGCGGAGTAGGCTGACCCGGAAGTTAGACGAGTTGTAGGGTAATAGAGGGCGAGTGAGGGCGAGGAAGAGGCAAATATTGTAGCAAAACGAGCATTGCACGTCTACTTACTGTAGTATAGATTATTGCAAGGGCATACTGACCAGATCGTGCCCTTCGCTGGGGCTCGACCTGAGGTTCATTTGCGCCGAGGTCCGTTAACAGGGCCTCGTGGCACGGTCACGGTTACTTGCGTTATGTCACGGTTCATGTTCACAGGAGAAAGCACAAGTAACATCGGGTAGATTTGAGCAAGGTCTGTGTCGTAGCTTGGTAGTACATACATGCTACTCAGACGTAGTAGGCACCGATCGCAGCGCCATTGGCGGGAAGCAGGAAGCTTGACGCTGCCACACTGCCGTTTGCCAGCCTCGCACCCGTCAGGGTGGATGGATCCAAGCTTACAAAGGACTCGTCGCTCCAGGAGCCCGAGTCCCAAGAATTTGATGACGACTTGACCTATCGAAGACGTGTTGTTTAGTATGCGCACGCTCGAACATACCAATACCGTTCACTGACCTCGCTCCCCAGCGTCGTATCGTCGCCATTAGACACCGCAATGTTGCCCGTGAGCGTCACCGTATACCCCGGCTCGTCGAATTGCACTCCCGCGCGCGTGTTGTTCCACGCCGTGTTGCGGGTGAGCGTCATATCCCCCGGCTGGCTGTTGTCCACGAAGCCGCCCGCCGCGTTGGAGAACGCGATGCAGTTGGTGATGACGTGCGCGGCGGGGCCCTTGTCGCTGGCGTCGCCGCCGCCAAGCTTGAATCCGTTGCCGTCGCCCTCGAAGTCCTCGAAGTTCCAGCGGTTAAAGCCGTTGCCCCAGGAGTATGTGTTTTCGATGGTGACGGGGGACTTGAACTCCCTGGAGGGGATGAGATGGGGTAGAGGACGGCAGTGGTAGACGTACCAGAAGTCCAAGCCGTCGTCGACGTTGTTCCACAAGCGCGTGCCGCGAATGACGTTCCCTTCACCCGAACCTTCCTTGACACCAAGGCCGTCGGCGCTCTCACCATTCTTGCGGGGATCATGATTGCCGTAGCTGTCATGCATCTATCAGTGCGTGCAGAAAAATGGGTGAGAAAGACGCCTTACCTGTCCAAGTTCTCCACGAGATTGTTGCTCGACTCGCCCTGAATCTGCAGACCTGCACGGATCAATACGAGACGCCGCCAAAGGCACAAGATTGAACATACCGGTCTCGTAGTTGTCTCTTGTGACCAAGTTCCGATAAATATTATTGTTGGAGTTGTCCGCGTAGATGGCGTACGGGCCATGGGCGATCTCAAGACCGCTGAAGACCCAGTAGTCGGCCTCGACATGGAATACGCCACGGTCAGAACTTGGTATGCTTGAGTCAAGCTCGCCCGGAGTGCTATGCTCTTCTAAACATCATCGGGGTAGCGCGGCCCGGTTGAACACGCTCACTATGGAAGCTCCTCGCCATCAATCAGCACGCTCTCCCCCTCGTAATTGGAGATGGTGTACGGAGCGCTCGAGGTGCCGCTCTTCTTGACCTGGATGTTCTCTGTAGGCGTGTACGTGCCCTCGCGCAAGTAGATGGTATCGCCTGCGGATGCTTGATCAACGGCTGCCTGAATTGACGCGAGCGGCGCGTCGATTGTCCCGGCATTGCTGTCGGAGCCGTCAGGAGAGACAAAAATCTCCGTTGCGCGCTTCGATTTCCTCTACAAGCGGTCAGTCGAATCTCAATGATTGAGATGAAGTGCTTCACCGAACGCTTTTCCTTTTGCACAGGTACACGACCGAGCAAAGTGGTCAGCGACACCATGGCGGGACAGACGAGAGAGTGCGGGGATGCAAGCTGGAGTACTCGACTATACCCCTTCCCTTCTTATACGTCTGCGGTTCCTAGATACGTAGTCCAGACCGCATGGCTGGACGACGTTCAGCGACCGAAGCTTTTCCCTCATCGCGACGAGCGGCCCGCAATAACTCGAGGCCAGGAATTTGGCGGGCCGCTGATGAAGCGAGAGGATATACTTAACGCTAAACGTGTTGTATACGTTCGGCGATGGCTGATTGGCACGCGAACGTTCAGAGAGAAGTATGGACAAGATAATGTGCTGTCGTCCGAGGTCAGTCAGAGCAGTCAGTCAAGCTATCTCATGTAAGCCATTTCAGCAGATGTACATTATTGCGCTGGGAAAGCTTGGCATCCATCGAGGTCAAGGGAACAGCCGACCATGCGGAAGCTTGGGACATCATGACGAGATGCGATGGGACCTGCGACGTTTCCCATCCGAAGATTAGACGTACTTATTTTCAATGTTTTGTTGCACCATAGGTGTTTGAGTATGTTTATGGCTCAATGAGGGAGACGAAAGTCTTGAGTATGGTCGTGGTTGAAGACGAGCCTACACATGCCCGTGACGAGACAGCTTTTGCAACCCACGTGCCTACCACGCTCACTACACGTGATTAGTTTGGTTCTTCTTCATTCTGCCTTCTCACTTATAGGTTCATCATCCACGGCTGTACTAGCAACTTCCTTGAGAATCAGAGCTCTCATTTTATGAATGCCAGGTTAGTGTACCAAGGATAGCCCAATCCCGTCCCCATCCGAGCGCCACCACACTGCGCTCATGAGACTGCATGTGATTTTTGGCAATGGTCAGCTTACCACGAGCGACTCTCATGCAGACGCTTCGGGGGAGATGCCTGGATGTATCCCTACGTAGAACGCGTGTCATCCGGTACAGACACCGCAGCTGGAACTGCCCGCAAGGACAATCAGACCGTCGGAAGACGAACGTGAACTTCCTTGAGTGACTCTTATTATAATCTAGAAGTCTCCATCCCGCCGTTGTTAAGTCACAGTTGAACTTAGAGAATGCAACGCTCTTGGAATAACGTCCTGCCCCTTGACGGCAAGAATAAGTTTGAGGCGCCGGGGAGGCGGGAAATGGCGTCGGCGTAACTCGGCGCCGCGAGCCAATGACGTTGAGCCGTTTTACAGTTGGGGACAGCCAAAGTCGACAATTTTGGGTACTCTGCCGGAAAACTTCGGACTTTGCGGAAAACGACGCCTTTCAATGAGGGGAGTAACCTAAATAAATTTCAGACCGAACGGCTCTGCCGTTGGCCCACAAATCGCGATTTATTGGCCGAGGGGGCCCAAAATATTGGCCACCCCTCATTTCTGCCCCTAAATTCAAGGAAAAATGGTTTTTGAACGCCTTTCGCCCATGTCCATCCGTTTACGCGGTCGTAAAGTCACCGGAGCAATGCCGAAAAGCGCTCAGAATAATAAAAATGCGTGACGTTATGCATGTCTGTCACACCATCGTTACAGTGATGGTAGCCGGGGATGGTCCGCACCTTGCTCGCGAGCTAACTTCAGCAAGCTGGCGCGGCATGGGTATAGTCCACGCTTCATATCGACAAGCTTTTCTTACTTTTGGCGCTGTCGGCACTTGCCGAACACCGTTGAAACTGGCCCAAAAATTGGCCACCCCGGAAAAGTGGTCCTAAAATCGCGGAAAAATCGTTTTTGGGGCTTTTGAGCCCTTCTGAGTTCATTTCTGAGCTCAGATTCCCGTCGGATAAATTATTTTATGCTCCGACACGAATTGTCGACTTTGGCTGTCCCCAACTGTAGCGCGAAACTGCATCTCTTCCTCAACCACCATCTCCCCTTACGAACACCTCAGGAAGGTGGGCTAGCCGACGTTCAACATGTTGACAAGGCAGCTTGCAAAGCGCTCCCCCGCTGCTCTCAGCGCTGGCGCCCCGCGGACGCGTTTCCCGACCAGCGCGATCCGCCGGGAGCTCGCCACGCCCGCCGCGCAACCGCCGTCCCCGAACGACCCATTCGCGAATGGCACGAACGCGTACTACGCCGACGAGATGTACCGCCTGTGGAAGCAGGACCCGAATTCGGTCCACGCCTCCTGGAACGTCTACTTCTCCGGCCTCGCCAAGGGCCTGCCGAGCAGCCAGGCTTTTACGCCTCCCCCGCGCTTGCTGCCTACCGACGGCGTGACGCCAGCTCTTCATGCTGGTCAGGGCGAGCTTGATGACCATTTGAAGGTGCGTGACATGAGTTTTGGGCGTATACCGACTGGCTGACGACTCGATCAAAAGGTTCAACTCCTCGTCCGCGCATACCAAGTCCGCGGCCACCATGTCGCCGACTTGGATCCCCTTGGAATCCTTGACGCTGACCTCGCCGATGTCCGCCCTCCTGAGCTCGAGCTTCACCGATATGGCTTCACGGAGCGCGATCTCGACAAGGAAATTACCCTTGGTCCGGGCATCCTTCCCCACTTCGCTACGGAGGACAGGAAAACGATGAAGCTTGGCGAGATCATCAAACTGTGCAAACGGATATATTGTGCGTTCCCAGTAATCAGCGAAACGCTCCCCATTCATATTCATTACAGGCGGTCACGTCGGCATCCAATACGTGCACATCCCTGATCGCGAGCAGTGCGACTGGATCCGTGAGCGCGTCGAGATCCCGAAGCCGTGGAATTACAGCGTCGATGAGAAGCGCATGATCCTCGACCGTCTCATCTGGTCCGAGTCGTTCGAGAAGTTCATCGCCAGCAAGTACCCGAACGAGAAGCGCTTCGGTCTCGAGGGATGCGAGTCCCTCATTCCGGGTATGAAGGCCCTCATCGACCGCTCTGTCGACCACGGCGTGAAGCACGTCAACATTGGCATGCCCCATCGTGGCCGTCTCAACGTTCTTGCCAACGTCATCCGGAAGCCCATCGAGGCTATTCTCAACGAGTTCTCCGGAGCGGAAGGCGATGAGCCCGCCGGTGATGTCAAGTACCATCTTGGTGCTAACTACGTCCGGCCGACCCCCTCCGGTAAGAAGGTTGCCCTGTCGCTCGTGGCGAACCCGTCCCATCTTGAGGCGGAGGACCCTCTCGTCATCGGGAAGACTCGTGCCATCCAGCACTTCGAGAAGGACGATCAGAACCACAACACTGCGATGTCCGTTCTGCTGCACGGTGACGCTGCTTTCGCTGGTCAGGGTGTCGTCTACGAAACCATGGGCATGCATGATCTCCCCAACTATGGCGTTGGCGGTACCATCCATCTCATCGTGAACAACCAGATTGGCTTCACCACCGACCCCCGCTTTGCCCGCTCCACCCCCTACCCCTCCGATATCGCCAAGTCCATCGACGCGCCTATCTTCCACGTCAACGGCGACAATGTCGAGGCTGTTAACTTTGTTTGTCAGCTCGCCGCCGACTACCGTGCGAAGTACAAGCGCGACGTCGTTGTCGACATCGTTTGCTACCGTCGACACGGTCACAACGAAACCGATCAACCGGCGTTCACCCAGCCGCGGATGTATAAGGCTATCGCGAAGCAGCCGACGACCTTGACGAAGTACTCCAAGTTCCTCGTCGAGCGCGGTACCTTCACGGAGAAGGACATTGAGGAGCACAAGAAGTGGGTTTGGGGCATGCTTGAGAAGGCTGCCGCTGGCGCCAAGGACTATGTCCCGACGAGCAAGGAGTGGCTTTCTTCTGCGTGGCAGGGCTTCCCCTCGCCCAAGCAGCTCGCGGAGGAGACGCTCCCTACGCGCGTCACCGGGTCAGAAGAGGAGACCTTGAAGCGCATTGGCAAGGCCATCTCGACCTTCCCCCACGGCTTCCACCCGCACAAGAACCTCACCCGTATCCTCACTAACCGTGGCAAGACGGTCGAGGAGGGTAACAACATCGACTGGTCCACCGCTGAGGCGCTCGCGCTCGGCTCCCTTGCCCTCGAGGGTGTGCACGTCCGCGTGTCTGGCCAGGATGTCGAGCGTGGTACGTTCTCGCAGCGCCACGCTGTCGTCCACGACCAGGAGACCGAGTCGAAGTACGTCCCCCTCAACGACCTCGGCGGCAACCAGGCCTCGGTCACCGTCTGCAACTCGTCGCTATCTGAGTTTGGCTGCCTTGGTTTCGAGCTCGGCTACTCGCTCGTGTCGCCGGATGCGCTTACGATCTGGGAGGCGCAGTTCGGTGACTTCGCGAACAACGCGCAGTGCATCATCGACCAGTTCATCGCTGCTGGCGAGCGCAAGTGGCTTCAGCGCACTGGGCTCGTCATGAGCTTGCCGCATGGGTACGATGGACAGGGCCCAGAGCACTCGAGCGCGCGCATCGAGCGGTTCTTGCAGCTGTGCGACGATCACCCGAACGTGTTCCCCACGCCGGACAAGATTGAGCGTCAGCACCAGGACTGCAACATGCAGGTCGTCTACCCCACGACGCCGGCCAACTACGTGCGTAACTTGACAGTCATGAGTGGTCGGCCAATGCTCATAACCCTTGCAGTTCCACGTCCTTCGCCGCCAGATCCACCGCGACTTCAGGAAACCGCTCATCCTGTTCTTCTCTAAGCAGCTTCTGCGTCACCCGCGTGCGCGCTCGGAGTTGTCTGAGATGGTTGGCGAGACCAACTTCCAGCGCTACATCCCCGAGGCGCACACCGATGAGCTTGTTGCGCCTGAGGACATCAGGAAACACATCCTATGCACGGGTCAGGTGTACCACACGCTCATCGCTGAGCGTGAGGCGAAGGGCATCAAGGACGTCGCGATCAGCCGCGTTGAGCAGATCTCGCCGTTCCCCTATGACCTGGTGCGTCTTCATGCTCTGAGTGCAGGGTAGTCTGCTGACCATGGCTTCAGATCACGCCCCACCTCGACAAGTACCCGAACGCTGAGCTCATGTGGTGCCAGGAGGAGCCGCTGAATAACGGCGCGTGGAGCTACGTCGGGCCCCGCATCTACACGGCGGGTGGCCAGACGCAGCACCACAAGGGTAAGTACCCCAAGTACGCCGGCCGCGAGCCGACGAGCTCGGTCGCTACTGGTTCCAAGGTCAGTCGTGTGCTTACTCTTAGATGGAATGAATGTGCTGACGTATATTTTTTCCTATCTTCCAGGTCCAGCACAAGAAGGAGATCGAGGCGTTCCTTGCGGATGCGTTCGCATAATTTACGCGGCTGCGAAAGTGCTCGCGCAATCATCTGGTCGACGGAGTCTTGCACCTATTACTGTACATGCACCTACCCTAAGTATTTTGTTCCTTGTTGTTTACGAATTGACGACTTCGTCTACCTCGCATATGGGCGTGTTAGCGTTGAATGGAAGATGCAGAGAGCTTGACCCTAGCAGGTGTGCGCGAGCCACATCTCGTGGGTACCGAAGAGCTCACGACGTTCTCAGCCTGCTATATCTGGGGCTATCGCGCTAACTTAAGTGTTCGTGAGAGGAACAGAACATAAGAAGCGTCTGTGCTATGCCCGCCTTTCGGTCGTGATGACCAGGATCATTTCCTATGTGTGAGGAGGGCTCATGATAGGCGGGCAATTCATGCACGCCGAAGAGGTCAGCAGACTGCACTCACAGCTCATTGACGCCTTCTCTGTGCAGGTTCGCAGTACACTTTTTTTGCGCTTTCCACGATGCAGCGGACCCGACAGAATTGGGCAGCCGATGAGGCTACGGAGCCGTCTTAGGTCATGCGTCGGTTAGGCGCTATAAAAGCGCGCGGGTGACCGTTGTCTCCTTTTCTTCCCTCCCTTTTGGACGCTCGCTTACTCGAGATGGCTGCTAACGACGAACTGACGAAGCGCGTGCTGTGGAAACTTGACTTACACGTCTTACCTCCCTTGTCTCTGGTTGGTCTCCTTCGAGCACCCCGAGGGGCTGCAAACGCCTGACAATCAATATCCAGCTATGGCTTGCCAACTTCATTGACCGCAGTAACATCGGGAACGCCAGGTTCGCATTGAACTGTTGGGTCAATCATCAAGGCAATTTGATCATCTATCCAGGATCGCGGGGCTCGAAGCGGACACACATCTCAAGGACACCCAGTTCAATGTCGTCCTCGCAGGTATGTGCTCCAGATTTTCCTGGCTAGATAAGACAATGATGGCTTCTAAATCCATGCAGTCTTTTTCGCTACGTAGGTCAACTGACTCTTGAGCTTATTTCATGGTCCTTACGCCCAGCAGTTATATCGTCGTCGAGCTGCCCTCGAATTGGGTCATGAAGAAATTCAAAGCTAACGTCAGAATACACTGGCTTTCCTCCAGCGTTCGCTTATACAATTGCAGCGATGGCTACCCTTCCTTGTCGCCTCGTGGGGTGTTGTGACGGTCCTCACTGGTCTCGCGCAGAACTATGGTGGTCTCATCGCGATACGCTTGGCAATTGGATTTTGCGAAGGAGGAATCCTGCCTGGAATGGTGAATCAAGCTCTAGTACACTGCGTGTTCCGTCATTGACGTAGCGCAGGTCCTGTACTTGAGCACCCTCTACAAGCGACATGAACTACAATTGCGGTACGCGTGTCTTTCTGCCTGAACTCTCGATGAAAAACTCACCGGAAAACTCAGCGTCGGTATCTTCTACTCCTTTGGTCAGTGCGCTCCGACCGCTCGGTTACCTGAGCACTGACAAGCGCAAACATCAGCCGCAATAGCTGGCGCATTCGGAGGTTTGCAAATCTTTGCCTGTTGAGCGACCTTTGCTGATTGATTTGTCCGGCCAGGCTTGCTCGCCACCGCGATCATGAAGATGGACGGCATCGGTGGGCTGGGTACGCCATGAGTCTAGCCGATGTAGTTCAAGATTTCTGATACCCCTACCTCTATCAAGCTGGGTGGCGCTGGATCTTCAGTGCGTCGTCGTAATATTTTCCTCGAAGTCCCGAAGCTTATTCCGTGTCAAGTTCTTGAGGGCATAGTCACTATCCTCTTTGCTTTGGGCGCGGCCTGCATCCTTCCTGCCGACTTGCAATCGGCCAAATTCTTTACCGACGAAGAACGAGCGCATGCTTGTATGTGCTAAGCCTCGTTTGAGACATTGCTCGGGCTGATGATCGTGCCCAGTGCGACGTATGAAAGCTGATGGGCCGCCTTCGCCTGAACTTACTCGGCCAGATCCCTCACAGATATCTAGCTCAACCGACGACGCAGAGAAGGCTGAGGTTGAGGTAGCCGTTCGCCCCGTGATGAAACATGTCGTAGACGAGGAAGAGGAGCGCTTTGAATGGCGAGAGGTGATCAGAGGTGCGCTCGAACAAAACTCTCCTTCTTCAACTGGCCATTGACGCAATGACGCGAAGGAGCGACGGACGTACAGACGTGGCTCACAGGCAAGTCTACCGCTTGCCATTGACATGGCTACTGAAATTTGGCCCGTGGTACAGCTTTCGCATATTTCGGTGCGTCGCTTGCCGTGAGCGAAGCTGAACTATCTTAACTCTCACCTGCCAGGCTTCAACACCGTGCTGTACAGCTATTCTTTATTCCTGTGCGCTACACACATCATGTATCCGCTCGGTGCTCAAATCCTCCAGGCCTACTATCATCGCAGGTCTCGGCTACTCTGGAGCAGCTGCGCAACTGCACACAGGCGAGATACATTCACTTGTGAGCAGACGATAGTGCTGACGCTCTACAGTACCCCCTTACGTTCCTGCCGCCGTACTGACTGGTGAGTGGCGTTTTCCGTGCGGCTACTGCGTTCCGCCAATTGATGACCAATGTCAGTTGTCGTCGCCTACATAAGTGACCGCTTCAAATGCCGAGGACCGTGCATATTGGTTTGCCTGCCAATGCCTATCATAGGTACTTGTACTCTTGCTCGTGTAGACAGTCGTGCGTGCTCAGTCGCAGTATAGGCTACGCTCTGGCAATCCGTGCCACGAATGACTATGAACGCTATGCAGCAGTTTTCTTGATGGCCGCTGGGATGCAAGTCGCTGAGCACCCTTGCTTGTCGCACAACATGTACTAATGCACTCCTTCCAGATATCCATCCGGGCCTTGTATACTGTACGCACTCAGCCTCTGGGTCTTGACGACGTCTAACTTCGGGATTTAGGTCGATCTTGCCCAACAATACAAGCGGACATTACAAGAAGGCGACGACTACAGCGATGCAACTAGCCATCGCCAACGCAGCGTGAGCTACTTCGTCTCTCATCTCTTCACGCAGTCGACTTACGGGCGACAGCGGATTCCTGGCAACGTTCGTATACACCGACGGTATGTCCTTCATCAGGTCTTGTCCATCTAGCGACGCTCATCTGCGTCCAGACCAAAAACCCAAGTATGTAAAGGGTCACACCATCGCCCTGACCTTCGTTGCCCTCGCATGGGTGCTCATCGCTGTCAATGTGTACGTGCTCAAGGTCGATCATGCCCGCTTGCAACCAACTAACATGTTGTAGATGCTACTGCCTATGGGAGAACAAGGCTCGGAGGGAAGGGCGGCGTCAGAGAAATATTCAAGACTACATTGACCTGGTGGCAGCGGGCAAGACACGCGCACCGATCGGCGACCGTCATCCAGACTTCCGTTTTACGCTTTGAGCTGCCGTTGATCTTCCAGAAAATCACCTTGGATTGGTGTACTTGGTATATACAATTGTGTACAGTTGTTAATGTCCCACAGTTCTATGATACATGTTTTGTGTGGCGTAATGGTGGGTATTTCGTGTATGGTCGGGTCGCGCATTCGTTGAGGTATTCGGAAATCATGGCGCATATTTCGAACGCGCGCGGAGCGTTGGACCAAACTTCATCAGTACGAAAGGTATGGGGATCATAGCCGCGGCGACAAAGCCAAGTAACGACGACGCCCATCTGGGATTGAGTGCGTTGTACATTTGCGTCGCGAAAAGCTATCGACATGATGAGCCGGTGCCGGCTTCGAGGAGTCAGGAAGACGTACTGGGAATGCGGCGCCGAAGATGGATCGGCAGACGGTGTTTGCTGCGAGGGCAGACGCGGCAGCGTGCAGGTAGGCGTCGATTATGTAGTTGAACAAGCTCATCTGGGAGAAGTCGAGCGTCAGTATGGCCATTTACGCTGCAAGTTGGAAGGGGCACTCACGAAGAGCAAGCAAATGGACATCCCCATGAGGCCTCCTGCAATCAAGGGAGACCAGAAGGAGATGGTGGGATACGAGGTCCAACTGCGCCCACGTCAGTAAACGTTCACGTAGTTGACTGTGATCGCACTCACCCAAACCAGAAGAACGAGATCGCATAGAGCGGCGCTGCAAGAAGTGCCATCTCCAACCTCTTCTCAGGCGGTACCGGGTCAGGCGCGCGACGCTTGAGCGTGCGCTCGTATCTTGGGTTGAAATAGAAGATGTTCTGGGCTCGGCTTAGCGCGCAGTCGGTTAACTGAGACCGTAGTACGCACCAAGCATACGGCGACGAATCCACCAACAGCGATGGGCAAGTACGTCAAGCCAGTCGCACCTGTGTTGAAACCATGTCCCTGCTCGAAGACGATCGGATATGACTCGAAGAGCAAGTACAGGCATCCGTAGATGAACTGAGGCACGCGTTCAATATACGACTTTTTGATAGGGAGTTTGAGGAAGAACTCACGCTCGTATACGTAGTGATCGCCAACAGCATCGGCTCGCGGAAAAGGATCTTGAACGGGCGAGTGAGGATACGTTCCGCCCGGGTCGACCAGGTGGTCTTCTGCGTTTCGATCATGGCGTAGTAGCGGTCATCACCAGTAGTCTTGCGAAGGCGCTTCGCCTTTCTAGCCAGAATTACGGGGGCAAAAGTTTCCGGAATGGTGAAGAGGATGATCAGCCAGCAAGTTCCCGCCTGAAATTGGAAGGTAAGTGGGGTGGACATGTACAACAGACTGCGATGCGTACAAATATAGTAAGCAGCCAGAAGAGCCAGCGCCAAGATACGCCTGCGACGTTCATATAGCCCGCGACGGTCGGTCCTGAAGTTGCATGAGCTTGAATGCGCTGCCGCTGAGATAAGTTTATGAACGCACCAAGAGCAGGACCAGCAAAGGGAGCAAGGGTAAATACAGCCATCGCCTTGCCTCGAATTTTGGCATTCCATATGTCGGACACGAGCGCGCTATGAACAAGATACTGGTCAGATGTTGAACACTGTAAAAATGAGCGCAACATACCCCGAGTTCGTCAAAGGCGCAGATGCAAATAGGCCACCGAGTAGGCGAAAGAGGATGATGGACGCAGTGTTCGGAGAGAGAGCACAACCCACTTGGAAGCACTAGAGAGGGGTGAGAAAAAGGGCCAACCATACCATACAGACCTTACGCACGGTGTAGACGAAGAAGGATATGAGGAATGGGATGCGACGACCGTATTGCTCGGACAGAGGACCCCATAGTAGGGGTCCGATGCAGTAACCCGCGACAAACAGTGATATAGCTGCACGAGGATGAGTTAAGGAAGGATACGACAGCTGCAGCAAACTCACTGAGTACGCCGACTTCCCTCGAGAACGTGAACTCCTCCATCATCTGCTGGATGACGCCAGAAGCTAGTGATGGTCAGGCATGAGTTTGCATGCTGAGACGATACGCTTACGAGCAGAACTCGCGAAGGTAGCGTTGAGGACAAGCAGACCACTAGCCGTAGTCAGATACCATTTCTTCACTTTCGACCAGTTCTGACACGATACCGTCAGTTTGAGAACACGATTAGCGCTCAGCACACGTACCTGCGGGTTGTCCGGGTCGTTCTCACTGAAGAGAACGAGATACGGATCCGGCTTCTCGTCCATCGCGCGCTGGGACTCATACTCGCGCGACTGGATACGCTCGAGCGACTCATCGACTTCAGAGATCCGTTGGGACTGGGCTGAGAGAGTAGAGGAAGTGTCCGACCTTGCCATGATTGACGACACGACGCTTGTTGTCTATTGTGACGACTCAGGAAAGCGCAACGAGATCTAGCTGTAGCAGCGGAGGAAGGATAGGATCTGAGATATGCCGTCGTGCTTTTATTGCGGGAGACTGGCTCTGACGTCGCGGTGGAACTGCAACTTCTGCAGGATGTTGTCATGCGAAGCAGCGTCTGCGGAGGCCATTCAGTTGACAAATCCTTGTCAGAGGACAGTTCTCGTGCTTTCGGGTTAGCGACAAAGTTAGAGGTGAAGAAAGTGCTGGAAGACGAGTTGCTCCAACGTCGGGGAATGCCGAAGCATGGGCACGTGAGTGTTCGACTTTCCAAATCGACAATCTGCGGAGGCTCTGGGACGCACTATGAGAGAGCATACGGCTGAAGACTGCAGGACGGTAAGCCTGAATTAATATTGATAAAGATACGATACAAATGACTGGCCGTCATTGGGTTGTCGGAGGTCGTAAGACGACCGGCCCCCCAGCGGCGTAGTACCCAGGGGCAGGCGTCGTAGCGCCTGTCGCTCCCTGTTGTCGCGATGTCGATGCTACTGGGCCGCTATGGGCAGCATATCGGGATGACGTGTCCTGCGACTGCTGGCCACCTCCCTCATGTAGCACCCCGACCCGCGCCACCGTCATAAACAGCGCAGACCCCAGTACATCTGGCGGTACGGCACCCTTCGCCACCAACCCTCTCAAGACATGCGTCGGCGTCAGAAGCCTCGCACGCACGTCCGCTGCGAGGTTCTTCTTCTTTCTCATGGACGCGCCCACGAGCGAGCGCTTCAGCACCCGCAGATCGTTTGCAGCCGTGTCCAGCCCGCATTGCAGCACGGCTTTCGCGAATGCGCGCGTCGCCAGAGCGAGGAGTGCGCTCGGTGCCAGGCGATCGGCGAGTTCGGCGGGCGGAAGGTACGGTGCAGGCGGTGCGGTTCGCGGGAAGGGCAGGAGCGTAGGCAATTTCTGCACGCGTGCGATACGCCATACGGCGCGCATGAGCGCTGGGTCCACCACGCGCGGCAGCTCACGAAAGTCCGCTGGCCCCATCCACGTCGTATTGCGCGGCACGGTGAGCGTGTCGATGACGTTCGGCCGTCGCCGCAACCATTCCTCCACATCCACGATCGGGCGCGTACGCAGCTGGTCCTTCTTCGGGACGAGGCTGCACTCGAAGGGCGCGTCGTCGTCATGCTTGACTGTGCTGACGCTGCCCTCGCGTAGTGTGCTGCCCCTGGTGCTGCCCACGCTGCTACCGCGCGTGCTGGCATTCGCAGCTGCCGCTTTCGCCCGATTCGCCGCTGTCGAGCCCTTCGGCCGTCCAGGCCTCCGTTTCACCGGCGGCCCATCCGGTATGGCGGGCACGCTTGCAGGCGTCTGCAGGCTGATGACGATTTCCTCCGTCTTGACTGACGCCACCGACGCGCTGCGAGCAGATCTCGTCGTATCCAAAGGATCTGGATGCAATCGCACGTAGAAACCACAGATGTCGCAGTGCTGGAGCTGGTGCGAGCGCTTGCCGTTGGACTTCTCATCTTTGTCTGCGATACTTGCTTGGTCTGTGGTAGCTATTGATGGACGGATGCTGTACCCATTTTCCTGCAGCCAACTGAAGACGTCTGCAACGCTGAGAGGCATGTCGTCCGGTTCGCAAGAGGCCATGTACGCATCACGCACAGCGCGAGCGCGAGCCCACTAGAAGTATGTTTAGTCTCTGGTGGACCCTGCGTACGAGAGTAGAGCTCACCTCGATGGCCTTGCGCTTTCCGGCTATGAGCTGGCAGAACTGCGCAGCCGTAGACGTGACCGTATACGGGAAAGTGGGATTACGAGCACGACCGCCAGCAGGCTTCACATCCGTCATGACGAGGGGGGAGCGCTTGACGAGTTCCTCAAGCGCGACCTCGTAGTCTGATAATCTACGTCAGCTTTCTTTTCTGATGCACCACGGCCTTCGGAGAACAAGGACGCTTGTGAAAGAGAACGCACCCTCTTTACCGTCCGTTCGAGGCTGTTTGCGAGCAGCCGTCCTTGCCTTGCCCTCGCCGGCGGCGCCGGTGAATTCCCCATCCCACAGCGCTCGACTGCCCACAGGCGTGTAGTCATCGCGTTTGGGCAGGAAGACGGTGCCGCGGTCAAGGTCGACGTCTACGATCTGTTCATCTCCGAGCACTGGCGCACCGCGGCGGAGGGGATCAAGCTGTAGATGAACAGTCAGACTTCCGTTCAAGGAGCAGGCGCATATACGCACGTTGACCCAGTGCTCGTAGACTTCGCGTTGGTCATCCCGGCCAGGTATATGCGCACCAAATACCAGTTCAACACGCGCGAGGAAGGGCGCAGAGGCGGTCCCGCGCACAACGAAGGGGGGCTCGGTAGCAGTGGATGTCGACGAGTAGGCAACATCCGCTGCAGACGCGCCCGTAGCTCCAGATGTCGATGCCGTAGGCGTAGATGTAGAAGTCGTCGCATCCGCAGGTTGTTCAGCGGCTTTCGTCACAGTAACAGACCGGAGGATCGTAGTGATATGTTGGCTGTACGAAGGTGCGTCGACGGAAACCATCCATTTGTGAGTGTGGCCAGGGGGGATGTTTGCTCGTATGTCTTCGGCGATCCACAGGCTGCGGTCTGCTATGATTATCCGCGAGCTGATGTGGAAGCGGCTGCCTTCGCCGTGCGCAACACTGGAGCTAGAGTCAATGACCGTGGAAATTGAGGTTGCATTATCCTCCTGTGTCGTCTCCGGAGCTGTGCCCCTCCCTTGCCGTGGGACGCGGACCCTGAGGCGTCGCATATCCTCCTCCACCCCGTCGATATCGACGTCCGCATCCTCGTTGACGGTCTTGATCTCCCGCTTCTTCACCTGCCGACCCAGGAAGGGAGCAAGCGCCGGCGAGTCGCTGTGCAGACCGAGTGTGCGGGTGAGGAGTACGCTTTCCGTCCTCTTCACCTCCGCCGCGCGCTGCTCCTCCAGCTCCCCTACCGCCATCTGGAACAGCGTGCGCAGCCCGGGTAGCATCCCGCCCCCTGACCCGTTCCCGACTTGTATGCCGCGCGAAAAGTCCCAACGCACATATTCGTCCTCAGGAACCAGGCGCGCGGCAGCGCGGATGCACTCCTCATGCGTCCCCCACGCCAGCTGGTGTGCGAGGCGCGCGTGGTTGTACAGGCCTTGAAGATTGGTGAAGGTCGTGCGGTTACATGCGGGGCAGGACATGACAAAGGTGCGCGGGACACCCTCTGCGGTGGTGGCTCGTAGGTAGAGGAACTCGGGCTTGTCGATAGAGCTCGCTTGTCGCGCCCGAGCATTCGAAGGGCGGCCACGCCCATTCCCTCTCGCTTCGAGGTCGACAAGAGGCGGGGGTGAGGGTTCGCGCTCGAAGAGCACTTGCGCGTTGCTGTCTATGGTGGCTAGCGCCTCGAACGCAGCCTCCTCATACGAGTCGGGCACAGCGGCGGAGTTGGACGCCTCTAGGGAGCCTGAGTGGACGCGGTGGGACAGAAGTAGCGCACGCACCTCTTTCCAGGGTCTCCTTCAGCAGCAGCGCCCATGTCAGGCGCGACTCTATGGTCTCCGCGAGTCGCTGGCGTAGCCCAATTTCCAGGTTGATGTCAGAGACGAGATCCAATGCCGCCACTGTCGTGTCGATCCGGCGGCGCTTACTCGGAGGTGGGGAAGCCATGATAATATCTGCGTTCTCATCCCATTGGAGTGGTGCATCCCGTTCTTCAGACTTCATTTGCTGCCTGCCCCCACACGGAGAGCAAGCTGTCGAGATGGTGGTAAGAAGGAAGCAGTAAGCCCACCAGTTGCGCCATGTGCGATCACATCACCTTCGCGAGCGCCGATGCACGACCTCGGTCTCGCTTTCTGACTCTCACGTTGATCATTGAATGGTCCTGTGTCCTTGGAATCCTCGCTAGACCAGAGGGCCTCCCAAAACCCTGCTTGCGGCCATTTCATACTTACCACTTTGGCTTGTAAAGCCGAGATCGCGGTTTCTCACGTTCCCACATCTCTTCCTCCGACTTCATGGCCACCCACCAGATCTGCCAGCGTAAAATATCGGCCTTCAAACCTTCGAAGCGATCATGGAGCCCAATATCTTTCAGTCACACGCCTTCTCAGTCGACGCGAAGGCCCTCACGTTCATCCCGCTGCTCGCTCGTAACACAGAATTTGGACGCTTTCTCCCCTCGGCCTATTGCGCGAGCTAAATCGCTCTTTGGCGATATCCTGGGCGCAAATCAAGCTCCCGATATCTTTTTCCTTCCTCCAAGAAGTCACCTCCGATGTCTATTCAGCCATCCTGGCCAATCCTACCTTCCGCGAAGCCTTTCTGGTAACAGACGCGGAGGACCGAACGTCATTCGAGGACGTACCCTTCGCGAACATCACGCTGCTGTACAGAGACCGCTTTGCCTTCGACTCGGACCTACCAGCAGATGAAAGTGCGCTCGAGGAAAACCCTGCCAACAAGTTCAGCCTTGGCGGCGTTTCCCGCATCACCCTACCCAGCAAGTACGGACGATGTGCACTTGCCGTCGACATCATCCCTCCATACTATCCATCCCTGATCTTTCGTCTCATCAACGTCCACCTTGACTCCCTCGGCGACACTTTTCACCATCGCGCCGCGCAGCTGGAAATCCTCGCCAGTCTCCTACGCGAGCCCGGGTGCAGTGGGGGCTTGATTGCGGGCGACTTCAACGTCATTAGCCCCCAAGCCCATACACTCCTCGAGAGCAATGGGCTGGTGGACGCCTGGGTCGCATTGCATGGGGAAGGAGGGCTTGACGGTGCGACATGGGGAGTCAGAGTTGCACGCAGGGACAAGCTCACAGCGGGAAGATTGGAAGAAGTGGCAATAGTGGGCTTAATGGCGCAGGAGATGGAGGTCCTGCGCGCACGTCAGATTGACGTGCCGAGGTCTGGCGCACCATCGAAGTACATTCCGTGCAGTGATCACTTTGGCCTGCGATTGACTTTCACTCTGTGAGTACTTGGTATGACGATATCGATGGCAACTCGCTGCAGTCCCTTTCGTACTCGTCGGACACGACTGTACCTTTTTCTGTGATTTGTACACAAATTGCGGCGCAGAATACCAATTCCAAGTTTTCAACTTGAGTTCCGTGGCGTGCGCATGATAGGCACGTGTGTTCGGACCCGCCACGCATGCACCATCCCCCTTCAGATGCACGACTCAACCGCCTTGTCCTGTACCTTCATCGTCTTCTGATAGCTTCCTCCCGCCATGTAGGTTGTCACTTCCAAGAACCAAACGTTCATTGCTCAATTCTGCGCGCTGCCCAGGTCCGAATTCAAGAAAATCCTCAAATCTAAGCTCGGGTTTCCTGCCGTCTTAGAAGGAACGCCCAAGTTGAGGGTACACCGCGGTCTGCGTATCTATCCCAGATACGCATTTGGATGGCTTGTGAGTCAAACCGAGCTTGCGCGCCGCGCTGTGGAGGAGACCAACCAGGAAGGTCGGGATCCCATCGGCTATGGCTTGCAGCTCTTTCAGGAGGCAGGATTTGAGTGAGTCGGCAATCTACGCCGTGTGGAGTTTAAGTCGACTTCCAGCTGACTATCTGCCTGTAGACGGTGTCAGTACCAGTGGCAATGCATCTTTCCTGATGGCCACATGCGTCTTCTGTTCTATGTTGCCACCAATGACTCGCCTGAAAGGCGGGATATGGCGCAGGACGAGGAGTACATTGCACGGGCAAAGGCGGTGTTGAGGCAGACTGGAGATGGAAAGTGGTATCATATAGACACGTTCTGAGTCGGTGTTCATATATTGTACGCGTGAACGTTGTACTTATGGGCATGGAAGCGTTCTTTTCAGCTTGAACTTTTGGCCGTGACGGACGCATGACGAGCACGTGGAGTCACGATTGACGGTCCCGGGAAACAAGCCAACCCGCTTGTTTTTCTCCATTAGCATCGGGCTGTTTCCCTTCGCCATGTACGTCGAATCTTTGATCCTGTGAGGTTGACCTCAAGCAGCCCAGGTCTGAGCGTAGAATCACTAAATCCAAGCTTGGGTTTCCAGCTGTCCTCGACGGAATGCCCAAGCTACGAGTTCTTCACTCACCAGCTATATATCCAAGATATGGCTTTGGATGGATTGTAAATAAGACCGCGCTCATGCGCCACTCCGAGGAGGCGACTGGTCAGCCTTGCCGAGACTACCTCGCCTATGGCTTGCGACTCTTGATGGAAGCTGGCTTCGAGTGAGTGACAGGTCATCTCTTTCGACAGCATCTAACTTTACGCGCTGGTAGACGAGGTACATACGACTTCATGCACATCTGTCCGCATGGCAAGGTAGCGACGTTGTGGTACATTGCCACAAACGAGTCGCCAGAGAAGCGTGATCTTGCCTCTAACAAGGAGTATGTGGAGAGGGCGAAGGCGGCTCTGGGGCAGACTGAACAGGGAAAATGGTACCACATAGATCTTTTCTAGCCAAACAGGACCAATGCCGTACAAACAGTATTCAGGATAGCGCTGCTTTGGTCTCTGCTTTAGCTTCCCTGAAGTATAACTTGACATGTCCGCTGAGTCAGTCCTCCTTTCCACCGTGCAACGTATTGTCTCACAAGCTTAGGAAACGGCTTTCTCGACGCGGCTTTCCGTTACTCATCGACGAAACGCCTAAACTTCGAAACCTCCGCCTTCCAGATGTTTATCCTAGATATGGCTTTGGGTGGATTGTGCCCGCACGCGCGCTTATGCGTCTTGCCGAGGAAAAGACTGGCAAGCCTTGTCTAGACCACCTTACCTATGGACTGCGACTTCTCCGAGAAGCCGGCCTCCCGTGAGTGGAGCACCATCTTCCTCGACAGTCACTAACCGTGTACTGGTAGAGATGGTGAATATGATTTCTGGCCCCTCTTTCCGCATGGCCAGTTAACGACGTTGTGGTACATTGCCACAAATGAGTCGCCAGAAAAGCGTGATCTTGCCTCTAACAAGGAGTATGTGGGGAGGGCGAAGGCGGCACTGGGGCAGACTGAGGAGGGAAAATGGTACCACATGGATCTCTTCTAGCTGTTAGATGTGGAACCTACCGTAGACACGACTACGCTTGAGCAAATGTATGTATCTGTTTTCGTGCCGCTACTGTATATCCCACGTTTTATTACGTCTCAGTTTGCAGCTGAGTCATGACAATCTAAGTTACGCGCAGGAATGCCTAACTGCATGCTGACTTGGGTTCTGAGCTGCAACCCATCAATTCAATCAATTCAATCAATTCAAGTGATAGTATTCAACGCCAACATACTGCATACGACGGCATGGGGAGGGTCGGTAGGTAGGTAGTGGTATGGTACATGTGAATGATGCGCCTGAGGATCATAAGACCAAGAAATGCGTAAGATAGGGAGGAATATACTTATTGTCCATGCAACAGAGAAGATTAACTTCACGAGCTGAGATTCGAGCGTTCACGTTCAACGAGGGCTTCGACATCACTCACTGGCCGAGCAGACGTTCATGCCATTGTCCTGCGTAGAGCCGACGCCCCGCTCCGACCGAGAGACCCCGACGACGCCGGTGCCAAACGCCTGCTCTCCTTCGGCGGCACGACGCTGTCCGCCACCGGCTTGTCCTTGTAGTTGAGCAAGTCGTACAGCGAAGCAATTTGATCACCCTGGTGTACGGTCAGTCAAGCCACATACGCACGCCAGAAGGCAATACACACCTTCTGCTCAAGAACATCGACGACTTCACGAAGGTGCTGCGCCAGGATGTTGCGCTTCCGCACATCCGACGCCGCGTCCATATCCTTGTACTGGTCCGCGAACTCGACGTACACCCTAGGATACGAGTCAGCATGCATTCCCACTGGATTCGCACCTCACGTACCCCTTATAGTGCGTAAAGTCATCCTCGAGCTCGCGGATGACGCGCGCGAGCACCGTCTGCGGCGGCAGACCTTTATTCTTCCCCTCCTTCGCCCAGTCAAACGCCTGGCGCATGCGATCGTCGCCCATGGCAGGCGACGCGGCCTCCTCCTCGGAGGCCTCCGCGAAACCTTCGTCGTCCGAGTCCGCGTTGGCGCGACGGCTGTCCTCGGCGTCGACCGTCGCTCGCCTGCGGTCGTCATCGCCGTGCCGGTGGCCGTCGTCGTGCTCGTGCTTGTGGTCTGCACCATGCTTGGGCCCCTTCGAGCGCCGCCGCCTATCGCACACCGTACAGGTATGCTGGTTGTGGTCCGGGGCGGAGAAGAACAACCGCTCGAGCCGCGCCCCCCGAATCTGCGGAAACGGCGCCTCCCGCAGCTCCTCGTCGTCCACATCCGAGCAGCTCAATGCCGCCCGCGAACGCTCTGGCTTCAGGATCGGCGCGGGCATCGGGCGGTTGGCCCTGCCAGGCGTCGGCGCTGCTGGCCGAGACTCCTCAACAGGCACGACGGAAATGTTGCCCGGCGCGACGCCCGAGCTCTCCTCTGTGACCTCGGAGAGCCGCGAGAGCTGCCCGACCGACGTCTGCGAGCGCGACGACCGGCGCTCCTCCATCTCCTGCTCGATCTGCCGAATCTCGTCGCTGTCGAGGAACGGCCGGCTCGTCTCGCCGACGCCAGACTGGTTGGCCCGCATGCTGCGATCTGAGCTCTCCGCCGATTTCGTGGCACGGTCGGTGCGGATGGTCCTGTCCGCGTTTGTGCCGATTTGCGCGCGAGAAGACCCGGGAATGGAGACGGGGTCGAAGGGAAGCTGGTCCTCCTCTTCGTCGCTGTCTTCGACAGTCGGGCGCTGAGAAGGAGCAGTTTCGTCCTCCTCCTCTTCCTCATCGTCCTCGTCGACGGACATGCCCATGTCAGGGTTGCTGACCTCGATCGACTGCTGCGGCAGCATGCTGAGGTCGTCCCCGCGAGACTGCTGAGACGCGTTGCCGCTAGGTTGACGCTGGCGCTGGCGCTCAGGGCGGGCCGACGGCCGACGTTGAGAACGAGACAAGTCTTGCGCATCTTGAGTGAACGAAACTTGAACGCTCTCGTCGCGGCTGCTGCCGTTGGAGTGACGGCTGCGGTCCTTGAGCCCCTCCTCGACGACGCCACGCAGGACCTCAACCTCGCCGCCAAGGCGCTCAACCTCCTCGCGGAGCTTGTCGACCTCTTGCCAGCGTTCCTCCCATTTGTTCTCCTTCGTCTGATTGTCGATGCGGATCTGCGCGAGCATCTCCTTGTGCTGCTCGAGCTCGTCCGTCAATCGCGTGAGATGAGTGCGAAGGCTGGTGATGAGCGACTCCAGGGCTACATGCACGAGTCAGCAAGAGCGCCACACGCAGAAGCATGCCACACACCCTTCTTCTCCTCCACGACCTCTTTGTATCGCTGCGTCATATCTTCCTCGTCCATCTCCCGCTGCTTTCCCTTCCGCCTGCGCTGCCATTCTTCCTCCCGCTGAAGCATCTCCTCCCGTTGTTGCAGCCGATCACGCTCCATCTTCGACTCCCACTCTAGCATACGCGTGCGCTCCTGCCGCACCTCCCTCTTGCACTCCTCCAGCTCCAATTCGAGTTCGCGCACCCTGCGCCGCGAGATCATGTTCTCCTCCTCCAGATGCTGCAACTTTGTTTGTACGGTAGAGATGGTGTTCAGCAGTCGGACTATGAAGAGCTTGTCAATGCGAGCTCAGGCGGATACAAGCTGGTCACGCACCCTCGATCTCCCTCGGGCGCTTATCATCGAAGTACTCCAGATGCGATAGCAACCCCTTGCCAGGCGACTCAACGGCGCTCGTTAAACCAGTGATGTCGGGAAGATGGATGCGGCCCTTGAGCGGCGTGGCATAGCGTCGCTGTTCAACGGGGGCGGAGGCGGGTCGACGGATGCTCGAGTCCTCCTTTGCACGTTGGATGCGCTCCTCCGCTGCTCGACCGACGCGATTGCGGTCAACGCGTGACCGATCGGGGTCCTGCTGGAGCTCCCGAGCCAGCCCGCGCGCCGCCTTCGTGAACGCGGAAGACGGCGTCGGTGGCTGAGCCTTCATCGCCGGCTGCTGTCTTCGTGCCGCGGGTCGTGGCGTCTGATTCGCGTCGACGCTGAGGTTGCGCTGCAACACCTGGGGGCTGCGCGGCCGCCTTGGGGAAAAGGACACGCGCCGTAGCGCGTCGGCGAGCTTCGGGCGCGCAGTCATGCTCGTGTCCGATTCCGATGTCGAGGACGAGCTGACAGAAGGCGAGCGGAGACGCACGGAACGCTGACCCTGGTTGTTTTGCTGCTGCTGCTGATGTCCGGACTGTAGCAAGCGGTCCAAATCCGCGGTAGTGTCGACGGGGTCGGCGGACATGCCATGAGGGTGGTACTTTGAGCGGGAGGGGTCAAGGTCGTAGGCACTGAGTTTTGCGTCGACACCGCCGATCATCTCGTGTAGTGGCCGGTCGGGGTCGTATTCCGCACCGCTAATGCTGACCTCTCGTCGACCGTTCTGCCTTCTCCCTCCTAGCCCGGCGCTCAGCGTCAGGACGCTGGCGTGATGCGCTGCCGTAGATAATGTGCCGTGGCCATACGGATCAATGCCTTCGTCGTCGTTCGTCCTGTATGACCACCCATGCATAGGTTCCGCATCGAAGTGCGAGCGGTTTTCGAAGGAGTTGAACTGGTCAAGGTGGTTGGAAGAATGGCGAGGATATTCGACTTCGGAGTCGGAGGAGAGGTGGAAGGAGAGGTCGGTTTGTTGTAGGTTGTGTTCCAATTGGCGCCTGTTGCGCTCTAGGCCATCGTCGGGGAGAATGCTGACGTCTAAAGAGGTCGAGCTCATCGTGTGCGACGACGGCGAGGACGATAAAAAGGGTTTCGCGGTGGCAAGAGCCAAGTTGAAATGCTTGTCAACAATCGCAAATTCGCGCGTTACGTCACGTGTACGCGTCGCTTCCAAATGGAGATTTTTATCGCCTTGTCCCGGCTGCTGCATTCACACCTCGATCGCCTCTCATGCTTCCTCGCGACATATTCCTTGGAAAGATGGCTACACTTCACATTATCCTAAAAGTCGATCTTCACAAGTAGAAGCTAGGAGCAAGTTTAGGCCACGCCTCCAATGTCACCTTGGCGCCTCAAATCGGCGACTTCCTCTGGCAAAAATTCAAGCTCATTGACCAAGACCTCATCAGTGTGTTGCCCAAGCCACGGCGGCGGCATTCGCACTGGCATACGCTTGCCATTATAGTGAACAGCGGGCGCGACAAGCTTTACCGGACCATCGATTCGAGGGTGCTGCGAAGGTCGTGAGAGGGATGATTTGCCACAAAACATCGCGCGTACCTCGACGTCTACGGTGATCTTCCTTGCTTGAGCCTAGAAAAGGACGAACATCAGTACCTCAACACAAGGCCAGTCACCCAAGACATACCTGTGGGTGTTGGAAGGTTTCCCCGATGTTGTTGATAGGACCGTGCGGCACGCCAATGCCCTTGAATCGCTCGAGCCACACATCGCGCGGCTCCTCCATGAGCTTGTTCTCGATTATTGAGACGAGCTCAGAGCGGTTCTTGACACGTTGCTGGTTGTTGGCGAACATGGTGTTCTCCGGCAACTCAGGTAGGGCGAGGACTTTTGCGAGGGACGCGAACTGTGCGAAAGGGTAGGATCAGTAAAGCATCTCCTCAAGGTCACTCAGAGAAGACCTCACCTGCTTGTCATTACCCGCTCCGATCATGATGAAGCCATCCTTGCACCTGAAGACCTGGTACGGCACAATGCTCGGGTGTGCCGTGCCGTGTCGCGAGGCCTCTTGACCAGCAACGAGGTAGTTTGACGCGATGTTAGCAAGGCCTGCGATCTGGGAAGGTGTGAGCTGTGATGAAGGCGGCTTGAGTGGTTGTTGGCTACATACCTGCGATTCGAACAAATTGCAGTCAATCCAGCAGCCCTTGCCAGTCTTCTGTCTCGACAACAATGCGGCCATGATGGCACCATGGGTGTACAGACCAGTCGCAATATCAGTCGCAGCCACCCCCACTTTGGAAGGAGGGCGATCCGGTTCGCCCGTGCTAAGTCGAAAGGTCAATCCATGCCACTGTAGACGTAATTTCGACGACGGACGCACATATGCATCAAGCCCGCCTCTCCCTCAATAACCACATCATAGCCGGCATTCTTCCGGAAAGGTCCAGTCTGGCCGTATCCTTAACGTCGTCCAGCTACTCAAGGCCGCCCCTGGCATCTCGCTCACCCGATATACTCGCATAAATCAGCGCCGGGTTCCATTCCGCGCAATGCGCGTGCCCGAGCCCCATTTCCGCGAGCTTGCCGCTGATGTAATTCTCGACAAGGATATCGCTCTTCTTGACCAAGCGCTTCATGACCTCCATGCCGCCGGGGGACTTGAGGTTCACGGTGATAGACCGCTTGTTGCGGTTGCAGGCGAGGAAGTAGGCGGATTCTGGAGGGAGGTGCTCAGAGCCTTTGGGGACGTTGGGTGCTAGCGGAGCAGCGGGAGGGTGCCAGGAACCTGAGAGGGACATAGAACGTGAGAAGGGGTCGGGAACCAGGACATGTTGTGAACATACGGGTGTCGTCTCCGCGCTTTATTTCTTCAACCTTGATCACGTCTGCGCCGAGGTCACCCAGAAGCATAGTCGCCGTAGGTCCAGCAAGAACACGCGTGAGATCCAGGATCTTGATGCCCTCTAAAGGTGGGGGTATGCCATTCAACGGCGTCGCAGCCGCCTGCGAGGGCTGCGTCTCATAGAAACGCACGGACGACCTGAACAGACTACTTCCGCGTATCGTCAACCGCTTTCCCGTGACGCGCAACATGATGGCAAGAGGAGAAAGGGTAAAGGTATTCTCGGATGTGGGGTCGCCATCGTTCCCGCGGGCCGCCGCGGGCTGTCGGCTCAGCTGAGCGCGTCGGTCACATCACGCAGTCACGAAGAGATTTCGCTGCACGAGTCACTGGTCAGCGCTCCGATCTAGCAATCGCCTCCAGTTTACGCCCCTGTGACCTTCGAGAGTACTTTGGGCAGCCAGAATGCGGTACTACGAGCAGAAATATCCGGAGGTGGACGAGCTGGTGATGGTCCAGGTCCGCCAGATCGCGGAGATGGGAGCATACGTGAAGCTGGTGCGTCTTGTTGGAGTGAGCTGGAAAGGGACGGTGTTGCTGACAGTGGGATGTGCAGTTGGAGTATGACAACACGGAGGGAATGATCTTGCTGTCTGAGCTGTCTCGTCGTCGCATCCGATCAGTCCAGAAACTCATCCGTGTCGGCCGTAATGAGGTCGTCGTCGTTCTGCGTGTGGACAAGGAAAAGGGTGCGTCCCCAACCCTTTCAGTCATACTTCGTACTGACACATCTCAGGCTACATCGATCTCTCCAAGCGCCGTGTATCCCCCGAAGACATCACCAAATGCGAGGAGCGCTTCATGAAGTCAAAAAGTGTTGCCTCTATCCTCCGTCACGTCGCATCCAAGCTCCCCTCCGCCGACGTCAACGACGCCGCACCGGTTGAAACCGCAGAGAAGGAGACGAAGCGCTCCAGGAAAGCAAGGCACGCTGGCAATGACGACGAGCTGCCGGACGATTCGCGCATCCCGGGCACCAGCGCGAACGAGGAAGAGAAACTTGAAATGCTCTACGAGACGATCGCCTGGCCGCTCGGTCGCAAGTTCGGTCACCCATACGATGCGTTCAAGCTGGCGTTGACGTGCGTGAAGTGGTCCGTATGTGTTGTAATGCTCATGCTGACGGCCATGACCTCGCAGGGAGCAGGACTCGGTGTTCAGCCAGCTGGAGACGCAGATCCCACCGTCGACGATACAGATCCTCATGAACACTATCGCGAGGCGCTTGACGCCTCAGCCCATCAAAATCCGTGCAGATATTGAACTGACGTGCTATACGCCTGCCGGTATCGACGCGATCAAAAAGGCGCTGCGCGCAGGGGAGAAGGAGAGCACCGACGCCGTTCCAATCAAGGCTCGCTTGGTTGCGCCGCCATTGTATGTTCTCAGCACGAACGCCACAGACAAGGTATGTAAACCATCTCGTATCATGCTCAAGGCTGACAGGTAATGGCAGTACGCTGCTGTCGACCGTCTCGAACGCGCCTTGGAGTCCATTCAGGGTAAGATCGAGAGCCAGGGCGGCTCGCTTGTAGTGAAGATGAAGGTACACATCCGCATCTTTTCAAGCACCTAGTTTCTTATCCATCTTATAGCCTAAAGCCATCTCCGAAGCCGAAGAGAAGGATCTCGAGGCACGCATGGAGAACGCGGAGCGCGAGAACGCAGAGGTGTCTGGCGACGAGTCCGAAGAGGAAGAGTAAATGTGTATGTATGTGTACCTCCTTCATCTCCGACCTACGGTGTACAACAGCAAGCATCATTAGCAGCGCTACCAGCGTGTGTGCAGACATTCATCGACACCGCGTACTTTAAGGAAGGGTTGTTCGTTCGCTTGTGAGTTCGAAACAGGCATCAGTACTATGGTTGCCTATCATGAGTTGTCCTGCATTATAAGTGCTATGCAACATCGTAAAGATCCTATATGCGTAAAAATCACAGCCGACTTGGTACGTCGAGAGGCCTTCGTGTAGCATAAGAACACCCTTGGAGGTGGCCGAGCTGCCCGAGGCCTCGGCGAGGTTTCCGGAGATGAGAATGTGCTTGATGTTGCCTTGGTCCTAACGTTCATCTCACTCTGCCTGCCTGTCCGACATTCGTTTCCCCTACCAAAAAGCGCACGATAGACTACGCTCCTTTAATTCACAAGCTCACTTGGCCTTCCCCGGCATGAACCCATGGGCTTCTTCTCTACCCGCCGAGAAGATGTCGTCGACAGCGAGCGCTCCAGCTCTGTCGTGCAGGTTATACGGTCCAGATTCGTGCGTCCCAACATCTCCCCACTGCTGAACCACAACTTGACTGGATGATAGTACGGAAAGGGGAAGGGAAAGGAGCGCGAGCTCGAGCACGGACATACCGTCTCCGAGTCGTACATCCCTCAGCAGACCCCCGCGGAGGTCTTATCTGGCCCGCCCAAGTCCGCGCGCCTGCACCATGCGCGGAGCGTACCCCTCCCCACCAAAACCCACTTCTCGGGCGCGCAGTCTGCACCGAGCAGCCCCCTTGTGCAGCGAACGGACATGCCGCCTCCCCCGGTGCCCCCCTCGCGATCCGCGCCGTCTAATAACAAGGAGAACGGCGCCAGCCCGCGCAAGCAGACCGATACGGCCACGTACGTGCTCTAGATGGCGCTGGGGGATCGGGCTCACAACAAAGCAGCGTGACACTTGCTCAGCGTCTGGATGAGCTGAGAGTCGCGAATGCGGAGGGGTTGCTGAAGTACGTTCCATGTCGCGTCGACAAGCGCGTGGCTAACGATATACAGCGACGATGAATACCGCTTGCTGCGCCAGAACCTCTTTGAGCGATTCTCCAGCGCTGCCACCGTGCCCACCGAGGCCCCTGTCGTCCCAGTGACAGGCCGCTCGCAGCCCGCCTCCCCTCGCCCCAAATCCAACTTCGTCGTCGAGCGCGAGACGGCCAATCGCACGCCCTCCTTGCGCTCCTCCTCGAACAAACGCTCCTCCCTCTCCCTCTCGACGAACATGTCCAACATGATGAAGTTCAAGCGCACGCCATCCACGTCCCGAGATTACAGCGAGACGTCAAGCGTGCGTTCCTTCGCGTCAAACGCGTCCACCAGCGTGTGGCCTCGACTGAAGAAGAAGACAAGCAACTCGTCAATTTCGACGAGCGCGTCGGTGCAGCCAGATACCGCTTCTGTCACCTCCTCCCGCATTGCCGGCGCCCACCGCAAGGCCGGCTCCTCTCATGTTCCGCACCATCTTTCGCACTTCTCGCGCGATAACACGCGCTCCACGGGCAGCATCCGCAAACTCGCGAACCCGCCGTCCTCCTTCAGCCTTTCGCGCGCAGCGACAGCGGAGAAGCTGCCCTCCGCGTCCTTCGAGGACGTCTTCGACGAGGCGAACTTACAGACTGCGGCAGACATTCGCGCGGCCATCGCTTCGGTGGAGGCGGAGGGCCGTCGACTGATGGACGCGTTCAATGGGCTCGAGCTTACGGCACTCACGCGGGCGCAGGCCAAGGGGTCGGCGGTGACACTCACCTCGATGCCGCCTCCTCCGCAGCCAGTCGATATCGACAGCGTGTCGGTGCGCTCGGGCGGCTCTGCGCGCACTGCAGCCTCCCGCTCCGTCCGCCGCGTCGGTCGGTCAGGCTTGTCCACCGGCTCGCATCCAGTTTCTCTCCACCGGAAGCCCAGCGTCAGCAGTACCGGGACCAGCGGAACCTCCAGCACCGGAGCCGGGCGCCTGGCTCCGCCTCCTGTCCCCGCACTACCGATCGGCCAGCTGAGCACGGGGAGCACATCGAGCGTCAACCTGGTGCGCTCGCCGATGCGTACCGTGCCAGAGGATGGCGGGACGTCGGGGAGGCCGTCGTTGGAGTGGAGCGCGACGCAGGACCCCGGAGCTTCCGCACATACGGAAATGGAAGACATTCGGCGGCGGCGGGAGGAGGTGAGCGCACGATACGAGGCGCGGCTGGAATACCTGCGCGCCAAGTTGAAGGGCGCCGTGTTGCATGAGAAGCTGCTGAAGAAGTAGCTTGGCTCCCATCTTATTCTTTCAGTCAACGACCCTGCTCGTGCGTCGCCATAGCGTGAGCTGCAGGTTCGAATGACCCCTTTGGTTTTGGTTTTCTTATGCTCTTCGTTCTTACCGCCATGCTATCCCATGTACGTTACTGATACCTCTCGGGTTACCTTGTGCACATGTATATCGCTTCAGGCTTAGACACGTCGTTCTCTGGGACTTATGTGTTGTGATTGTGAGGTTGAAGATCGTCTTACCACAGTCGGTCAGTGGGCGACATCTACTAACCTTTCGTGCAAGAGCTGGTCCGATGAATAAGTAGGATGTCATGCCGTAGTCGTCGAAAGAGAATGGCTCCTCGCCACTGACGAGCTTGGTTAAAGCAGACGCCAGGGATGTATCGAGTGGATAGACTTGTACAAATCTGCGAGACGACAGCATGATAGCGAGTATGTTACATAACTGTAGGGCGAGAAGAGAGATAGAGGAAAGATGAAGGAGAGATTGTAGGGAAGATGAAGCAGTCTGGAGCAGTGGATATACAAATACCTGGTCCTATGCCAGTACAGGTGATGTCCTTCTGTCATCGTTGGTCGTTGGTCCTCCCGGGCCATCGGGGCAGACGCGCGCGCGGCAGCCGCACGCCTCTATGTACCGTTAGTGGTAGGTGACGTGGGCGCCGGCCAGCGCGACAGAGGCGTGCCAGCTGCGGCTGGGTATGACGCGCAGCTTAGTCTTCGACGGCGTTCTCCCTGTACCACGCTTGCAGCCACTCCTCGGCCGTGCGGAAGTCCACCTTGACCTTCCCGAGCAGCTCGCCGATGCGCGAGAGCGCCTCGTCGTCCGAGAGATCCTTGCCCTCGTTCTTCTTCTCCCCGTAATGCTGTATCTTCTGACAGGAGAGCTGCACGCGGGAGACGCCGAGCGTCGCGGATGAGCCCTTGAGGAAGTGACCGAGGGAAGATAGCTTGGGGAGGTCGGACGACTTGCTGGATGGTGGGTCCGTCAGCGCTGGCCGTCGCGGGAAGAGGTGATGCCGGCTCACAGGGCCTTGTCCATGTCCTCGAACGTCGTCTCTGCTTGCGAAAAGTACTCGTCGACCATACCACGGCTGAAGTCATGTGTCTCGTCCTCGTCGAGATCAAGCAGCTGCTGGAACGTGTCCATGTTGATCATGGACTACGCACGACGTCAGGATGTGTGGGAAGGGTCATTGCTGGCGGCGACGCACCTCGGGGGACTCTGGCTCGGGTGTCTCTGCTTGCTTGGTGGCGGGCTCCGGCTTCGTCTCTGGCTTCGCCACTGGCGCCTCTGGCTTCGTGTCCGCCACGGGCGACCGCGTCGGCGTCCTAAGCGCATCTTTGTGGTCGCGCGGCGGCTCGGGCCTCTTGTGTGTCGTGTCTGGCTTGGATAGGATGGTCGTCGTCGCTACGGCGGCTGCCATGATGTGCTCGCTGTCGTGTGCGATGAGGAAGATCCGTGCTGGGTGGGAGCAAGAAAGCAACGCTGATTATCAACTCGGCAAACGAGCAAGTGCATGGTCGATGTCCGGTCCGAGCCGCCGACGCGCGTGTTCTGATCACATTATCTCCTTACGTCACCGCGCGCTTAAGCGTCGCGCCCTTCTCACGTTCAGAAGGCCTATTGTGGTTCGACTGCCCGGCCTTGTGCCCCAAAAGAGCGCGCCCTGAGCTGCCCTTGGAGGACCTCAGGCCCAGCAAAGAGACCTCTAGCTTACCGACACGACGAATGCGCCGTCGGCCCGCTCTCGATCTCTCATCCGACTCCACCGTCGGCCCAAGGCGGCACGACCTACGCGTGTGTCTTGAGACGCGAGCGAAGTAGAGGGTTGACCCTCTTCCGTGGACGCTGCATTGTTCGGAGGATCCAATTCGTCGTGCACGCAGCCCGCAGCCAGGACGCCAGTACATAAAGCGGAGGATTCAGAAGTCCCGGCGCGCCCGGCATTGACGTCGACGGTCGACCTTGTTTGCGCATGCGACGCCAGTCGCGAGGTCTAGAGGGTCGATGCGCTACTCGAAGTCAGGTATTTTCGTTTCCCGTGATACTCGGAAGGCACCGCGATGCGCATGTAGAGTTGACAGCCACCCGCGGCCCAAGCACAGGTGAGGATTGCGCCGCAGTTCTCAACGTCAACCAGAGGGACCTGCATCGCCCCGACGCGGAGTTGCTACGCATGGGTTGACTTGCTGTCGTAGACAACGGCAGGGTCCTCTGCAAAGCGGGGAGCACGGATATAAGGGAGCAGTGAACTTGACTGACGTACCGACCGCTGCTATCAACAGATAGGCCCCCTCGAGGTTGAACATGCAAAGATAGCTCCAACACCGTTGTCAACGCACACAACTCGCGGTGCTTATGTTTGTGTGCGAAGATGGAAGCCGAAACGGACACGAGAGAGATGTGGAAGAGTCTTTGCAATGACGTCGACCTACACAAGTCAGACACGCTTGCAAAGCTCAATAGCAACCTTGCACCCCGCGCCTACGATGGTGCTCAACAAAGCGTGAGCTGGCGCCCTCTGTGCGTAATTTTCCACGGCAATGTCCAGGTGCTCCAGTTCATCGTCTCGAAACTCCTCGATGACCTTGCGGAGTAAAGGCACGCTCGGGTGGTCGTTCGGCAGGTCTTCAATCTCCTTCAATTGGCTGGCGCAGCGTGAGCAAAATTTACCTTCGGGGGATAGAGCATTGCGGTTGTAGCCGAATCCACGCTCCACGCAGCAAGCCGGAGGACTCACTCATCATAATGCTCCCCGATGACTGTCTCCACGGCTTCCGTGCACGCCATCGCTGCCTCGCGGCTCATGAGCGCGGTCCCTGCGCCCAGCAAGAAGCCCCCTGCGCGTGCGGCGTCGGCGAGGATAGTTGGCCGGACGCGATGCTGCACCTGCAGCTTGTCCATGACGTTGATGTGCTTCTTCTCTTGCTCCCACATTTCCTTTGTGTGGCCGCGATTAGAAAAAGTTCTAGGCAATCAACGAGGGTAACTGCGGTTCGCGGGAAGGGGTGAAGGATAGGCATGGAAAGATGGAAGGAAGGGAGGGGTATGGGAGAGAAGTAGGGGATGCGCATGGAGCTAGGGGTATGCATGGAAGGAACGGGTGGGCTTGCAGGGTGTATAAGGGGGATGCATGCGCATGGCAAGGGCAACACACCTTGATGAGCTCCCGGATATTCTTGTCTCGGCTGAACACCGCGTATTGACCCATGTATATCCAGTTCGCGGCTATCTCTCCGGCCTGGTCGACTCGCAGGGCAGCATCTAAAGCAGAACGCTGTTCAGGTGTAATGTCCGGGGTGGTGGACACTGAAGGAGCATCGGGGTCCGTCGACTTGGTGTACGCATCGCTAGCGAGTGTGCGATGGGTTGACAAATGGGAAGAGCTCGCCGCGGGGGTTGAGTGCAGTGATCTTGAAGCGCTATTGAGACACCTGGTTGACGAGAGGAGGCATCGAGAACTGCTTCTGGTCGCCTGCGCGTACATGGCGCCTCTCGCGAATTCGGACCGTGTGGGGTGAGGGAGAGTGGTAATTAGCCACGCGACCGGCATTCTGGCCGGCAGACGCGCATCACGTGCGTCATTTGCAGCGAACGCGTCTTGGCTTCGACCTCGACGCGTGCGAGGTCGAGCGCGTCTCCTTGTTGGCGGCGGCAATTTCTAGTGCATATATGCAGTGAATTTTACCGGAAATTCTACTCAGCATGTCGAGCGACAGTGATGCGTCCCTCGTCCTCCCCACCCCCTCCGAGTTTCCCTCCTTCCCCTACCCCCAGCCGTACCAGATCCAGCTCGACCTCATGCGTCACCTCTACGAAGTCCTCGAAAGCAAGAAAATCAGTATAGTAGAGAGTCCCACAGGCACGGTGCGCCCTCATCCAATCCCATACCCGCATTCACTTACCGATCGGCCTTCCCTGACCAGGGCAAAACCCTCTCCCTTCTCACCGCTAGCCTCACCTGGCTGCGTGACCACCAAGATCGCGCGCGGAAGGCGCACGCGCTGGAGGTGGCCGGTAACGCGAAGAAGAGCACGCCGCAGTGGGCGATCGACCAGGCGGTGGCGCGCAAGAAACGAGAGCTGGAGGCAAGGGAGGAGGAGAGGGAGGAGCGGATGAAGAAGGCGCGCGCAAAAGAGGCGAAGCTGAGGGCGAAGGTGGTGCATATGAAGAAGAAGCAGGTGAGTAAGTCAAAGGGAGTGCGTGAGCTCGTTGCTCATGACGATCGTGCCAGAGAGTGGAAGGAGCGGAGGGTAACAAGACCAAGTCGTCGATCAACGAGGCGCGATATCTGCCTTCGGATGATGAGGATGCGGAGGATGAGGATGGAATGTCGAAAGAGGTTCGGGCGCTGTTCGCGAAGTATGTGCCAGCACTATCCTTTGCAGGCGCAACTGAGCATGTTACGCCCAGGATCGAAGCCAGCCGGAACACCTCCCGTATAACGGAGGAAGACGAGGAAGCCCTGAAGTGCACCAAGATCTACTACGCGTCGCGTACGCATAGTCAACTGTCGCAAGTTCTGCCGGAGCTGCGACGGGTGGACGAGCGGCGGGCGTCTTGTAGTTCATCTGCCTCGGACGACTCTCGGCCAGAGAACACGAACGGTAAGCCTGCACGCGAAGGCGGCAAACGAGCTCGCGAAGAGGACGACGAGGTCCGCTACTACACTACTACACGTGCCGTGGCGCTGGGTTCGAGGAAGCAGCTTTGCATCAACGATACGCTGCTCAAGGGCAAGCGCGTTGACTTGGACGAGGCATGTCGAGCGATGTTGGCAGGTAAGTCATTGACTTCTAGTGCAATGCGTCTCACAGATATCTGACGTCGCTGCCAGAGAAGAAAGAGAAGCGCTGCCCTCACCTTCCGTCGCAAGAAGAGGAAGCAGCGATGCTAGACCTGCGAGACCAAATACTGGTGCGTTATTCCATCGTATATGCTCGCTTCCAAATTCAAGTTCCATCAGGCCACCCCGAAAGACATCGAAGAACTCGCTGCGACCGGTCGCGCCTCTGGTATCTGCCCGTACTTTGGGTCGCGCAAAGCTATCGATCAAGCGGAGGTGCGACGAAAGTATTTTTTCGAACCCAAATTTCACTGACGAATGTGCACCGCAGCTCGTGACCCTCCCTTACAACCTCCTCTTCCAGAGAAGCGCGCGCGAAGCGCTCGGGATTGACCTCAAGGACCAGATTGTGGTCATTGACGAGGCGCATAGTGCGTATGCCTCCTTCATCATCGGACTCTCATACTCATTCACTCGTCCTTTCCTCGCTCACAACTATCCCTTCCCCATTCCAATCATCTCTTCCACCTTACGACCACCTTTTCCTCATCTTCAATCCACTCCTTGATCGACTACCAGATGTCATCCCCACCCTCCTCTCCCTCTCCACCACCTCCCTCCCGCTGTCCCAGATCCGCCTCTCCCTCGCGCAAGTCACGACCTACCTGGCCAAGTTCAAGACGCGGCTGAAGCACGTGCATGTGCTGAGCCTGCGGCGCTTGACGGTGTTCTTGGAGAGTCTGGTGGCGTGTGTGGAGGGATGGGGTGGAGTAGATCGTGCTGTGAGTGGTATCGGTGCGAAGGACGCAGCTGGCGGAATGGACGGGGTAAAGGCGAAGGAGAGCGGGCAGCGAACGGCTAGTCAGGTGCAAAGGGGCACGAAGCCCACCGCCACTCAGCCTGTAGCGAGACCTGGTCAATCTTTCGCGAAGCCCACGCATCCCGCCACATCCCCAAAGACCGAGATCATGACCCCCAACGACTTCGTCTCCCGCCTCGGGAAAAAAGTCGAGGGCATCAATCTTCTCGAGGTTGAGCGGTACCTGAAGGCCAGTCGCATCGCGAGGAAGATCAGCGGGTATTGTCTGGAATTGGAGGAGGCTGCTAAGGGGGAGGAAGGGCCGGGTGGAGGGCCTGGAAGTGGGAAGATGGATAAGGAGAGGAGGAGGGAGTTGGGTGAGTCTGTGATGACGGGCGAATGGGATTGGGGGTGGCTAATGATGAGTGACAGCGAGCAAGAGGAAGGGCATGGTCCCGCCGTTGCATGCGGTGGAGGACTTTATGGTCAGTTTGAGTGGGATGAATGATGGTGCGCGAGATTGTTTATGTGGCGGCGGTGTTTCCGCACTCGAGAAGTCATCCTGACCTCCATGCTACCCCTCAGATGGCCGCATCTCCTTCATTCGCAACGCCAACGGCTCGCTCGAAGTTCGCTACCAGTTGCTCAACCCGGAGCCCAACTTCGCCGAGGTTGTGGACGAGGCGAGGGCCGTAGTCCTCGCGGGAGGGACAATGTCGCCAGTAAGTGCACCCAATAAGTATCCGCTCAGGACGTCGCTGACATCCATCCCAGATGTCCGACGTCTTCAACCAACTGTTCTCCCACGTCGCCGCCGAAAGGCTTACCAGCTTCTCCTGCGGGCATATCATCCCCTCGTCCAACTTGCAAACGCTCGTCGTCACGAAGGGACCGAAGGGCGGGCCGCTGGAATTCAAGGCAGAGAGGCAGAAGGATCCTGTGGCGGTGAGTACCTGTGCACGCCGTCTCGTCTGCTCAACTCATTCGTTCGTCTGCGTTTATGAACACTGTTCATACTGACGCCCTATGCAGATCGAAGAGCTCGGCCAGATCCTGTTCAACCTCGTTTGCGTCACGCCGAAGGGCATGGTCGTGTTCTTCCCGTCGTACAGCTTTCTCAATGCGGCGAAGGCGGCGTGGGGGCAGTCCGGGGCGCTGGGTAGGTTGGAAGGGAGGAAGAAGATATTCTTCGAGCCCGAAGAGACCACCGACGTCGACAAGGTCCTGCAGAGCTATGCTACCGCTGTACACGAAGTGGTGCGTATTCATTTCATCCCTCTTGCTCCCATCTATACCCTAACTACCTTCGGCTTATACATTCGTCCTCAGGACCCCTCCCGACCCAAACCTGGTGCCCTGCTCTTCGCCGTCATCGGGGCCAAGCTGTCTGAGGGTCTCAATTTCGCCGACGACCTTGCGCGCTCAGTCGTGATCGTCGGCATGCCGTACGCGAACTTGGGAAGCGCGGAGCTAAAGGAGAGGATGGCGTACGTCAAGCGGTTGGAGGAAAGGAGGATTAGGGAGGGAAAGCAAGTGAGAGAGAAGGGTGCGAAGGATGCGGCGGCGGAGCTGTATGAGAACATGTGCATGAACGCGGTAAACCAGTCGATCGGTGAGTAGGTCGATTCGCACTGAGATGTCGGCTTGAGGTTCAGCGGGTGCTAACAAAATCGTGACAAGGTCGTGCAATCCGCCACCAAGGGGACTGGGCTGCTCTTGTGCTTCTGGATCGACGGTATGCCAATGTTGCGATACGGAACAAGCTGCCGAAGTGGATTGGAAGCGGGCTTACTGTCGCAGACACGTACGGCATGGTGATCAAGGAGCTGGCGACGTTCTATCGCCTGAAGAGCACAACGTGACACGCCCCTATTGCCATCTGTTTTTGTGGGTCAATTATCTCCTCTCTTGAGAGTGGATCTCTCTCATCTCTCTTCCAGGCTATTTACATATCTATATACCGATGTGATTGCTATCTTACTGTGACCAGTAGAGGAAGTTCAACCGTGGGAGTGTTCTCGACCACGCGCGCGTATGCCGATCGCCGTGCATTGATTTCATCACCCCCGGGCCGGACACATTTTACCCTCCACCATGGAGGAACAGTCACATAAAGCTCACCGCGTATCTAAGAAGGACAAGGGCAAGGGGAAGGAAAAGCAGAAGGGCTTCAACGAGAAGGTGCGTGGTGCGCTGCATTTTCTGAACTCTCACTGAACCCCCACAGGCCTTCGCCCCCAAGTCCGGACGTCGAGCGGAGCGCCAGGGACGCCGAAATGTCGAGCGCGATCAGACGCGCCTCCATGTCCCCCTCGTCAACCGCACACCAGACGATGAGCCACCCCCTGTCGTAGTCGCTATCGTCGGCCCCCCTGGCGTGGGCAAGACGACACTACTCAAGTCCCTCGTTCGACGCTACACGAAGCAGACGCTCAGCGATCCCAAGGGCCCGATCACTGTGGTCAGCGGCAAGAAGAAGCGCCTTACCTTCGTCGAGTGCAACAATGACCTGAACAGCATGATTGACATCGGCAAGGTCGCTGACCTCGTCTTGCTAATGATCGACGGGTCCTTCGGGTTCGAGATGGTGCGCGCTACTTCCCTCGTCCTCGATCACTATGTACCAACACATATGACAGGAAACCTTCGAATTCCTCAACATCCTCCAGTCCCATGGCTTCCCCAAGGTCATCGGCATCCTTACCCACCTCGACCTCATCAAGAAAGCCGCGACCTTGCGCGCCACCAAGAAGATGCTCAAGAAGCGCTTCTGGACGGAGATCTACCAGGGCGCGAAGCTCTTCTACCTCTCCGGCGTGCTCAACGGGCGCTACCCCGACTCCGAGATCATGAACCTCTCGCGCTTCATTGGCGTGATGAAGTTCCGGCCACTCGTCTTTCGCAACACGCACCCCTACGTTCTCGTCGACCGCCTCGAGGACATGACCCCGCGCGAGGAGGTGCGCCAGAGCAAGGGGAAGTGCGACCGCACGGTGACGCTGTACGGCTATGTGCGCGGGACGAATTTGCGCCATCACACGCGCGTGCACGTACCTGGTGTTGGCGACTTCGATGTCGATTCGGTGGAGAAGCTGGGGGATCCATGCCCCATGCCGGACGCGGACTCGGAGAAGAGGAGGAAACTGAGCGAGAAGAAGCGGCTGATCATCCACGCACCGATGAGCGATGTCGGCGGCGTATCCTACGACAAGGACGCAGTGTATATCAACGTCCCGGGAAGCTTCACGCGAGGAAACGATGAGATGCCGAAGGGAGAGGGCGAGCAGATGGTGATGGACCTGCAGGACGTCAACTCGACACTCGAGGACGCTGTCACTCGGAGTCAGATACGACTCTTCGGGTCGTCGTCGAAGGGGTTGGAGGTGCAGGAGAGGGGCGAAATGGGCGAGGATGACTTCGGTGACGAGTCTGCAGATGAGGAGGATGAGGAGTTCTCAGAAGATGAAGACGAGGACGGGGATCCTGACGAGGACAACGTCTTGCCTGGCGCCGATCGTCATCAAGGCCCGAATACAGGTCGAACATCAAGACGAAATCCTGCCCGTGGCCTCGCTTCGTCATCACAAAAGCAGAAGACCGATGTTGCCTTCGCAGACAGCGACTCCGAGCTGGGCGACGAGGAAGAGGAGGATGATTTCGGTGGTCGCGTGCGGTTCGAGGACGATGTCGACATCCCCAGCGACGAGGAGGATGAGGACGGCATGGACGTCGATGAGGACGATGACGCTGGCGCCAGGTGGAAGCGGAACATGGGCGACAATCTCGCGTCATTACGGCGGAAAAAGCGGGACTGGACGAAGCTCATCTATCGCACGGATCTCGAACCAGAAGCAGTCTTGCGGCAGGTGCATGGCGAGAGTGACGAGGATGATGCTGACAAAGAGGAGAAGGAGGGAGAGGACGACGACTTCTTCGAGGTAAAGAAGAAGGCTACGCAGGAGACGGAGGACGAGGTGGAGGGTGCCATTCACGACGACCTCAGCAAATGGGAAGACGAGGAGATGCTCGAGTCCCTACGGCACCTCTTCATCACCGGCGGCGAGGCAGGCGAGGAGGGCGAAGAGGGCGCCCCCTTCGAGGATCTCGAGGCCGGCGACGGCTCGGACGCTGAGGGTGACATTGCCCCGTCAGCCGAGAGCAAATCCGCCTCCGCCCTCGCCGCCAAGAAGGAGCTCCTCAAGCGCAAGTTCGACGAGCAGTACGACGACCCCTCCGCCTCCAAGCTCGACTTCTACGACGAGAAGAAGGAGGAGATGGCGCAGCAGCTCGCGCTCAACCGCGCCGAGTTCGCCGGCGTCGACGCCGAGTCGCGCGCGCTCATCGAGGGCTTCCTCCCCGGCGCGTACGTGCGTATCCTGCTCCGCGGCGTCCCCGCCGAGTTCGTCGAGCACTTCGACCCCGCGTACCCGCTCATCGCGGGCGGCCTCGTCACCGCGGAGACGCAGATGGGTTTCGTGCAGGTCCGGATCAAGCGCCACCGCTGGTTCACCAAGACGCTCAAGACGAACGACCCGCTCATCTTCTCCCTTGGCTGGCGGCGGTTCCAGTCCATTCCCATCTACTCCCTCGACGACCACTCGATCCGGATGCGTATGCTCAAGTACACGCCCGAGCACATGCACTGCTACGCGACGTTCTACGCGCCCGCGGCCGTGCCCAACACGGGGTTCTGCGCGTTCAACTCGGTCGAGTCTGATGGGCGCGCGGGCTTCCGCGTCGCGGCGACGGGCGTCGTGCTCGACATCGACCGCAGCGTGAAGATCGTGAAGAAACTGAAGCTGACGGGCGTGCCGTACAAGATCTACAAGAACACGGCGTTTGTGAAGGACATGTTCAGCAGCGCACTCGAGGTGGCGAAGTTTGAGGGTGCGAACGTGCGGACAGTCAGTGGGATCCGAGGTCAGATCAAGAAGGCATTGTCGAAGCCGGATGGCGCGTTCCGTGCGACCTTCGAGGATAAGGTGCTGAAAAGCGGTAAGTCTTGCCCATCTGTCTTTCCTTCCCTGTACTGAGCACATCAACAGACCTTATCTTCTTGCGCGCATGGTACACGATCCAGCCCCGGAGATTCTACACGCCCGTCACCTCCTTGCTTCTCGAGGACAAGGCTCACTGGCAGGGCATGCGCCTCACCGGCCAAGTCCGTCGCGAGGAGGGTCTCAAGACGCCCTTGAACGTCAACTCGACCTACAAGAAGATCGAGCGCGCTCCACGTCGCTTCAACCCCCTCCGTGTCCCACAAAAGCTCCAGGCCGAGCTACCCTACGCGTCCAAGCCCAAACTCACCGCGCCGCAAAAGCGGCAGACCTACCTGCAGAAACGCGCGGTCGTGATGGAGCCCGAGGAGAAGCGGGCGATCGCGCTGCTGCAGCAGATGCGCGCACTCCGCGGGGACCAGGTGAAGCGCCGGCGAGAGAAGAAGGCAGAGAAGAGGGAGGAGAGGGAGAAGGCGCTGGCGAAGGAGGAGGCGAAGAAGGGCGAGAAGGAGAAAGAGAAGCGGAAGGAGTACATGCGCATTGCGGGGCAGAAGAGCAAGCGGGAGGCAGACATAGAGGGCGGGCGGGGCGGCAAGCGGCGGAAGACATGAGGGAGGGGCACATAGTATGTGTAGTTCTAGGTGTGCACTTCGTTGCTATAGATATCTCATCATGAGCGCTACGGGCGACATACAGAGCAGAGCTCTATTGGGACACATAATATGCGGTCCAGAATATACAGGGCGATACAATGCGATACAAGCAAATGCGAGCCTGTCGATAGCCAGATCCAGAACTCCCGAGCGAAGTCATGCTCAGGGAGTGTCCATGAGGGGGAGGGGGTTCAGGACGTCGTACTAGCCGACGGTCAACGCACGCCTGGCTCGAGTCCAGTCGCCGCATCGCTTTCCACGCTCCGGCCATGACTTGCGGGCCAGCGCGCATCGGTCGCTTGGAGGATGTCCACCTGGCGTGGGATTGCTCCCAACCTCCAGGCTGTCCAGGGCGTATCCGACCACGACCTTCGTATACTGGTCGGGGATCTCAGTCGACGTCCACGAGTTGAGAGGGAGAGGACAGGCTGCTTATATACCGCCGTGGATCTACAGCATGTGTGGCTGTGTTACATTACTGTTTGGTTCGTGGGCGTTGTTTGGTCGTATCACGTGCCGCATGTGGCGTCGTCGGGAGTTGCCGATTGGTTGACGAAGGACTGACACAACCGGCAACGTTGGAGGCGTTTTGACCCAAAACCCTTCCAAAGGGTTTGAACGGCAGGGAGCCATGAGTTTGCGTTGACCAACCAATTGCCGAGAGTGAGTTAATCTAGCCGACATGACTGCCTCGCGCAGCGTCACGGCAAGTGCCGCTCGATCGGGTCACAAAAGGTCACAGTTCGCACCAACGCTCAGTCCGTGGACCAGCAGACATTATGTTGAAGACATAACTTTCCATGTATCTCAATATACTCGAGGTTTATCTCTACACACCCGAATAGTACAAACTCACCACCAAGAAGAGCAAGGTGGCCTATACCAAGTGTAACATCATGGTGTGAGAAGCAGGTGACAATGGGAACTGGGAATGAAATCGTTCGCGTGCGGGGCCCCCTGATTCCCGCATCGACTCTGCTGTATATCCTCTATAAGTCTGATCTAAGGCTTGAAGTACTGTACATAGAAACATAAGGTGCTCTCAAGACACACTGCCTGCATCAACAGCCGCAGAAGCAGACAGTTAGGTTTGTCAGCATATATTCCCCTGCGCGGCGGCGGGCTGAACACGATATATGGTGCGGGTACCCCCACGCCTCAAGTTGTCGGTCGCATGTCGTCTTGCTTTCATCACGAGGATTGCCACCTCACATCGAGTTGATAAGCCCCTTGCCGGTTTTCGGCACGACATGCGTCAACCACGACGACTCCCACAGCAACCCTTTGGAGGCGTTCTGGGTCAAAACCCCTCCAATGTTGCCGGTTGTGTGAGTCCTTCCTGCACTTCATCGCTCTGCTTCTTCATTTGATCAACGATTTTACTTGACTTTCACCGACCTTCTCATTAGTGAACTCTCTGATATTCATCGAAACTGATATGGCCTAATAAGATATATTCAAAACACCGGGATATACACGCGATTGATTATTCCTTCCGCAGGTTGCCTTGTCCCGTTTCCCCCGCGTCCTCTACCCTCAATGGTTGCCAAGATACTTTGCAACAACCTGCATGAACTTGTCCCGCTCTTCCCAGAAAGGCGTATGGCTCGAGTACTCGAATTTCACCCATTTTGCGCCGGATATCTTCTCTACGAAGGGTGCGACAACCCAGTCCTGTGCGAAGTCCCTGGCTCCGTTGATGACGAGTGTCGGGACGTCGATTTCTCCTAGCTTGTCACGCACGTCCCATCCGTTCAGCTCGCCGCCCTGAGCGTTCCTGCCAAAAGTATGAGTGATCCACCCATAAGATGGGGGTTGGAAAGCTCACATAGCGTCGTTAGCCGTCGTGTCTGCGTCCTCGCCAAAGTTGCCTGCCATGCCACGCAGGAAATCCTCCGGAAACGGTTGCACCATGCAGCCATACTGAGCGTAGAACAGCTGGACCGCCTCCCATCGCTCCTCCGGAGTCGCGTCCTGGCCGACGATCGTCTGCTTCGCCTGCTCTGGAATATCTGCCTTCTCCAGTAGCTGCATGAACGACATGTCCCACCACTCCTTCTTGGGAAGGCTGTTCGCCAGGATGAAGTTCTTCATCCCTTTTGGGTGCCGCCGCAGCACGATCTCCTGCCCGAGGATGCCGCCCCACGAGTGCCCGAGGTAATCGTACTCCCCGATCTTCAGGTGAGCGAGGAGGTTGAAGAACTCGTCGATGAAGAAGTCGAAGGTCCAGAATGCGGTGTCGCCCTTCCTCTCGCGGACATGCGTGCTCAAGCCAGCGCCGACCTGATCGTAGAAGACGACAGGATAGCCATGGATGCTCGCGATGTCGCTGATGGGCAGCAGGTAGTCGTGCGAGAATGAAGGTCCGCCGTGGACGACGACGAGCGGACGCTTGCCGGAGGAGAGGTCGCCGAAGATCTTATAGTACGTCTCATAGGTACTGTCGCCAACGATGTAGGGGATCCTGCCATCGCTGAAGTCAGGAAAGGCGGTCATAGTGATCCTGACTGTAGGTGAGCGGCCTTGGCTCCTCTTCAGCAACAACAGTGCTTACCGTGTTCAGGCTCTTGTACTTGGATGTGGCGGGAAATGGAGACGATGTTGACGCTGGCAGTTTCCATTTGTACGAAAGACTTTTCCGCTTTGCAGATAGAGCGGCGTTGATACATCATGAGGGTGACTTCGATGTCTCGATGGACTGTTCAAAGCAGTTCTTCTCCCGCTCCATTCTCACTCGCCATCATGCCAGTGCGCTGTATCGAACGAAGCTGCCCAAGGGCAGAGAAGCTATTGGGATGCAGGCGCTCGGCTTCACGTTCGAGTGGACCGCAAAGCAAGGCTTCCATCATAAATGGCCGTGGCCTCTCGCTGATGGTTGCGGGTGACAAGGGAGGACGAAGCTGGGCGTACCAGTGTCACAGATGAACCCATGCGGCAATGGCCGACACACCCCCGGCAATTGCCGTTACGCCAACCTTCAGGTCCTTTCGCATCGAAAACGGATAGATAAATGGTGGTCAGCTGCTCGAGTACGCCTTCGGCTCGACCCCAGTTTCAGTTCGTACCATCATCAACCTACGCTTCAGTTCAGTCGGATCTTCAGCCGTCCACGGCGCCTTGTCGGTGGAAAGCGCCAACAAAGCGCGCCCACGTCCACTCTTTCATCAAGTCTTCTCCCGTCGTCCCGTCGCTGTGAGAACGGTGTGTGTATAAGGGTCTTCTCTGTTATGTACAGTCTGACCTCAGTTGACTTCTCAGCAATCTTCCTGCCTTATGCGTACCCGCTCGGCCCAGCCCGCGACCCTGGTGAGATCATACTAGAGAAGGCCTTGTCGCTTCATATCAGGGAAAATTGCGAGACTCTGGCGAAACGAATACGATAACTTTAGACCGTATTTGCACCAGGATATATTGGCAAATTCTGTACCGACTGCCCATAGAGAACAATGGGATCTGCATGAAAGATGCGTCGATATATATCCGTGCAAATACAGTACGGTCTTTTATCCTACATATATAATTAACGACGTCACGATCCAATACAAAACAATACATCACGGAAATGAAGCACACAATCGCAATTTTCGAAGGCCCATGCGGCATGGCGAGCAGCATCGGTCTAAGCCTCAGCAAGCTGGCTTTCCAAGCTAGAGCCTCTACCTCCGCCTGACTCAAAGCCCTTGAAATGAATGCTGGAGAGGGCCATCGCGCGCGATTTACCCTTGCCCGACATATTGCTCGTCACATTGCCGCGCTCGTTGAATGCTCTCTCCGTCGTCTGCGCGCTCCACGCACGACCGCTGGCGACGCGGAGGATGATGAGCACCGCACTCGTGCACATCACCTGGGAGAGAATGGGCAGAAGCGCGTACGAGAGGGGGCTTCCTATGCCGTACGTGACGATGAACACGAGGTTGGTCAAGGCGTACGGCGCGGCGCTCTCTACGACCAGTGCGGCAACGCTGGTGTACGTATGGGCGTGCTGAGCGCCGAGTGTTGCCTTCATTCGTTTGCTGAACGCTAATAGCCGGCTAGCGATGAGGAATGTCAATATGACGTTGACTGAAGAAAGGCAGGTCAGAAACCTTGTACAAGCATAGCCGCAGAACAGCGCACCCGCGAGTGAAAGAGAGAAGTACGCAAGACCAAAGTTGATGTGGTGCCATAGACTCGTGGCCGGTTGGCTCACTTGGTACATGAGAAAGACTGACATGCCTGATAACCCGTCAATGACATGGACCAGATACCGGTGGTCGACAGGCCTGACTTATCGATGCGAGGTATATGCAAACCGGGAAGATGACGACGCGCCATTGCTCTGCCCAAACAATGTAACAGCGATAGAGCTATGTGACGCCTAAGCTCACGTCGTCGACAGTGCAGATGATTCTGCTCACCAGGAGTGCATCGGCTAGGGCGCTGGCCACAACGTAGCTGGCATTCCCCATTATGAAGCAGGGATCGGCATAATGTGCAAGAAGGAATGCAGACGGCCCTCCAGGATACATGCGGTTATCAACATACACGCGTAGACCCAGTTCCGTGTTCGCTGCTGAAGGTGCATGTTAGCGAGCGATCCGGACTGGGATATCGTATGTTACACACCATAGTTGAGGGTTCCGCAGGCGAATACAAGCAGAACAAACGCCAGTAGGGACACAGCGTAAGCGCGGCTAGTTTGCGGTCTCGACGAGATGCAGACAAAAAGGGCCTGGACCGTCCGAAAAGACACTGCCAGCAGAACGCCTGTGCAGTATCCAAGGTCGTCATACACGGATTGTAAGTAGCGGTGAGCAACTCACCCCATGCCCCGCCAGCAAGGGTTACCCCCATGAGCAATGTTCGATCCATCATCATAGGCGGCTCGTTGATAGGAATGCACGGCGTCGTATTGTCTGCCATGGTGGGTATAGTTAAGCAGGAATCTGAAGACTAGCATTGGCCAAGGGCAGCTTTATTGAGCACATACGGGGCTTAGTCGGATGAGCGGGAGACGTACGGTCATGGCATTGGTTCTATCAGACGGGGTGCACTCAAAGCTGCCCACTTCCTTGAGGCAGCATCGCATCACATCTTCCTTCGCCAGCGTCTGAAGGACAAGAAGATGGGTCAGTGTGTAGCGCTGACATCCTGACGGAAAGATGAGTACCTGCCGAAAACTTTGAACTGATTGACGGGCAGAGGCCGGACATAATCACTTCGATACCCAAGCATAAATCAAATACGGTCGTAGACTGAAGAAGGCCAAACAAGAGCTGTCCATGACCTTCTTCTAACAGTGTACCGACATTGGCTATCAGTCAACGCGGGAGGAGGGCCGGCCGTTATGACGCGCGCCGCAACGACTGGCGCCTACCATCGCCTGCTGTTCCCTCGGCGACCGCGTCGTGGGGGATCATGGACGCATCAAGAGGGGAAGCAGACGAACGGGAGAAGCCAAGGGGGAGAGGAGTACGAGGCGGGAGGATTGAGACTCATGGGAAGTGACCTTTCGCTGCTGTGGAGACCGGACGGAGACATTTGCACCGAAGACGATGGCACCCTCCGCAAGATATGGAGCAAAAAAAAGAATGAAAAGAGAAGGAGAGCAGTGTCAGCCTTCAGTGGGAACAATAGGGCATACTATCCGGAGTGATGATGGGGGTTCGGGACAAGAAGTAAGCAAAGGAATCAAGCTGGGAAAGCACCCGATTCCTGCCAGGATTTCTTTCTGCCTCACGAAATCCAGAGACTATCTGTTGCTGAACTTTGCCAAAGGGAATGATTGCATGCATCTGCAGGGCACATTTATGTTTGTGGAATGCCGGAATAGTTGAACTCGTGTGGGCGCATATGTACGAAAGGGTCGGCAAGTGCCGGTGATCTACGTTTGGTCAGTTCGCGTCTGTTGCCGGCTTCACCGATCCCACTGTCGACGCCGGCGACGACAACGACGGCGATGTCGAACTACCCTTCAACACCGGGCGACGGCGCGGAGAGCCCCTCTGTCTCTGGCACACCGACGCCGCATGGCCAACTTCACCGTTCATTGAGCGGCAGCGGCTCGTTCTCCACTGCGGGGACGCCTCAGCACCACCATCAGGGCACTTCCTACTTCTCCCAGACCCCCTCGTCCCCGGGCGGTCCTAGGAGGCCGCACATGTACAACCGAAGCGCGTCGGCGGCAAGCACGACGCGCCGCGGCGCGCGGAGCACCAGTGTGGCGAACAGCGCGCGGGATATGTTGAGCGAGGATGACGAAGATGAGGACGAGGATGAAGACGATGTCAGCATCGTGGAGAGCCTGCGCGCGCGTCGCGGCAAGGGACGCGAGGCTCCTCAAGCCGAAGGCGACGCTGAGGACGAGGACGATGACGCAGACTTGGACCCGATAACACTCAAAGAACGCCAGTCCCTGATCAACGTCGAGCACCCTTTCGGGTTGCCCATCTGGAAGCCCGCGCTCTACAAGAAGTCGCGCACCGTCACACGGAATGCGGATGAGGCCCTACACTCCATTCCCTCAGCCCAGGCCGAGCGCCATCTTCTACCGGGAAATGTGCTATGGACAGCGCTCTTCGGCTGGTGGCTCGCGCTCGTGTGCTTCGTCCTGTCTGGGCTGCTTTACTTCATCCCACAAGGAGGCTGCCGCTTCTCGACGCTCATCTTTGGGCTAGGGTGGTATATTGCTTGGCCATTCGGCAAATACGTGGAAGGCGAGGGCCCAGAGCGGTTGGAAGTCACCGAAGATGAAGAGTCGGGTTCTCCGAGCCATGCACCACATGAACGTCAGACGTCCGACTCGTCCACCGTCCGCGGTGTCTCCCCTCACGATAGGGACACCATCCGCGAAGCCCACGCTCATACTCAGGCGGCTTCATGGAACTCTCATGCCAGCGAAAACACCTCCCTCCTTCATCGCACCCAGTCGGGCTTCCCCGTTCCCCCGCCTAAGAAGTCGTACGGCGCGACGCTCACCCCCTCGTCCTCTGCCTCATCCATTGGCGCAGCCAAGGCGGAGAGCATCTCCAGTGACACTATGGGCAAGATCTGTTTCTGGATTGCGTTCGTTTGCGTCATCGCCCCGCTGATGCTCTTCGTGAGCCTCTGCTGCTGGGGACTCATCGTCTTCATCCCTATGGCCAAGCTGAACTGGGCGCTCATCAAGCACCTCTTCCAGCAGCCGCTGAGCATCCGCTTCTGCTCTGCACCCTCCCCGGTGGTCATCGTCCAGGATGAGGATGGAAATCAGGAGGAACACGACGGGACGGAAACGCAGGAAAGCGAGCCCATTACATCGCAGTCTTCAATCTCGGTCAAGCATCCGCGTCTCTCGCAGGGCCAGGCCGCGCCCTCCAGCGGGTCAACCATCCTGCTCTGCACGTACAAAGCGGCAGGCCTGCAGTACTTCAAGTACACCGTCGGTGGTGTGAACATCATCTTCGTCAACCTCATGCCCGTCGTCTTCCTCGTCATCTTCGACGGCATCTACCTGCTCGAGCTCGTACGCCACAGGGACGAGAAAGGCCTCCCGGTCTCGCCCTTCCTGCGCATCGTCGCGTCGCAGGCGCTCATCTTCATCATGTCGCTCGCTAGTGTCATTCCGCTCTCTTACTTCATCGGCATGGCGGTCGCCAGTATCTCCGCACAGTCCAGTATTGGCATGGGCGCGGTCATCAACGCAACCTTCGGCTCTATCATCGAGATCATCCTCTACTGTATTGCGCTCACGCAGGGCAAAGGCCACCTCGTCGAGGGTTCCATCGTCGGATCCCTTCTCGCAGGCGTCCTCCTCATGCCTGGCATGAGTATGTGCAGCAGTGCGGTCAGGCGCAAGGAGCAGCGGTTCAACGCAAAGAGCGCGGGCGTGACGAGCATGATGTTGATCATGGCCATCGTTGGGACACTAGCACCGACGCTTTTCTACCAGACGTATGGGAATGTGAGTGAAGCATTCTGTCCAGTGCATATATGCGGGCTCATGTTCGCCTAGTTCCAACTCATCTGCAGCGGTTGCCCATCGACGCCTCGTCCTGGCAGCGATGCACCCTGGATCTGCGAGCGATGCTACTACAAGCACCCAGATCCCGTCTCCGACCCCTTCTACCAAAGCACGGTCAAGTCGCTTATGTACTTCTGTGCCGCTATTCTGGTCTTCGTAAGTCTACCCTCCATCATCTCTGTTTTGTTGCTCAGTGCCTCCCCAGTCCTACCTCATTGGTCTCTGGTTCTCTCTCCACACGCACGCCTCGCAGATCTGGCAGAACCCGCAACAGGTTATGCACCCCGGCATGGAGCTCCCCCTCCACAACCCGAACCGCATGTCCATCTACCACCGCCTCGCCGGCTCGGGCGAGCGCTCCCAGAGCCTGCCGCGCCAGCAGAGCCGCCAGACGCTGCGCCGCAAACCCAGCACGATGGATCAGGCGGACAGCCTGAAGGCTCCGCCGTCGCCGACGCTCGCGCGACGGGTGTCGTACGCGACGGGCACGCAACCGGGTCAGTCGTACCAGGGGTCTTTCCCGCACGGGTATCAAGGAGGCTCGTACCAGGGCGCATCGAGCGCGTACCCCGGTGTCTTGGATAGCGTGGACCATGCGGTAAAGGCGGCGCTGCCTGAGGGGCAGCCGCCTAATGTGCTTACGGCGGAGGACTTCACGCGTGCGGTGGCCGTTGCAACGGTTAGTGCGCTTCGTCACCAGACGGCGCATAGCCCTGGACGGGTCCGCACGTCGGGCGCGGTGCCGGCTGAGGCAGAGGGCGGAGGTCATGGCGGACACGACGCCCCGTCTTGGAGTCGTAAGGTCAGCGCAAGTGTGCTGCTGTCGTGCACGTTCTTGTATGCGATCATTGCTGGTACGTTTGTGCAAGGTACTACAGCAAGTGTACGGAGCTGACGACCATATAGAAATCCTCGTTGACGTCGTCGATGTCATCCTCGAAGGCTCCGGCATCGACGAGAAGTTCCTCGGTGTTACGCTCTTCGCGCTCGTGCCCAACACGACGGAGTTCATGAACGCAATGTCGTTCGCGCTCAACGGCAACATTGCGCTGAGGTACGTGGCTTGCTTCATGCCCACGAAGGTGTATTGACGCTGTCGCGCAGCATGGAAATCGGCTCCGCGTATGCACTGCAAGTCTGCTTGTTGCAGATTCCGGCCATGGTCGCGTTCTCGGCGTGGTACGCTCCGGACAAGATGGGTGAAGTAGCACATACCTTCACGTGAGTGTCCATTTTACAATATTTGCCGTGAAATACTAAGCCATCTGCAGTCTCATCTTCCCTCGCTGGGATGTCATTGCGCTCGTCCTGTCGATGTTCTTGATGACCTACACCTACATCGAGGCGCGCAGCAACTACCATCGTGGCAGCATTCTCGTTCTCAGGTATGGCTGTAGTCTACTGCGCACATGTCGGTTGGCTAATGCGGACACACAGCTACCTCGTCCTTGTCTCCGCCTTCTACTATGCACCGCAGAACAAGGACGACGAGGAACTGGATAACCCGGGGCCGGGTCTCACCGCGAACAACTTGACGGAATTCAGCCTCAACATCTTCCAGGCTGCTCGCTGGTACCTATCGTCGCTCTTCTAAACGTAGCATCTCGCGGAGTGGACTTTCTCATACTCATATGCAACGGTTCTGCAAACCAAGTGACCCACATCCGGACGCTTTTAGTATCTTTATACCCCTGTGGTGTTCTCTGTCCATACTTGTGCCAAACCTTTCATTCGCTTACGACCTCTAATGACCCGTCACGACCCCCACCCCTACCCCCCAAATCCCCTCGCAGCATCGTTTTCGCATACTTGTGCATCAAATTGCATACTCATACAACAGTGAAGGATTCCGGATGAAATACTGGTACAACTTGGTTGGGTACATACAGGATTGTTGTTACCTAGCCCTCTCCGGGCCCGTTAGGCAGCATTATTGTTATTTGGTTCGAATATCAGTTGGCTTTCAACGCATGACGAGCGTCAAAGGAGACCCGCATGGGGCAACGTGACATTAGTGAAGGCTCTGCAGCGCTTCCAGCTGTTGACGTATCTCTTCGCGGTTGTATGTGCGAATTTTCTCGTGCACGGTCTTGCCCTCGATGACCTTGCGCGCCGTTGTAGCATCGGTGACTTGGAGGTACTGCTCGAGGAAGTCGCCGTCCACGAAGCCTCGTGCAGATTCGGAGTCGCTGCCGCGTATCGAGTTCTTTGGTGCGCGATACTTCTGATGGCTGGGAAAAGTCAGGATTCTAGCAATGACGTAGCGAGAACCATACATACTCCTCGTGCGGACCCTTCGGAACGCCAACGCCTCGAAACACATACGACATGTTGCGCTCGAGGTCAGTGAATAATCGCGAAAGCGAACCACCTGCAACCAAGTCGACGACCACGCCTATGCGGCCGACCGAGGTGAAGAAGAGATAGCTGGGCTTCAGCGTCAAGTCATTCTCGGAGTCCGTCGTCTCCGCAGTGGACAAAGAACCTTAGGGGAAGGTCAGCTTGCATAGGAGAAGCACCCGTGGAGGATACTTACCTGGTATGAACTTGTTCACCATTTCACCAAGGAAAAACGCGCCATCCCTATCCAACGCCTCTCGCCCATTTGAGGCTGTCGCGGACGAGAATGTGGTCAAGTTCATGTCGATCTGTCGGGCTGGTCAGCTTCAGCTTCTGGATAAAGACCATTCGCGCGATCTCACATTCGCCGCAATGACTGCGTCCTTCTCCCCCAATGCGAGGCTCGCCGGGAACAAAGGTGAGTAGTCACTCGAGATCAGATCAAGTTGGACGGTGTCGTTCGCCAGCACTGCGACATTGACGAGCGAGATCGAGTGCATCTGGTCGCCAATCGCGACATGGTTGTCTCGTACGGCAAGAGTGCGGATGACGAAGTTGTGATTCCATTCGCCGACCTTGTTCAAGGTCCAGGTCGAAGACGAGACGCTCGCTATGTCCGGGCGGAAGAACATGACCTATGAAGCGAGCAAGTCATCAGGGTCACAGCAGTGGTCACCCCGCAATACATTCAGCTTACCGCAGACTCGACAGCGGCGGCGATAAGTCCCTTCACCGTGGTCATCTGCATTGCGGGCTTGATGATGGGTCGCGTCGCTCGTTGGGCAATTTGCGCCGTTGACCCGTCTGCACTCGCCGTCCTTCTAACGCTCAGGAGGGTAAGCAGCCCAGGCTCGGGATCGTCTTCTTCAGCGAGAGCAGCGTCGTATGTGGCAACGCAGAAGAATGTCTCCTGTGCCCCCTCATCCGTGGGACGCTGTACGAGCGTGATTGCCGTCGGTACAGTCCCGTCTGCAAAGTTATGCCGCTGCAGCTCTGCGCTTCATCAGCATCATAAGGTCGGGAACGTTGACTGGATACCTACCGTCGTATGTCGAATCATCGAATAGGAGGAACGCGCATTTCGTTCCAGGCTCCGTATCTATACCAATGCACCCTGGAGGCTTATACGACGCGATCACCCCGAAGACCTTATTTGTCGCATCGTGCACTATACCCGTAGGTGTGTACCCTCCGAGCGGTATCTGTGCCGATGCACCGAGTGAGAAACCAGATCAGAGGTATTCAGCATGGTGGACAAACCGTTCGAATGTGCATCTTGTCGACCGCCTGGACAGAACCAACCGTAAGCCCGGTGGGGCTTGCCAGCAACAGCGCATCCTTGTGGTCGGGCAACTCCAGTGGTGCAATGGCCGCAACGTCTCGCACCATAACAGCAGCGTGATGTAATCGCTTCTTCTCCCAAGACCAGAGGGCTGCGTGCTGGCCTGCAGCAAAGACTGCTGGCTCGCCGTCTTTTGAGTAGACCGCCAGCGAGACCGGAGCACTCCCTAACGAGGTGACCTTCCGGTCGTGGGTGACACCATCGCGCAGGGCGTACGTGACCACCGAGCCATTTGCTAGGCCAGCAATTAAATACGTATACCGCCCTTCGTCCTTGCCACCGAAGTGCTGCACAGTGAGGCCACGAACGAGTGCTGGCAAGGCGTCCGTCGTGTGCGTGAGTTCTTCGACGACACCATCGTCGGCCCTCCCAACTGCCTTCTTCTTGAGCTTGAAGATGTCGATGCTGGATCTATCCCAGTACGCGACCGCGATGTACTTCGACTGCTTCGGGACCTTGCCATCTTTTGGCTCAGGGGGCAGGACGCATATTGAGGCGATTTCCGGTTCACCGCGAAGCCTCAGAGTCCTGCCGACGAGTCAGTATCAGCCTCTCGCAGAGGATAAGGACAGACGCACCCTACGGGCTTCAACCTATAATCGCCGTTCTGCAGCTCTACGCAGAAATAAGCTAGTGTGCCCCCAGGATACGCGACGAATATCTGGCTCTCCGACACGCAGGCGGCAGTTGGCTTGCCCCATCCCCTCTGCACGCCTGCTCCCCCTATTGGCGTATACCCCGCGATCCCCATCGCGTACTCGCACACGCGCAAGCCCTCGGTCGTCACCTGCACGGCGATGGGGGAGTCGCCATATGTAGGTCCCACACGAACATTGCCCGCAGCAAGTGTTCGTGCTGACAAGAAGCCGGTGGTCTCTAGCGGCTCATAGACGAAGGATTGCTGAGAGTCAACGGCTTCGATGCGGAAGAGCTGCGTGCCTTCGGGCGTGTCAAGCAAGATACGACTGTGTTCGGCATCGTCGTACATGTTCCGCAGGGGCCAAATGCCGGAGACGTGAGCTGCGCTGGAATCGTCCGCGTTCGCAATGACTTTGAAGTCTGCGCCACTACGGATGACATGTAATCGACCCGCACCTTGGTCGCCCGAGCAAGTCACGATTTGGGGCTACATGCTCATCAGCATTGTGAAAAGCGAACTTGAAGGCATGGCTCGGCGTACCTGCCCACTGTCATCCACATCCACAAGCGCCGCGTCCACAATTGGTGCAATATTCGTGAAGGACTCCGTCACCGACAGCACCGAGCCGCGCATCTGCACGATCTTGCCCTTGGCAGGCTTTGGCGACTCCTGCGTCGCGTCCATGGTAGAAGCCGGCCCATCCTCGAGCTCCTCTGGCTTGACGGTCGGCCAACCCGGTGGTATAGGTAGGGGTTTGGACTCTGGTATTATGACGGTACCGATGTCAATGACCTGTGAGTCCCCGCAATGCGAGCCAATGAAGACCTTGGAGCCGTTGAGGTGGGTGATAGTCGTGGGTGGGCTTATCTTGAGGTTAAAAATTAGCGACGGATGAGGAGACCACCCTATGAGAACCACATACCGAGCCAAGAGGAATCAGCACAAGGCAGGTCTGGACGTTCCGGAAGTCGACTTGCACTAGTCCAAGTCGCCCATATTCATCTCCAATCAGGAAACGAATGTCGTCAACGGCCTCGCATGCGACAACGCGGGACCACGGCCAGTCGACAGATGCCGCCGGCTTGCGTTTCCTCAGATCGCGCTGGTTCTGTTTGTCCCTCGCCTCCTTCTGCTTCTTCGCATCGCCCTTTGAGCTCGCCTCGAACGCATCAAGTTTCTTGCCGTGTCTCTTCTTCGTGTCTTCGTCCGCGCGCTCGTACAACATCAGCCTCCTTCCCCCGACAATCAATATACCTCCCCGGAAATCCTCCCGCCACTGCCGCTTCCATTCTCCGACGGAAAGCAGGAAGGTCCGGTCTTCGTCAGGATATCGAAAGAAGCTGCTATTGAGCGCGATGGAGGGCAACTCCAACGATGGCCTCGACGCGATCTCGTATTCACTGGTGTCCAGATCGCGCACAATGAGCCGCACGCGCTGGGCGGCGTCGATGTGCAGGATCGCGATGGAGTCTGTCGTCCCGGGGACAAAGCATATGGATAGGATGTTGTTCTCGTACGCGCTGCATATCCGGGATTAGCATACGTCCAGCGGGAAGCCAAAGCCAGTAAAGGCACGCACGATGCATCGTAGACCGTATCCGTCGGCAGCCCGTCCTCCAAGCACACCACCTTCAGCTTCCCCGCGTATGCGCTCACTACGAGCCGTGACCCCTCCTCATTCACGAAGAAATCCATGCAGAACTCGGCTGCGCGCTGCAGCGCATTCGCAGTCGACAGATCGAGCGCGTGCGCCAGCTTCAGCTCGCTCCCATCGAAATCCAAGAACAGCAGCTCCGGCTGGGGATGGTCCAGCATGACCACCAAGCGGTCACAGTCCTTCACATCGGGCTATTGGCAGGGTGAGGTACGGCTTCGTCAGCAGGGGGAACTCCTACGCCGTATGCGACGACGCACCTTCCTCCTCACTGCCTTCACGCTGCATAGACTGCCCCATATTTCCAAAGAGCTCTCAAAGCGCAAGCCGGAGGGTTGGAGGGAGAAGACCTCGAGCCGCGACATCTTCGCCACCACGAGATGCTCGACATCGCCGGGTACGAGCTTGCATTTTACGGAGGAGATAACGCTCGACGGTGCGTGGAACGTCGTAACGAGCTTCACCGTCTTCGCGGCCATCGTGACGGTGGAAGACCAAGGGCTGCACAACCTAGCTTGCTCGTTGTCGACGGTGATGAGCGTATTTGGTACCAGCAGGAGATTGATTAGTCCGCGCCGTCGAGATCAGTGACGACATGACATTTGGTCTTTTCTTCCGTCTTCCCTCAAGTTCAGGCTCACTCGATGTTCGAACAAGACACAGAAATATGCATTCAACGAGATACGAGCGCCGTACTACTTTAACATCGCAGGCAGCGTAGAAGATCGAACATCAGAGGCAAGAGATACGTGAAAAATAAGACACAGAACAGGGTAAGCGACGACGAAGATATGTAAACCATCGGTCCAAACAAAGCGACCGACGTAGCGTTTTGGAGGCAGCGTTGAGCGCCAGGGAAGGGGGTACGACGATGCACCTAGCAAGTGGATGGGGGGAAGGTGGTGGGCTAGAAATACACGGGCATCGAAGGAAGGATACGTCCGTTGAAACATAGAGGGGAGAGCAGTATCAGTATGTGCACGCCTGTATGGGCAGCCGAAGATCGAAGGGAAATAAGGGCATAGACGACGAGGAAGACAGAGACGACAGCGAGAAGCATAGACGAAGAGGGGAGTGCATACGGTGATGGGAAGCCACGGCGCCTACTGGTCCTCGAACGTAGGGCACGGCAGGCCGTGGTCCCTGCACACCCCCTGCAACATCGTCGCTCGCCCCTTCCAGAGCTCGAGCTGTTCCGTAAGGAACTGCACGCTAGCCTCGAGCTGCTGCGTGTGCTCGAGCTTCCGCTTGCGGCTCTTGCGAGCAGCCAGCGTGTTTTGACGGCGCTTGGCCTCAATCTGCTCACGCTCCGTCATGGAGAGCGAGAGATCGATCGCGCCTTCCTCCTCCTCCGGGAACGCCTGCGACCGTGCGCGCTTCTTCTTCGCGAAGACGGCCGGCACCTCCTTGCGCGAGGTCGCTGAATCCGTCAGATAGTTGCGCGTCTGCGTCGGCGCGTCGAGGGGCACGAGCTGGTTCACGGAGATGTTCCGCCGCGTCCCGGTCGCCTGAGCGCGACGACCGCCGGACTTCGACGGGCGGCCAGAGGAGCGACGTCCGCTGTTGCTCGCGGGCGTCTCCGGCGCAGGCGTGGCCGCATCGTTGGCCCCAAAGTCCGTCGCGAAAGGGTCGATGGTGTCGACGGGGGACGCTGAGGGCGACAGGGTGTAGAGCCCACCCATCGGGAACGCGTCCATCTTGTCGTCCGAGGGCACGACGACATCGCCGGTGTACACTTCGCTGCCGCCGAAGAGAGGCATATTGGCGTCGATCCCGCCGATGACGGGGTCGTGGATGTCATCGAAGAGCGGCGTGCTGAGGAACTCGTTCAGCGGCGTGTCGTCCGGAGAGCCCGTCATCGACGTCGGCGAGGCGGTGAGATACTGCTCAGCCCAACCATCCCCCATGGAGAGAAGTTGTCCGAGATCTGCTAAAACAGAGTTAGACCAGCCCAGTACCCGAAGAAGGAAAGAAGCGTACCTTGCAAGGGATCGTATCCGTCCATCGAAGGAACGACAGGGTCGACACCCGTCTGGATAACGGTGTCGACCGGTTTTATGGGTACAGTGGTCACACCGGCCTTTGCCATGGTGTTCGTATTATCGGGGTCTTGAGCTAGCATATTTAAATAACTTGCGCTCAGAGTTGCGAAATTGGTGAACTTGTTAGATAGGTTGCTGCGCTGCGGGAGAGGGCGCGTGGGTCGAGAATGCGTATTTGTTGTACTTGTGCTTGCAATGGGAGGGGGAGGAAGCTGCGAGGGGATTCCATACTGGAAGGCGAGGTCCTGAGGGGTTTGAAAAACCACTGACGTCCGAAGACGGGGGAGAGAGGAGGTTAACGGGTCATGGTGACGAGGGGGTTGGTGACGAGAGCTTGAAAGCGAGCTTCCAAGGGGCGTTATCGAGACATTGTTGCTCGATGGACGGGGGGACGAGTAGTCCTGGGGGTTTAGGCCGAGGCGCACATCGCTGCGCGCGCTGGTGTAGTTATCAGGGAGTGGGGTCTTCGAAGGGACGGCTGATTGCCGAAGTTCTGGACGAGCGATTGGAGTCAGCTGATCGTTCTTGCGAGAACCGTTTGAGGGTTGGAATCGGATAAGCGCGGCCATCCACGGCTCATCGCTGGGAAGGAGGTTCGGAGCCGACAAGGCATCCAGAGCATCCGCAAGATGCTGTTCGCTGGTGGGTGCATCCTCGAGATGCGGAGTTATGTCGAGAGCGTCCGATAGACGCCGGGTAGACTCGGCATCCTCCAGATGCCCCGCCTCCCGGCTCGGCTGCACGTCCTCTGGACGCGGCGATTCGGGGATATGGATCCAGGATCCTAACCTGAAAAGGTCAGAGCCAGAGGCTCCTCCAGACGAGGAAGCGCCCTTGTGCGATAGCATCGTGCAAAATCGAGGGAAAAAGCGAGAAAAGATGCTGAGATCCGGAAATTCAAAGAGACGAGGCGAGGACGAGGAGAGCTGGTACGCAGGAACTCACAAATACGAGCGATGGTCTCGACGATGATGGTAGGAAGCAAGCGCTGAAGTCCCGAAAATTGACTCGGGCTGATGCTCATACCCGAGTTGCTTATATAACTCGGTCCCGGCCGGCGCCGACGGCCGACACGTGGTTTGAAATTCATTGTTCGCCCGATAAGGATTTCCATCAAATCATTGTTTTCCTTCTTTGTTCGCTCTAAATGGTTCGTTGGCAAGCTCGCGCAAGAATGAACCAAAACTTAAGCTCAGTAACTTCCAGCCTCCGTCCAGCCCGTGAACTTGTCGTTACCAGAAGCGTACATGTCCGACAGCTCGTGCTGTAGTATCCGTCGGCGAAGGGCATCGATAGTCGCAGATATCGCGGCTGCAACTTGCCCCGAATACGGCGGCGGCAATCCTGCCAGACAGGAGCCTGGTTTCTTGGCACTCGCGCCTACTCGGACAGCGCCATGTTCCACCAAGAAGTACGATCGAGTCATATCCCATCTTGCATGATGCGTCCTTCTCAAGAAGGGAGACACTAGCACCTTGTAAGGCGCTGAACGAATTTTTTCTCTCCCGAAAGCAAGTCGGAATAAGCGCGCAGACTCCTCGCCATTATCGGACATCCGACAGGTCATGTTATCGTGCCCGAACGCTCTTTGGCGCCGCGGCACTTCCAAGACGCCGCCGGCAGTAGCTCCGCTCCTGGCCAATTTCCGTGCCACCGCATACACGTCACAGGCCAAGTTCGACTTCTCGAGCACTTCGAAGCTCAAAAGCGTCGTTGGGGTCTGATATTCTCGTTCGCTCTATGCCGATTCCGCGGTACGTCTCATCCAGTTCGGCATCTCCCGAAGAAGTAACGTTAGAAACAACCCATCTATGTAGCTCGTCGTTTGACTCTAGGACTCCTGCGGCCAAGTCGTACTTGTGCTGCCTACCTACCAACCCATGTCTTTTCGACTGCGATGGACATTTACCTCAGTACCGACCTCATCGGCGTTGTCCTTTGTTCATTGAACTCGAAAGGGAACACGTCCCTGCGGGCGCGCGCCACATAGGCTCTCGAAGTCGTGAGTGCCTTGCGTGTACCTCCATCGCGCCAATCCTATATAGACTTGTCGAGGGCGGACGCAGGTACGTTGTCAAGTCTTCCCTCGATAGCGAAGGTTTGTTGCACTATTCTCTGATGTTTTCCCGTGTAGATTCTATTGTAATCTACTATCTGCAGCCACATCTTCTCGCACAACCGCTCTACCGACGATGGAAGAAATCGTTGCGAGTGCCACAAGAGCACGAACGAACCTCGAGCACCTATCCGCCCTTCGAACCTTGGCCATAAATCGGAATTATTGCGCAGGCACCGACGGCGGGCGTTCCCCGCAAACTGACGGACTGCTCACCGCAAAACCCCGGGCCTGACGGAAAAGTGGCGGGCGTGTCCCGGATTCCGGTTCGAGGCTGTCAAGCATTCAATAAACATGCCTCGTGTGTTGAGTGTACACATCCCCCTGGTCCCTGTGCCTCTAAGGCGTCGTTCATATAAGAAAGCATCGCCATATAAAGAGGGCCTCGTTCTTATCGGAGGATCCCCTTCGTATAAGAGGGCAAAGGATGTGAGCCGCCACCGCAAGATCACCCTCCATCTGTTGCTCGCGACGCAGCGCGTCTTTCAGAATCGTCGGCCTCAAAGGTGCGCTACTTCCTTCCTTTCGTTCAACTCTTCCATAGCGCTCGTTCCTCCTACACTTGCTTTCCCATTCGCTCCACATGTTACTCCCCAATGTCAACCGGCACGACCTTCTTACCCTTTTGATAGGTAGCCTCACTAGAACCCCTCTAGCAAGCGTCTTTTGTATTGCTAGTTCCCGCCTCTCAACCCAACTTAGCCTCTCACTCAGCGCCCGTCTCTCTCACTGTGCATCACGGGCGCGCTCATCCGCTCTTCAGCACTCCGAGTGCCCTGCCGCGCGGCGTCAAGCTTGCGAACAATGCAGCTGCGGCGCAAGGCCCACCGCTCGCGTATAATTATCCCTTCAGTCGCGGTATCAGCGCTTCTCTCGCAGCTTCAGCCTGACCGTGGCGCAGAGGGCGGTATATAAGGTGCGCCCGTCTCTGCATGTCCACTCGTCCCTCCATTGACTTCCATCTACCAGCTCGCCCCCATCGACGCTGTCTTCCCAAGGTCGGTATGTTGAACTTCGCTTTCATATTCACCCATCGCCACTCTCCCAGCTACTTGATCATCTGTCCAGCGGGATGATTCTTCGCGCAACACAAGCTCACCAGCGGCATCAGGCGTATTCACTGCGCCGCTCTGCCTGATCATTGCGTCGCCCAGGCATGATCACTGCGTCGCGAGCGTGATCCAACGGCGTGACATGTTGAACTTGGGCGCCCACATTCGCCCGCCCAGCGGCCGCGGCCCCGCGCAGCGAAGATGTGACGCACGTCAGCCATCCGCCAGCCCATTAACGGCAAGCCCATATGTGCTCGCGCCGCCGCGGCTCCAAGGCAAATGACTGCCGGCGGGCGCACGACGTCGAGCATCCAAAGTACAAAAGCAGAGGATGGGGTGGGCGCCGTCGGTTTTCTTCTCCCTTCCCCTCCCATTTCTCCTTGTCTTTCCCTAACTTGACTTCTACCCCATCTTTGTTATAGTAAACTGACACGCGCTGCAGATGATGGCCGCACAACGTGTCCCAGCGCCTACCGAGAGGCCGGATCAGAGGTCCGAGTCTGCGTCTGAGCCCACCATCCAGACTCGATGCCGTGCCTGCTACTCCGTGCAGTGCTCGCCATAATTCCTCGGCCTGACCATCCATGGCGCATCACTTGCTCATTGCTCGCTTAGGCGCTACCCCCGACGGTGACTATCCGCTGGCTTCATCTCGGCGACTATCCGTGGGCGCTCTACGAGAAGATCGCGCGTGATGCGTCCGACCTGTGCGCCTCCGTGCTCGCGCTTGCTGTGTTGATTAATGCTGGGTGCGACCTTCGACTCTGTATCCCCATCCCCTTTGTTTCGATGCTCCACATTTTTTGTGGCCTACACTCTCACTGAACTGGGATGGATCCAAGACAGAAGACCGTGAAACCGAAGACAATCTTCTCGTTTGTACCTTAGCAAGGGCTACTGACGTGGGGCGACTAGTGATGCTTTCCCTGCGTTCTGGGGCGAAACCGAAACGCGCTGCACTGCAGGTGATGGTGGCAAGACTTTCGACAGCGACCTCGCTCGTCTCACCGATGCTAGCGTGATCTCTGGTCGGCTGGACGGACGATGGCGACCTCGGCTAGCGGAGGGCTCTGTCGCTCGGTCGGATTTGGGACTCAGAAATTATTACGTTCCCGCACCTCCATTGTCCGCCTCGCTGTGGTCGCAGCCCGTCTCCTCACAGCTCGTCGCTTCATCTCCGGCGGATTTGTTGCGCTCGCGACGAATCCTTTCCGTCGCCCGCCATCTCGTTCACCCCCGAGGCCCGTCGGTCCATCCGCCCTCACGACAAAGCCAGGGCTGCTGCCAGACGGACGACCCGGTCTCGATGCCTCCGCGCGGATGGGATACAGGGACGTCCACTGCGCAGCAACCCGCGCCTCGACATGTCTGGCTCAATCAACAGATGTCACATGGGCGCGCTTGCCGCATACCCCTAACGAGGGGGGAGGCCCAAACGCGGCCCCACGCGGCGCTGCCAGTGCGAGCCTCACCTCGGGTGACGTTCCGTGAGGGGGAAGGGAGGACCGTGGGGGACTACCTGTGATTGACCCCACGGGAGGGATTTGGACCCGCTTGACTTGCCTGACAGGAATTGGACGCGATCTGCCGGACTCGCATGGACGACCGACCGGACTGCTCGTCATCTTTGTCTACAGGAGGGGGTCTTTCAAGCTGGGGGACTACAGCGCTTTCCTCTTTCAAGGATGATTTTTGCAAGCTCAGGCCCCGGATTGGCTTTGCGCACCAGGGATCTTTTGGATCTGGACCTAGTTCTGCGTGCTTGTCGACTTTTCCTCCGTCAGCTGTGGCTGGGAGCTGCTAGCGGAGGTCTCCATCATCCCTTCGGGAGGGACATGGATCGACGACTGAACGCGCAGCACCACTTCCACATTATCCAGTATCACGAGAGGTGCGGCCGCATCCATCGAGACACAGTTGCTTGTCATGGACGATTCAATTCCTTTGCACCCTTTTCCAGTGCTGCTTGCCGACATCCGCGTCAAATTCACCCGACTCGTACGGAGGATGCTCGCCAAGAGCTGTGTACAGCGTGCAAGGCAGCAAGATGAGCGCTGTACAGCGTCGAGAGGAGGTGAAGAGCCTGTGTGACTCACCCGAACTTACTCGAACGCGTCGGACGTTGCCGTGTCACGTTGCATTGGTCACGGTTTGATTGATGCAATACAGCAATCGTCAGGCTAGTAGTCACCCATCCGCTCGTGGAGCGGTCTTGATTTTTGTTTAGTTGGAGCGTGTACAAACAAACGAATTCGGCGTTCGGCAGGCGATGCTCCTGGGTTCCTGAACTTCTTTCCTGGCGGGAGGAGCCCTAGTTATACACGACCACCTTTCCGCGGCCTCCGACGGCGGTGGAACGACAAACAGAAGAGAAAGATAACTGCGGCGCACCGTCCACGCCTACGCGACGCGCTATTGGTTCTGTTTGTATGTGCTCCAACTAAACAGATATCACTGCCGCTCCACAAGCAGGGAGGTGACAACACGAGCTCACCAAATTAGCGCCGGCGCTTGCGGACTTGCTTTCTGCAGTCGCCTTCACCTTCGCAGTCGACGACGACACCGGGCTCTGGCCGCGGGTACGCTACGTGCGCTGGCTAGCGTTGGACTCGCGGAGCATCTGGAGTCGCTGGGGTGTTTCATTCAGCATACGATGTATATCTCGCTATCTAATCAACTCTGGGCCTCGCTACTCGACTCTCGCGACGCGATCGGGCTGTTGCTGGGATGTTGCATGTCACAAACAAGGTCTGATCTCTCTGTTCCTTCCCCATTTGTTACAGAATAGGAAGCCGTGCGACCCGGCGCGGCGGCAACGTTACGCCACCGTCGTCGGCTTGATGGGAAGCAGGATGGAAGTTCGACAACGACAAATGATCAGACATGGCATCCTTATGGCGGGGTGGGCGGGTTAAATAGGCTGGGACCTGGTGACAACCTTGTTCCTCGTTCCCCCCTTGCCCTTCTTCTCCTTGTTCTGTGGAAGTCCTTCTTTTTCACCATGACATTCCTTTCGCTGCCTCTTCATTCCCTCCAGTATGCGGAGATCGTCGTACGCAGCATGGACCCCGATGTAGACTTCAGCAATCTGTCTTTCTCGGTGCGCCCGACGTGCCCACCATGTCAGTATCATCATCTCGCATCGCATCGCCACACGCTCACATCCCTCCTGCGTAGCGTCACCGCTTACCAACGTTGACAACGTCGATGTGCAAGTTCGTGCTGTCTGCGACGCGCGCGGCAGCTATCTTTCCATCTGCCTTGGTCGCCCCAGCGGAGGTACGCACCCCCTCATCAGTTTCGTCTGATCATATGCTCATCCTTGCATAGAGCCATCATCGCTCTCAGCCCCCGCGATCGAATCCTCACCGTCACCCCCATGGTCTATTGGCAGCGATGGCAGCTCTGACGGGAACGAAGCCCTTCTGGGTGAATTCCTCCAGTCTGCACGAAGGACAGACGAGTTCTTGGATGCTTTGCACGGTGCGTCCCCTAGTAACCTTCACGCGGTCCTGCGACTCATGCTTCTTCAGGTGGGAAGGCGGCTTGGGGTAACGATGCGAATGGATTCAGCGGCGCGTCCGGCTCGCCCTCCGCCTCACTCTCATCACCGTACGGCTTCGGCGGCTATTTCTCGGGCTCGTTTGATGGTCTACCGTCCCCGCCATTGACTGCCTCATCATCGTCCGCGGGCTACTCCGATCCTGAGGGCTCGCCCTTCGCCTACGGCTGCACCCTCGACGACGAGATCCCCATATCAGGGAGCTCGGAGGCCGTCAAGCGCGCGCGCTCGGTGGCCAAGATGATCCCCGTCTCCCGCAAAAAGCCCGCGCTGAAGTGCCACTACCCGGGCTGTGACGCGCACTTTTCGCGCCAACACGATCGGATGAGGTGCGTTTGCCTCATCGTCCCCCTCCCCCTCCACACTGCTGACATGCTGCCTAGACACGAAGTCAACAAGCACGGCCACAAATGCGAGTTCACGTGCGATACCTGCCGGCGCTTCTTCTCAAACGCATCTACGCTCGAGCGTCATCGCTGTACGGGAGTGCCGCCGGCTATGGCTGCTTGAGCGCCTCCCTGCTCGAGTACTACGTTTATTTAATTTACTTTACTGTACAACATCGGGCGGGTCGCCTACGCGGCTGTGCTTCACTATCGCTATCTGTAGCAGCAGCTGTCCTTACCATACCACATACCACGTATTTATCGGAGTGGACGGCGTGCGGGCTTTGTATTTTTGTAGGTACAATGGGACGAGAATAAATTAACCTTGGACGACGGGTCCAAGGAAGCCACACTCATCAGTCAGCTTGAGAGTATCTCTCGTTCTGCAACGACCTCACGCTTCAAGAGAGAAGACGCTGAACTTCATCTTCAGGAGACCGGCGAAGGTGTAAGGCGTGCTCTGGCCTCGAACTCTACAGCAAACTGTGCGGAAAGGATTCGGCAATTGCCGAGACTCGTCGTCGGCCGTTCTTGTCAGTGGGGCTGGGCAACGCCCGCCAGGTGATCGGAGTTTGGCGATGTTTACAAGGGGTCCTCCCACGGCGAGAATTCAGTCCATGCAGTTTTCCCTTTCGCGCATTAGCCGGCTCGACATCGGCAGATGTGGAATGGTATCAGAAGGGCACATCGCAGGTTTTGTTGGGACGAATAGTGAGTCCGACAAATATTCGTTGATATAGTAGAAGAAACTCGACAATAAGTCGTCGGCTTTGGATTTCCTCCCAACACAACCTAGGCATAGTGATTGGGAACACATTCCGTCTTGACCGATGGGATGCCAGGACCGTCGCGCAACGCAAAACTGCAGGTGATGGGGCATGCTAGGTCACGCTTTTTGGCCATTCACGTGATGCGGACGGCGGCGCGGGCTCCGATCCGAGGACGCCTCCCAGGGTTATCCTCCATAATTTCCGTCGCAGAGCTTTGGGGACTCCCCTGTATATCATGCCCTGATCAATTTCCACTTGTGTGAGCGTACAGAGCCGTCTGAAGCTGCATAGATATAGTTCTAGCCTTTCCATGCTGTGCTCTTACTCATCTGAACATATATTCCAGCAGGGCGTGCTCGCTGATGGTAGATCTTAATGGCCAAGGGAGATAACTTTCGTCGTCAACAGCAAGAGGGAGGCTACTGGATGGATCAAGTACACCAGATGATAGAAGCCGAGCTACACCTCCCAACAGAGGAAACATGGTCTCTCTAAGCAATATAGGGTGCCTATTTCCTGTCTGCTCTACCCAATCGACCTTTCCACGGTTCGATGCCAGCTTCATTGGACATGATTCGTGTGTACCACCATTGCCGGTTCCTTGTTGGATCTTGTGGGCGCACCGGGCACCTGCCAAATGCGGTGGTCGGCGATGTCGGAACGGTGACGGGGGGTCTGCTTCCATCAAACCGATCGTTTGGCGGGCGTTGCCCAGCCCCATTGTCAGGTACCCTTCTCTCCCTCCTCCTTCACCTTGCCCATCTCATAGCTGCCTCATGATCCCAAACAAGTCTTCGCGGGAATAGCAGGGTACCTTTTCCGTATGCGTAGAGTGCTTGTGCTCCTCGAAGCATCTCGTCCAGAAAGTTCCCTGACCCACTTGACCCGACAGTTACTTGACGAAACAGCAGCGTATGTAGGCCCGAGCCCGAGCAGATCATGGATAAACGGAGTCTAATCGTCTTTCCTACTCACAAAGCGGCCCGTTCTGATACTCCATTCCCTCGGTACTCCAGTCACCTTTTGGCTGCTCGTGCACCCTCCCCATGGACTTCGGCAGGCGGGGGACCTCGTCGATGAAATACGCGCTCTTGATCCCGAGCTGGGTCGAACTCGTCGCAACTACCGCACGGGGTTCTTACCTGTTCCTACTCAATGTTCGTAGACTGCCTCGTCCTTCAAGTCGTCTGGGCCCACTCCCGCTTCATGCTCGCCCTCGGTGGCGTGTCGCAGGCCGTCGACCACGCGCTCGCGACCGACTCTGTCGCATGTCATACTGATACTTGTCGTTGATCTTCGTCCAAGGGCCGGGGCCCTCGTTCCACGTGACTCGGCTCGAGCACCCTCGGCGCCGGAACTATGCATATCCTCTTTGCCTACTCTGCCGTCGACCATCGTCGCATGCGCTGAGCGCTGCTGCTAGGCTTGCATCGCCAGGGGACAGGTACGCACGTTCTTCGATAGACCAATACCTACGTGGTTCCCAGTGCCCTCTCAAACCCATCCCAATGCCGCTATTGGACTCACGACTTTTCGATAGCTGATGGATAACACTCCAGAGACGCGTAGATGCATACGGTCGGGCGAAGCTACACGAGAGACCTCCGTGATGATATCAAAGAGTTTTGGCGTCCTCACGCGGACTATCTTTTTGACCCACGAATGCAACGCGTATTCGCTGGACATTCTTCCGGGACCAATTCCTCAGTCAAACCCAGTGGGACCCTCGAATGCTACTGACTGTCAGGACCCAGGTATTTCGCGTGCTGGACGTGCTATACACAAGGTATAGACGAAGCCTATCTTGTCACCCTCGAGATCTAGCCGCTCACCATCGCCTTAGGGTCACCCCGCATACAGCGCTCGCGCGTCCAAGACCACAAGCCTTTCTGGAGCGCGCGAATGCGGAATAGCGAGACTTCGACTACCTGATCGTGCTCGACTCATGTTGTAAGGTAAAGAAAGAGATTATGAATATCGCATCAGCGGCAACGATTTCAGCAGTGATCATACTCGCGTTCGTCAACGTACGATGAGTAGGCGCCTCGCTCTGCGACCTTTCCCGCCTTCTCGCGGACGTTGCTAGGATCGATTTTACACAATAGGCTGCATCTTTCGTGCCCCGCGCGCCTTGCTTCTGTATCTCAGAACCTTCCAACCGCGGGACGCGATTGTGTGCGCACAGGCCCGGTTCTAGGTGCGCCGATCAGCTTACGAGTTGTGACAATGTCACCCAGGAACTCAGTCTGGCTTCAACATGGACGCTTGCACCCTGATGGGTGTGAATTTCTGTGAGCCTTGCGCCTTGTCGCGTTGCCACACCCGTATCCTCGCTGATCGGCTCGCCAGCTCTGCTCGGATAACCTCCCGCAGGCTCCTCTTTGCTGCTGCGATGTCAGAGAGCCACAGACGTTGCTGCCAGCCAACGTTGCTCTATCATGTGCAATCGAGCTTCCTCGCGGTGACGAGCGATGAAACACCTTCGAGCGACGAGCAGTGGTATATCTTCCCATTCGACCGCGCGGGTCCGAGACATTGACCTTTGAATGCATTGAAGGCGGTCGATTGCGTCGGACGATGGCAGAGTCAGCCGATGCGCCTGCCGACGCGCGCTCCACGAGGGCGCGATGGATCTCTTGCAGAGATCTCGCATTTGGTTTGAGCCCACACGGCACCAATCTGTCCGGGTTTTCAACCCTACGCGATCACTGATAACCGCATGAGCAGACCAGCGACTGGTCCATCACCGGACACACTCGGCATCAGATGGGGAAACATAAAGAAGTGGGCTGGTCACCTCGCAAGGCCATTGGTATATATAGAGGGCCTGCTTCGAGGCTCGGGACGATAACCTGCCACCGCAATTTCGCGAGCGCCCCTCCACCCGAATCATGTCTTTGCTCTCCCTCCCCATTCACTCTCTGCAGTACGCAGAGATCGTCGTCAGAAGCACTGACCCGGACCTGGACCTGAATGCATTGTCCTTCTCCGTGCGGCCCACTGCTCCCCCAGGTGCGCCCGTCCCCGCACATCCTTCGGGATGAATACTTAACGCCTCTGTTCAGCCATGTCTTTGACGTCTATGGCCAATGTCGACGTCAAGGTGTCCACCGTGCGCGACGCGTCGGGCACCTATCTCTCCATTTCCCTCGGACAGCCTGATGAAGGTGCGCCACTCTTTTTCCGTGCTTTTCCCAAGCTAACCTTTTATCAGAGGGCGCGCAGAACTCGCTTCCGATCGCGTATGGTGATCGCTCAAGCTCGTCGCGGTCGTCACCCTCGTCGTGGAGTGGCACCCGTAAGCACCTCGGTCCCTTCCCCGCACGGCTTGACTTGACGCCGCTGTCAACAGAGCCTTACTACAAGGAGTACAAGGAAATGTTTGGTCGTCACAACCTCCCCATGGACTGCGATGAGGGGTTCATTGGCTCATTGAATAGTACGTCCTCGTACCTGCATGCGTGCACACGTCCACTGACATTCTACTCAGTGCCGCCAGGGTCCTGGCCTGTCAACGACGGCAACTATTCCGACACGTCTGCATCTGGCCTTCCCTCTTCTGGGCCAATGGGATACTACCACCGCCCCTCTTTCGACGAGTTCCCATCGCCCCCGTCCTCGGCATCGTCCTGCACCCATCTGTCTGACACGGAGAACACCTTCGCATACTCCCCGGAGGACCGCATGGCCCCAGGCGCGCATTCTTCCATCCATCCCCCGAAGCTGCAGCGCTCCCGCTCTGCGACGTCCTACCCCACGTCGAAAATCCTCCCCGTCACGCGACCGAAGCGCACCGCGCTCAAGTGCGAGTACCCTAACTGCGACGCCCACTTTTCACGCCAGCACGACCGCTTGCGGTAAGTCCAGCATGATTGGCTCCCACCTCAATCATGAGACTGACTTTTCCATGCAGACACGAAGTGAACAAACACGGTCGCAAGTGCGAGTGGACATGTGATGTCTGCCGACGCTTTTTCTCAAACGCTTCGACGCTCGAGCGACACCGCTGCACCGGCACTCCTCCGTCTGACTGGTGAAGATCATACGGTGTGCCACAAAATCTGTATTCTAGCGCCTCGATGTGCATAGTGTATACCCTATTCTCGGATTGGTACATACCATGGTTATTTTTTTTCTTGGATGAAGGAAATTTTTGTAGTGTTATACCTCTGTCGTGTATTACGGAATGGAAGCCCTCAAAGGTCTCGCAAGTCAGCGAGCTTCAAGCGCGCGAAGCTCAGTATCACCAAGAATTCTCCCTCACCAGAGGCAAAGCCTCAGCGAAGTCCTTCGCGCGTACGAAAGGGCTCGCGAATATGGCGAGCATGCCGGAATAGTATAGATGCCTTGTCCCATGTCCCAAAGTTTAGCGACATGCAGACGACATGTAATCGTCCAATGAGGCGCCGTCGAAGGCCGACACGGAGGTAAGCGATGTTCTGAAGCAATCAGACCACCTGCAGCGCTGTGGCATCTTTCTCGCGCGATAAACAGGCGCGCTTGCTTATCTTGGTGAACGCGCCTGAGAAGCGTCGGGCCTCCCCCTACCAGAGACGGGTTGATCTTCAACATCGGGCGGGCGCATCACGGACAAGCGGGGCGGAGGGATGAACAGTTCAGCCCGCGGACCGCACGAAGAGATCGGCACGGACATATCTTCCTTCTTCTTCATTATCCTGTGGCTGTTCACACGAACATGAGGTACCCAAGGCGCCTGATACGAGGTGGCACAAACATACCTGAGGGAGACATGTGATACGCATGATCGACGACGATGCGCATGGTACAGGACCGAGATACTGAACGGCTGCAGCTATGGCCTTCGGTAAATCGCCACTCGTCGGAGGAGTTACAGCCAACGCGTTGGGACCGGGTAGTCCGTTTGATCACGCCACTGATGCAGTATATTCGCGAAGGCGAGCCGATGCGAAAGCAGTCGACCTGGCTCAGGGACGAGAACAAATGTCCATTTGCGGTCTAAAAAGCAGCGAATACGGCAAGTAGGATTCAGCACGGTCAAATGGTCAGGGAATCTACCTTCGTGAGTCCAGACGTATGCGATGAAACTCGGCGATTACTGGCTTTGAGAGACAGACTCCGAACCCACATCGTAGCTTGCAGAACGCATGGAGGACCGGATGGGTAGTGTCATTGAGACTGTCTAAGGATCGTCCATTATACGCGCCTACTCGAAGACTTGACCTCCTCAGCCTTCTTCTCGACCTTGTCCTCCGCCGCGGCGGCAGTCTCCCGGACCTTGGCCTCAGCATCTTCCGCGACAGCACGAGCCTGCACCTTGACTTCCGCGGCCCTAGCCTTGGACCAGCCGAGTGCCTCCTTCAGTTTCAAACCCGTCGCCGACTGTGCTGCCTCGACCGCAGCGAGCACACCGTCGCCCAGCTTTTCCCGCCCAGACTCGGTAGCGTCCTTGAGCCGCTGCCAGGTCATCGCAGAGTGCGCGTTCGCGATCGCGTGCTTCTCCGCGAGCGTTGGGAAGTACGTCTCCTCGAGGGACGCGCCGTATGCGGAGATGTTCGCGGAGGTGTGGGGGAGGAAGTAGTTCATGGAGCCGACGAGGAAGGCAGGGGGGATCACGAAGCGCGTAAGGAGCGAGCGGTTCCGCGTGAGGATGGACCCTGTGAGGGTAGCAATGCCGACGTAGAGCAGGGCGGGGGTCATGGCTTCATCCGGGGCCGCGAGCGCCTTGACGCGGTCTGGGTCTGGTGAGAAACATGCAAGGGAGCAGTGCATGCGACGTACGTTCAACTGCTTTCTCGATGCCTATCCACTTGGAGACAACACCCTGGGCCTGCGCCTGGATGTTACGCACCGTCTGCGTCGCGGCTCTCCGGGCAATCCCGATCTCCTTCTCGAGCGGCAAGGGCTCGTCGATGAGTTCAAGGGTAGTGGGAGGTTGAGGGTAGATCGGCAGCTATGCACCCCTTGTGAGCTTCCCCATGGCAAATTAGAACACAAGCACGCACCTTTTCGCGCTCGCCGGTAGGTGTGGCGAGCACGACCGCGGAGGCCGCCAATGTTGCTGCAAACACTCTGGGCGGCTAAAGACATGAGAAATCGCAACATATGGCATCGTGCAACAGACATACAGGCCGTATCCGCGCTCGGAACATGGTGAGATGATGAGGTCGACGTGACGCCCGGCGACGAGCAGAACTTCGGGAACACCCGTGACAAGCAAGGGTAAATAGCGATAAGATAACGAACAGACAAACAAAGGCTTATTTGTTCGCCTTATACTTCCTGGAACTGGTACTTATATCGTCATTGGGACATAAAACTAGTCAAGCCTACATAGTAATAGTACATAGAGATAGTGGTAGATAGATAAAAACTCGAATGGCGGTATACAAGATTTAGGCAAGAAGACGAAGGGGTAGTGTACACGCGCTCAACAGCGCAGAAAAACGAACCTCTAAATGTCCATCAAACAGGAACGAACTCTAGCAAGCCCTCCTCGCCCGCCTCCATCCACTCTACGAACTTCCAGCCCGTCTTCTCGCTATACTGCCGTCAGCACTTTGCGCCGGCGCACGTTGAAAGGAAGAAGACGCACCCTAATTCGATAAACTCGTCCAAAGTGCGCTCCTTCCCGTTGACCTGGATAAGCATGTTGATGTCCTGGCGGAACGGTCGGGTATTCGCCGCGCCATAGCTCGGTAGTAGCGGCTCGGGCGCCTGCATCGCATCTGCCCGCCCGAGGCGGCGCGCAACAGGAGGCAGCACGTAATCGTGAATAAGCAGTCGGCTTGTGGGTTTCGTCGCGGCGCGGATGTTCTGCAGGATCTTGATCGACTCTGCGTCGGGCCAGTCGTGACTGAAAGTCGCAGGTAAGACCGAGCGGCACAGCACAGCAGTAGAGATCAAACGCACAGAATATGCTTGACGTAGTAATATTCGCATCCGGAAACCGGGGACTGCTTGAAGAAGTCGATGGGCACGAAAGTAACATTGCCTTCGGGTAGATTTGCGTTCCAGTACTGGATAGACGGATGAGAACCGCGGATGACGCGCGAGGGGGACGAACGTCGTGCGGGTGGTGGACGACGGACGTTCGAGCGAAGGTCGACAGACGTCGCGCGAAGGGATGACAAACTCACCTCAGGCCCCTGCGCGATGACTTCCGGTGCATCCTGCACGATCACCTTCATATGAGGAAAAGCGCGGGCGACATCCATAGTCGCATGGCCCTTGCTTCCACCAACGTCGACTATTGTGGCGCCTTGGGGCGCGGTATGCCATGGGTATACTGCTACGACGTTAGCGACCTCGCAAAATGATGTCAAATGAGTAACGCACCTTTGGAGAGCATAGCGCGTCCACCGATACAACTCAAGCCAGCCATAGCCTTAGCGAATCGCTGAAGGACCGTCAATGCCGTGCATTAATGGAGGGAGACTTACTCACCTCGCAGCGGAATTTACCCTCCGGCTGGACGTATCATTGAGCGACGAAGAGAATGAAGTAATGGGCTTGCTTACAGTGTCCGTCTGGCCAAATACTGGCCGGCCGTAGAAGTGGTCATACGTGCAGTCTTGAGGAAGGTATGAGCGGCCCTTCTTGGGATCTCGCAGAACCTCGCTCAGGTGTAGTGCTGACGGTGCGGTCTCGTCGACACTGAGACTGATTAAGAGCGCGCAAGTGAAAGAACAAGCCTACAACTCACGCTCGCCCGACCAGACTGCAGACGGGGTCTTCTGATAGTAGCTTCATGGATAGGCGGTTGTTCGTAAAGACGTTGGGGTATACTGAGGCAAATTTGGTTGATGAGTAGAGACTTTAGGGCGCACGGAGGACGCACCTTCGCTGAAGCAATGCGATGTGGCAAGGACTCGAAGAACGCGTGCAAGCTTCCCCGCTTCTATGCCGGTCAACCGGGAAAGTTCGTCGACATGCATGCCTTCCGGCCTGCTGAGCAAGTGGTCGGCGACGCGAGCGTCGATGACCGTCCGTATACATGCGATGTCAACATACTGATTGGAGGATCAGTCGCGCCACAGAATGGAGGGAGGGGTCGAAGCGTACGGCGTAAGCTTTCTGTCGAGACGTCAGATGCCACATTCGCGCTTCCCGAAGCCGAGAAGACTCACATTGTGCATATTACCCTGTGGTGTAGCGACAGTAGCACAGAGCTGCGCGCAAGCAGCTTCGATGGTCTTTACGGCCGTTCGTAAGCGGGCCGTAGTCTTGTCGGGGTCGTCGAAGGGTCCCGGCTCAGTGGACTCCAGCGTAGGTACTGCGTGCCCTACAGCCGCGTACTCAGAGACGACGACCTTGACCGCCGCCGAGATCATGTCCGCGAGCGCGGTGACATGGAAGTTAGGGTTGGCTTTAGGATGAGCGGCCATCGGTTCGGGCGGACTCTTCGCGCGGCACTTCTCCTTCGTGGCGGAGGGAGGAACTCGCCAAAGGTCGCGTTGCCGGTATATAAAGCGCTCCAGCAGGAACTGCACGGGCGACGTCTCGGGCGGGATGGCCATTGTTGTCGTGCAGCAGGGCGGTTTCCCGTCTTGTAACAGCAAGAGCGTTGGGGGATGTCTCGCTCGCGACCTTGTCCTTATATCGAGGCCTGAGACACGCGCGTGCAGATTTCATACTGGGCACAAGGCCCGGAAATCCGCGAGAACAAGGGCGTGGGAGCGAGGAAAGACAATAAGAGGAAGCCGTCGCCATCACCAGTAGACAATAACGCGTGATAAGCGTGGCCGAGGGACGCCGGCGTGGAGTGAATGAGGAGCTAGCTTCGAGGAAAGGCATCGATATAGGATTTCAACAATAAGCAGCTCAGTAACATGAACTTGAAGTCAGAACTCGAGGCGCTGATCCATTCTTCCCTCCATGGTGGGAGTTCGGGACAAGCGCCCGCCTTCCTTTGTTCCATTTGGCTCCGGCCCTTTGTGGCGTCATCGCCACGTGTGCCTTTTTGTTACTGCCTGTCTCTTCAACAACGACTGCGACGACGGATTGCTTGGAAACGCAGCTAGTCGTTATCTTTTATTGTCTCTGGTCGGTTTAAGGTGCGCTGTGATCAACTTCGATGGCTCAACGGTTCTTCAGACGCATGAAGTCGGAAAACCATCATAGCCGATACCGCTCGCATGCGTCCTCTCAGTCAGGTTGTCAATGCATGAGCTTACGAGGATGACAAGGCTTACAAGGAGGTATGCTGCTAATGCAAATGAACTCTCTGCCACTTGCAGTACGAGCGACTGCCTGAACGCTTTCAGGTGCTCTCAACTATAGTCGTGGCCTTCGACTTGCCTTCGCCGACGTCGACCTCTTCTGCCAATGCTGCAACTTATGCTGACAGATTAATCATGCTCTGGCTCTCGTTCAGTACCGTACTCTGCACCTAGATCTCCTGCCGCTTGCCTCTACTACGCTCCACCAACAGCGACGAATTGCTGTCCCCGAAGCCGCTAATTGGCGCGTCGCGGTCCTACACACGTTACCCTTGTCGTCCTTGACGCTCCTCCGAGAGACCGAGACTCCTAGCTCGTGAACTTCTATTGGTGGTGTGCACATTCGGACGAACCTCACAATTTACCGAACTCGCGCCCTTCACGGACCTCTGATCTAAGGCTAGCGCACTCATCGCGAGTAGATCTTCATACTACACGGCTATCACGAAGTCCGACGTATACATCTTCCTGCGAGACTTCATTCCGTGCCGAACGCTTGAGGGCTAGTGGCTTCTAGGCGTCTCAGGGATCATGGGGGTGATTTGTGGCACCGTCGAGCTTGTCAATTGGCAGGTTCATTCTACGAGCATCAGTGACCTGGCGTCCCAGTAAGGACACTTCGCTCAGACAGATGCTGTTACAGCTCGCTATGTTGGCCTCTGGCGAACTCGATGGTGCTGGGTGATTGTCGAGCAGGGAATCCCTTGAAATTGAACGGCCGCTATCAGCGTTCTCCGTACACGACGCGGTTTGGAACGGTTCAGAACTCGCGCATGACTCATCACGACCCACAGAAATCCCCAGCTTCGATTAACCCTGCCCTTCTTGTCTGTCAGGCGCCGTCGCAGTTCTCAAGTTCCAGTCGGGCCTTGACAGTTGACTTGTCCCTTCCACGACGCCGCCTCGACGCCACCGGCACTTCCCGCTGAGCACGTGACACGACCAAGCAACACCAACCACCCAAACAATCAGTATAGTTACACAGCCACACATGCTGTAGACACACGGCGGTATATAACCAAGCCGTCCACTCCCTCTCAACTCGTGGACAGATACTGAGCTCCCTCGGTCGGATACGCGGCGGACAGCCTGAGGGTCGGGAGAAATCCCGCGTCAGGTGGACTGGGGCCCCTCCCTGGATCCTGTCCCATGAGCGACCGATATGCGCTGGCCCGCAAGATTTGGCCGGAGCTTGGAGAGTGAGGCGGCGACTGGGCTCGACCCACGTCGTGCGCTGAGCGTCGGCTAGTAGACGTCCTGAACCCTTCTCGCGGACATTCCCTGGGCAGCAACGCGCTCGGGGCTTCCTTTGTCTATCGATATACTTCTGTTGTCGCGGACTCTTGTATCGCTCTGTCCTGAAATGTTCTGGATCTATCGCATATGCTGATCTCTGGGATTCCTGCCTGACTCCGCCCGCCGTCCTCTTATCTCAAGCGCCCTCAAAGCACGCCGCGTGCCCACGACTACTGGAAACAAGTGCAAGTCGTTCATAAGGGTGCATCATGGTGGGTGAGAGCGATGCGGCCGAAGGCTTGCTATGACTTGGGTCCATTTGGGTGCCGAAGTCGTTCGGGAAGCTGCCCTTCTGTTGCGCATCCAGAAGTTCACATACGGTGAACACCTCTGCCGTCAACGAGGAGCCATCGCCAATGACTCTGGAGCAGTACCGTCATGACCGCCTTCCCCGACTCCAGCAATAGCAAGGCCCCTTACATTGTCGGCGAGCTCTCCTGCGGCAAGATGCACCCGTGACCTTCCACGGCGGGCGATCCTCCTCGCGCGACCACCTGCTGCCAATCAGCGAATTCGCAAGCACCTACAGCGTCCTCGTCGTCTTCTACGACTAGGTCGGCACCGACTTGAGCACGCATGTTCGCGCGACACCACATCCTCGTCCTTCGACTTCTTCATCGATGAGTGCCTCAATCTCCTCTCCCACCTCGAGATTGAGGAGTACGACTACCTCGGTCACTCCTGGTTCGATGGGCAGCAATACTGGCATCAGCAATCGTGTTACTTACTACCATTGACAGCCACAGTCGGACTCCACAAGGGTCTCCCACTTCCGCGATTGCAGCGAACAAGGTATACGTGTGCATATTGTTTATTGAACACGCGAGACAGACAATAATGATACAACTAAGAACAGCGAAGAGCGAACATTAACCATGATATACACAGGTAAGTATGAGAAAATCCACAGGCGCAAGGGGCAAAGTACCCAGCCCAGACGCCGAACCAACCAAAACAGAGTCGATGCATGTATACCAGCTGCGCGCACACCGAAAGGCTGCTGCACAAGCGGAGAGCGTGTCTTCGCTAGCGCTCGGCGCGCCCTCGGGGCCCAGCGCGCTCGCATTAGGGTATCGCATATAAACTGCGCGCCCTGCCAGTCGCCCTCGAATCTACAGGAACCCGCTCTCCTGCAACAACCGCGCCATCTTCTCGTCCTCCCGCTCGCGGGGCTCCCTCTCGAGACTGAGCGTCCAGAAGTGATCTGACCACTGCCCGGCGTCGCTGAACTGGTTCAGACTCTCCTCGATGAAGTTCTGGATGACCGTGACGCGGGTGAAGTTGAAAGGCTGAGCCTGCCAGCGCTTGATGTCCTGAATGACCTCCGACGCTTTCGCCCGCTTACGGAAGTTGACGAGATCGCCGGGGAGCTTGTCGGGGTTGCCGTCCTGGATGAATTGCAGAGTGGACAAGAAGACACCTAGCAGGAGGAGATTAGCGTTCGCCATCTACCATGGTATTCACCAGTACTCACCGATGAACGGAACGCATGGCGGGTTGACGGTGGCCATAATCTGCCGATACTTGTTGAAGTTCTTGTCCGAGTGTATCGTCATCTCGCACGCGGCGAACTGCTGCATGAAGCGCTGGTTGACCTGCTCCCATGTTCGCTTGAGACGACGGATGGGTGGCGTGTTCAATCCGGAGACGATGGCAATCATGGACGAGAAATTGTTCATCGACCGACAACGCTGAGAGAAAGTCAGCCACGTAGGCCAAAATGACACAGGGGATACTCACATCCGCAATGCTGATAAGGTGCTTCACGACCTGCGCCCGGCGCCGCGAGTCATCCTTGCTCAACACCAGCTCAGCAACCCAGAGAGCAATCTACGGGTGAGTTAGCGTCACGTCACACCACCACGACGTCACCCTCACCTTATTGCTTGTCTGGATGACCACAGTGATGTTATCCACGTTATCCGTCTTGCCCTCCCGAGCGCGCTGCAAGCACTCCATGGGGCGGATGCGCTGATATAACTCGCTCTCCATCAGCGTCAGCTGCCGCGCCATTTCGATGGGATCAATGTCGAGCAGCTTGAGCTTCTTGTTGGCTTTGGGAAGAATGGGCTGTGGAGGCGTGCCCATGCCGGTGGTCACCATCTTCATGTTGTCGTTGCCGCCGCGCTGCTGACGTAGACAATGAGCTTAGTTGTTCTTCAAAGCCAAGCGAATGCGCTTACCGCACGTTCGATCTGCGCAAGCAACACCCTTGCCGCTCCGAAGCCCTTGACGGGCTCCGTCGTAACGAACTGCTTCATGCGGTCCAGGATGTACATGTCCTCCTTCTCGAGCACGTCCTCGTCAACGACCATGGACTTGAACGTATTAAGCACTCGCATCTGGATGATGTGCTGCTTGTTTTTCCCCCAGTCCTCCCGCTCCTCCGGCGTCAGCTTTGGCGGCGGCTGTATCCAGAACCGCTGCACCAGCAGGTCGAACAGCTCGTCCAGAGTCGTAAATGACTTGAACGTCATGAGGAATGACCGAATGTACGTCGGATCGCCGTGTTCGTGCGCGGTGAGGCGCTCGACGAGAGCGGGTACAGTGCCTCCCTTGACGGTGCCATCGGCATTGTCGATGATGATCTCGGAGGCATTGTAGGTGGGTCGTAAATACCAGGGCTGCTGCTCGGAGATGGCGGTGGTTTCGATGAAGGTAGGGATCTCGCCGAGGATCTTCTTGAGCTTGGAGGATCCTCGCGGGGGCTTGCTTGGCGTGGTTTGTGGCCCGACTACATGGGAGTCAGCACTCAACTAACTTGCAAGGAGGATCAAACAACTCACGTCCATCCAACGACTTCATATCGTCGAAGTCATCGTCCAGATTCAGATCATCATCCATATCCAGGTCCGTCTCTGGTAGGTCTGTCTCCGAGTCCTGCCCGTACACTGTTGACGAGCCATTCGCGGTCGAGGGCTGGCCTGCAACTATCGTGTCCCGATAGCTGGTGTCCTCGCTTGGGCGCATGCTTGGCGCAGGCCGCCTGAAGGCGTCCTCCATGCCCACCACATCGCCAGGCAGGTTCGGCGGCGCTCCGAAGAAGTCGCTATCCGGCCGTGCCGCGGTATGCGGGGGCATGATGCTAAGTCGCGAGAGCCGCAGCTCAATCGAGCCCGAGTAGTCACCCTGGTCGATATCGGCCTGCTCCCGACCCACGGCCAGCAGCGCAGAAATCGTCTGCCGCATGGTCGCCACATTCGACTTCAGCGAGCCCGAGACGACCTCGAAATACCCTGCTGCCGACTCGAGAGCGCGCGCGGACTGGGTCTCGGGTAGCGTCTGTATAGAGAGGACGAACGCGGCGAGGTCGTCGTACACGGCTTGCGTCGCTGCTTCGAGAGCGCGGACCAGACTCCGTGCGCGCTCGACGGTTCGGGCGTACGCGTCGTTCGAGGGGTCATTGCCATTGCGACGGATGCCGTCGACGTCGACGTGCTTCGCGACGTGCACATCAGCAACGAAGGTCAGGAGGGTGTTGATTTGGGCGATCAGGCTGGTGCCCAGGCCGCGAACTTCTTCGACTGAGAAGAAGTGAGCGAAAGTTCGATAGAGAATTTAGCGTTGACTCACCAGGAGTACCGGAGGCAGTGAAGCTATCCTTCACTTCGGTGAAAAGAATGTCAACCTGGGTCACGAGCTGTACCAGCTCTTCAACGACATCGCCTGACAAGGCTCGCCGTGGAGTGTCGGACTCGTTTACTGGGACGAAGCCAAAACCTTTCCATGATCCAGCGGCTCCAGCACCGAGCAGACCCAGCCCAAGGTCTGTCGAGGAAAAGACGCCATGCAACCTTCGAGAAACGCTGGGAGAATGAGGTGTATGCTGCGATCGGCCCACCTCCAAGACGAAGGCGTGCAATGCGCGTTCCAATTCCTCTGCGTCGACTTCGATCCGTTGGAGAGTGTCAACGATCCCTGCACCGGCCTCCCCGCGTGCCGAGGCTGCCTCTGCTCCCGCATCGTAGCGCAATGCTCGCGCTGAGAGCACCAAGCGCGAGAGAGTCGCAGTAACCTTGCGCTGAGCAGGCTTCAGAGGCGACTGGCTCGCGGCCTTGTCGGCTGCTCTATCAACCTTGCCCTGCGCGTTCGGCATCTGGCTCGGCGGCGGCGCAGCTACAAACAGCAAATTACGAACAGCATCCACGACCGCGTTCACGAGTGAATCGAGCTCTGCGTTTTCGTTGACCTCGGGTCTCTCCTGCGCTGCGGCCGCCATTGACTGAACGAAGTCCACGATGGCGGTGATGGCGCTGCGTGCGACAATCGAGAGTTCCGCCGCGGACTCCGGAGGTGGGGGTGAGAGGGCATCCTGCAGCTGCTGAGCCAGCTCCTCGGCGGTGCTAAGTTCGACGCGCGCGTCGAGTCGAGCGGTCGGGGGCCCGCTGTCTTCGGGCACGGCGAGTCCCTTTTCCTCAGATACGCGTGATCGGGAGGCGGGAAGGAGGGCCTCGAAGGGCTGCAAGTCCGACGAGTCGGAGTACACGCTCAAGCGGCTGACTTCGTGCTGGCGGGATCGGTAGGAAGAATTCGTGACACTTCGATGATCGGAGGTCGTTGAATATGATCGCCCCCGACCCGACGCATAGTCCTGCGTCGTCGCGTACGAGCTATGCTGGCTCGCCTCGGAATAGGCGCGCTGGCGCGAACTCGGGGTCGCGGATTGGGAGCGGTCGGCAGAGGAGGGTGGGCCGCCCTCGGGCTTGGTCCACTGTATGCTGCCATCGACCTGATTGTAGTAGTAGTACGCCATGCCATCGTCGGCAAGTTTGCGGACCCAGGGCTCAGGGGTGTCGGTGCGGCGCGGGACGCCAAATCCGGCGGCGGGGTGGACAGCAGAGCCATTAGCGCGTCCGCCGTTCGCGAGAGCAAGGCCCCTGCTGGTACCGGATCGCGAGCTGGACACGGAGGCGGCTAGCCCGGCGAGATCGCTGTCCGCGCCGTCGTCCTCGGCCTCTACGGGGAGATCGCGCGATTGCTGGCCGGTTTGGGTGTTCACATAGTAGATCTGGGGGTGTATGAGCGAATGAGGAACTAGCAGCGCACGGGACACGCACCTGTCCGCCGGGCGTCACCTGCGGCATCCAAAAGTCGTTTGACTGCGTCGGGCCGTCCATGGCCGCGTGCGCGAGGGCGTCCATCCCTCCGCCGCCCATTCCCGCGGCGTCGAGCCACTCGTCCGCGTCGAGGTGCGCGCCGCCGCCTAGCATCGCGTGCGACATGTCTACCATCCCCGAATCCGCGTCGGAGGCCATGCGGGGCATGCTGCTAGCCTGGCTCATGCTGCTGCTGGGTGCGAGGGATTGCTGGTCGATAGAGTGCTGGTCCAGGTCGGATAGACCACCGGAGAGCGCGACTTCCGCCTCCTCGTCCGAGATCACTTCCACATAGTTGGATGGGAACCAGCCGCGCTCGTCCCCGAGCAGACCGTCCCACCAGCCCGACGGCTGCTGCGTAAGGACTTCTATGATGTCGCCGCGCTTGAAGGAGAGGGCCGAGGGATCCTGGGCCTCATAGTCGTAGAGGGCCTTGCAGAAAAGAGTGTTCACCAGGCTTTCGTCGAACGATTCGCCGTCATGGGCGTTCTGGTTCTGGAACTGCGAGGAGGACGAGGACTGGCTTATGGAGGGAGCAAATGCATGATAGGAGGAAGACGAGGCTACTGCGGCCATTCAAGATATGCTGGAAACGAAGGGGAATGCCAGAAGCCTGCCGCGCCGCCCGTGAAAGTTGAAGACAACTTATGCACGACGCTCGGAGGGACCCAGACTTCGCGCTGACTAAGCATCATTAGAAGTCTGATGTTACTGACTTAGGCAGTTCTTAAATCAATACACCCACGACGCGTCTCTTGTGTCCGGCGCCCTCCTCGGGTTTTTGTTTGCATCGCGAAACATTCTCTGGCGCGCTCGGAGTGACTCAGGATCGAACAATACCGTGCTAGAAGTTCATGAAGCGCAAATCAGCCGCTCTCGTGGATTATGCCGGCTCCGACGACAATTCCTCGGACTCATCCTCAGATGAAAAGCCACATACAAGGAAGTAAGCCCTTCCCTTCTCTATGTCTTTCTTCGCCTTCTAATTCCGTGTATTGACCATTGGAATAGAAAGACTCGAGCTTCCTCTACCCACGAACCATCTTCCTCTACTTCCCCACCATTTGCCACCCAACCTACATCACGTCCTCGCAAACTCCCCTACCTCGCCCCCTCCATAACAGGGCCCGTGCACGTCGACAATCCCGCTCTCCATCAAGGCCGCATACGCTCCGTGCCGCACGTCGACGGCCAGTGGGCCTGCCATGTGTATGTTCCTGTCACTCTGAAGCCGCGAAGCGCCCTGCGCGACGTCCTGGAAGACGCAATACAAAGAGCGAAGGTTGGCGTGCAAGAGAGCATGGATTTACCTGCACAAGAGACGTCGGGAATGTCTGCATTCCACACGTTCTGGGATGCCGAGACGCCCAGGCCGGAGCTTCACATCTCGCTCTCCCGGCCCATTTTCCTGCGCGCGCATCAGCGCGAGGACCTGAAGCGCGCGGTAAAAAGAGTGGCGCGGGAAACGCAAGGGTGAGTCAGAGTCATCATGTTGTACAGCCTTGCGGCGCGTCTGTTCTACCTTTCATTTCGGGCGTCCATGTACGTCGCGACCTGTGCACTGAGCAGTGAACTCATCTGATCGTAGCGCGCGCACTACGGTCTTTTCTTGACTAGATGATGTTGTATCCTGACCTTTCTTTTAGGTTCAGCACGTCTTTCACCTCCTTTTCTGTTCTGACAAACGACGAGAATACGCGCGCCTTCCTCACTGTTGATGTGGGCGCAGGACATCCAGAGGTACGATGAGCATCTCTTGATCAGACGCATTCTTCTAATTCTACATCCTAGCTCGCCGCAATGACGTCTAAACTCACCCCTTTCCTCCGCTCTGTACGTCAGCAAGAGTATTACTCTTGCCCCAAGTATCATGCGTCTATTGGCTGGACACTGCTGAGCCCTAAGTACGCCACAAGCACTTCAGCAGTGGACGGCGAGAATGATGCCACTGTATCAGCAAATGCTGCTGAAACGTCTGCTATCCCCGCAACCTCCATCGACACCACCTTTGCCAGCATACCCGCATTTCCAGAAGGGGTGGTTGATGGCTTGAACAAGACTTATGGATCACGAATAGTGAAGGTAGGATTGGTGGAGGTTGGGAGGGTCTCGGTGCGGATCGGGAAGGAGGTGTCTTCGTGGGCGTTGGGCAGTTGAAGCTATACATTACTCTGCTATGTTACTAGCGACTAGACCTACTCTAGGTTTATTGGGCATGATAAAGCGAACACTGCTCATGGCTCTAACCGTGGGTAGGTCTGCAGATTCGCCGGTGTTTCAAGGTCAACGTTGTAGGTCCCCGCTTGCCCCATCACATGCCTCGTGGGAAAATGCAGTCACTTCGTCGATCACGCAGTTCGACTTCTTCTTTTGGACCCATCTTCACTCGCCGCGACCGGTCTTTTGTGGCAATCTTTCTGCCACATCAACTTCAAGTCGTTCGTGGTCCGTTACTAACATGGACGACACCTTCGAAAAGCCCACCGCGGGCGCACCTCCACAAACCGAGAGGGAAAACGCACCCGAAGACGACGAGCAGGCCTCTGATGACGAGGAAGGCGCGCAGGATTGGGCGAAGTTGGCGTGAGGATCTTTCATTCGAGACTCTGGCTATATTCATTGACGATTATCCTTGCATGCTTTCTGCTCTGGTGAAAATGTCGCTCACTCCAGCCAAATGTACTCTCGTTCCTCCGCCCCAGTGATCCCCAAGCGCGGCGAAAAGGAATTCGAGCCGGCTGAGGGTGGTGGCTCAGGTTTGCAGAAACACGTCCTGGAGCGCTCGAGGAATGCGATGTTCGATATTCTGCGGACGACGAGGGTGATTGCGAAGTGAGTAGGCTGTACATGGAGTCAGACTATAATGCTGAATGAAGCTGACATTTTTGTAGCAAGAGCATGTCCTACGCCATCTGGCACCCCTCCCTCGCCCGCGCGGAGGTCCTGGTCGCGCATGGCGTGCACTTTGCGAATATGGGGCACTCGGCGCCGCGGCCGTACGTCGATGAGGAGGGGGTAACGAAGGTTCATAAACGATTGGAGTTACTACCGGAGGAAGCTATCTATCTGGTGGAAAGGGGCTCGCTGTTCTGTTCGACGGCTGGCGCCCCAAAAACTGCTGTTCCGGGAATGGAGGATGCGGCGGGCCCGCCGATGACGGTGCAACAAGCGTACACGGAGATGATAGGAAGGGAGGGGTTGACATTGGAGAAGTTTCAGGTGGGTGAAGGTTCCTTTCATGCGCTCGACTTGCGGCGAATCTATTTCTTCCCGATTCTCGACTTGGATGCGGATGTGCATAAAAAGCGGGTGCTGACGCTGACATTTTCTACTCTCAGGTCTACGCCTACCTCAAGCGCCTCGGCTACGTCGTTACTCGCGCGAATCCGCCTGACGAGAACTACCCGATGCCATCCCCGCATAAGGCGGTTGCGCGTGCGACGACAGGTAAGCCAGTCATCTTTTGCCGTCCATCGGAAATCTGACCAGGCTCTCAGCGAGAACGAAACCCACTAACCTCTTCGTCGCATTATACTCCGTCGTCTGCCGATGCCTTGCCCGCCTCTGGAGAAGGGAATTTGACTGGTGGCACCCGCTAACCGTGAACCGGTGGTTGGGGAAGTGGGGAGGGTATGGTGAGTATCAGCTTTTTTACCGTTTCCCTGTTGCTCTCTTATCCTTCTTCTGCGTTCGCGATGATCTCATGCACGCCCTAATGCTTGACATGATCATACTCACAACTCCACCTTCCCTCCAGCTCACATCTACCGCTCCCTCCGCTTCATCCCCAATGGACACGAGATACCCTTGCGGCCAACCGATACAGAAAAGCGTGAATCCGAGAAAAACGCCTCCCCCTACCGCGTCTTCTACAACATCTACAAGCCGATGACGGCGTTTAAGAAGTCGAGCCCGCCGCCGCCGGATTATCAGGTGGTGGTTGTGAAGTGAGTGTTCTGCGCGTTGGATTTTCCCTTCCATCCTGCAATTTCTGGCTAAAGCGCTTTCCTTACATTCATCCCATCGCTTCCCCTCGCCCTTACGCCCTCTCCATCTCCCTTCCACCTTTCCTTTCCTCCTCTTTCCTCCTTCCCCATCTCCTTCCCTGCCTCCTTCCTCCATTCCCCTCCATTCTCCACCTTTCACATGCACTCTTTCGCCCCTCTCGCCCTCTGACTCCTTTGACCTAATCGACTGATCACCCGCCCTCAGCGCGCGCACCACCCTCATGCCCTCCCTGCAAGAATTCGAGGACATGTTCGCGGAGCTGCCCGAGCTCCCGCCGCCGCTTCCGCGGAAGAAGAATTTCTTGCCCGCACCTGGCGAAGAGCTCCCGCCGGGCGTGAAGATCAACAAGGCACTGCCGAATGCGCCGAGGAATGCGAGGCCACGCCCACCGCAGGCGGCGCAATTAACTCCGGAGGGTAAGGAAAAGGTCGTGCTTGCGACGGAACGTATACTAATCGACCGTTCCAGGCAACGCATCCTTCCTACGACGCATATTCCCCTGGGCGTTCCCCGCCTCTCGTCCATCTCCGCCCCAGGGCCCGCGCATCAACCCGTTCATGGCGCTGAGGGCGGGGAAGCGGATGATCATCATCGCTGCGGTGGATTCGGGGAACATCAGCTTCTACAGGTTCATGCAGGGGTCGTTCGTAGATTGGCCGATGGGGTGAGGAGGATAGGAAGGCGTAGCTGTTTCTCGAGTCTGTGCTAATTGAGCCCTTTGTGGGTTGCGCCCAATGTGAGTTGTTCCCTTTGAGGAAGGATATGCAGCTGACACCGTCATAGGTCCATACTGTACTCATCTATAGGCGAATAGAGTTGACTGCCGCATGGCAGCGTCTACACCTGCCAGGCACTTCGTTGCGCTGTGGTGGAGTGGGATGGCAGTCGAGTGCGCTAGCCTTCTGCGGTGCTCCCTTGCTTGACTGTACACGCAAGGCCGGTTATCAGCATGCCACTTATCGACGGACCTGCTTGGCTGTGGCGGGGCCTTGCCGGAATGAACTGGACTACTGCGCCTCCGCCGTATACGTGTGCGAACGTCCTTTTCGCATGCGTATTGTCCCTCTTTCAGGCAGGACCTCGGTAGACAAGCTGAGATAGGATGAAGCGAAGCCAGCCTCGGCACCCTTTCGTTGACTGTTCCGTGCTTTCGAGAGCTTTCCGCCTACCCGCTCGGCAAGACGGAAGGCCTGCGCCTCCGTCATCCCAGATTGCGCAACCCCCCCTGCATCACCAAAGCATCACGCTATCCTTCCTTGCGAATCGAACATAGGATTCGGAAGTTCTCCATTGGCATGTTGCACCCAGACCACGCGCGTGCTGGTACGCGGTCACACGACAAGAAGGACGCGTATCTGGCAGCTCGATATTTTTCGGCGAAGATATCGATGTTCTGTCCTTGACAGACTTTCTATGCGTTCGGCGTACTTTGACGTGGAGCTCCGGAAGAAGTGTGCGATCTGTGAGCTTCGAAGTAGTTTCCATATTTGGGCAGTACTCGACAAGGGCATCGACGCGACGCGTCCTCATCTTTGTGCAGCGTCAGTGGTCCCGTCTCTTGTCTCGCCATCATGTACCACACCAATTTCCGCACGCGCATCGCGCAAGGTCTGCTTTGACATAAGGGCCCTCTTCCGACTATGTGCTCGCCATCCTCGACGCGTTGTCCTCCCTCAGTCTGACAGTATTGTGTTGCCCACATATATGCGTCAGAATCCAACAAAATCGGTCTTCAGAAGACGCCTTGAGAGTACAATCCGCCCTCCTAGCGTTCCTCCGCCTCTCAAGCAGCGAGTGTTCGTCAAAAGGAGCACTGCTACCCATTAACAAGATGACTTGTGTGCAACGACAGCACGGGTGTACTACTACTACACCGTCACGGTTTTTCGGTATGCTTCCCTTCCTTGCTTCTCCTGCATTGCTCTGCTATCGCGCCCCAAGCTACAAGACCTTATTTAGGTTCGAGACCCCTCCTCTTCGAGCCACCGCTGATACCAAACCACAGGCTCGCCATGATAATGAACCCACCCAGCATATGGCAGCGCTTCTCATTCGCATACAAACCTTCCCATCCTGATTCTGTTTCTATTCGTCGCCTTTGCTGCGACAGCCGACCCTTATCATCGCCAGCTGGACTGATCAGTGGAAGAGCTTTGCCTCTTCCCAGTCGTGGTCACGTCCCTCTGCCGTCTTTCCGACAACTCCTTGGGCTCGTCTTGTCCTGTCTTGTCCAGCCTGTGGAATCTGTTATTGCTCGACTGGCTCTTGGCGGTCCCTGGCGGTCCCCGGACGATTAAATCATATGACCCCACGTGCGACGCCGACCGACTCCGATTGTCTCGGTCGATCACTTGCTTGATTCATCCCATCGGCGACTGCCCCCATGGAATCGACAGGATACTTCTCCAGCATCGTCTCGAATGAAGCGCCTTTGGTGGTCAGAACAGCGAAGCTCCCCCTCGACCTTTCAGCTCGCCAAGAACATCAGGTGATTCCGTGCGCGGAGCATGGCCTGATGCTGTGGCGCGCTGGCGCCTAGATGGGATCTCGGTCCGGAGGTGAGTGATGCCACCGCCTCAACGTCATGAGCTCGGACGACGGTTTATCTTGCCCCTCTGCGCAGCGCTGCCTCGCTTCCCTCATCCGCACCACCACCATGACAGGCCGCCTTCAGCGAAAGTTCTCCAACGTCGCTGGCAAGCTCTCGCGCAATGCCAGCAAGATCTCCCTGAAGCCCGCCCCTTCCTCCGTCTCCCTCAGGTCCTCGTCGACCGCCACCACGAACGGCTCCCCAGGCACCCCATACAAGACCCCCGCACTCGACTCCATGGAGGAGGCCGACAATTGCCTGCTCGACGGCGAGCTGCAGACGGTCGACGACAAGCTCGACAACGGCAAGGTGGGCAAGGTCCGATCGCGCTGGTCGCTCGCCCTCGAGGCGCGCACCTGGCGCAAGCTCATGGCGATAGGCATGTACATGCACACTTTCGCCCACCCCCGCCCTCCCGGCCCCTCCTTCACCCGCAAGGCCCGCGCGACCGTCTCCACCACCCCGGGCGACATCCCCCTCGTCTTCTACACCCCGCCCGGCTACCCGCACACGCCGACGCAGGCCGCCGGCTACCCCGTCATCGTCAACTTCCACGGCGGCGGCTTCACGATCGGCTCCGCGACCGACGACTGCCGCTGGGCCGCCTCCTGCGCGCAGCTCGTCAACGCCGTCGTCGTCTCCGTCGATTACCGCCTCGCGCCCGAGTACCCGTTCCCGACGGGCGTCGAGGACGGCGTGGACGCGATCTTCTACCTCGTCGAGAACGCGAAGGAGCTGACGATCGACCCCGCGAACATTGCCGTCTCCGGATTCAGCGCGGGCGGGAACATGGCGTTCACGGTGCCGCTGCGCTGGCAGTACGAGCTGCGCGCGCGGCACGGGCACCCCGCGGACGCGGAGTGCGACGTGGCGCTGCCCGAGGACGCGGCCTCGCGCGGCACGTTCGACGCGCACGGCCGCATCGCAACGATCTGCGCGTTTTACCCCTCGCTCGACTTCACGAACACGCGCGAGGAGCGGCGCGCCACCAACACCCGGCCGGACAAGTGCCTTCCCAAGTTCTTCACCGAGCTCTTCGACGCGTCCTACCTGCAGCCGTCGCTCCAGATCGACCGCCGCAATCCGTACCTCTCGCCCGGCGTCGCGCCCGACGAGATGCTGCGCGGCCTCCCGCGCGAGATCCTGATGTACACGTGCGAGTGGGACGAGCTGCTGTCGGAGGCGAAGCGGTTCCACGACCGGCTGTGTGCAGCCCCGTTGGAGAAGAATGTGCACTACCGGATGGTCGAGGGCGCACCGCACGCGTGGGACAAGAGCGTCAACGGCAACGACCCCGAGCGGGATCGTATCTACGAAGAGGCTTGCAGCCAGCTGCGCCGCGTGTTCTACGGTAGCGGGGAGCCGCTGCCAGGCGCGCCGCCTTGCACGAAGAAGGCAGAAGCGGCGCAGGCAAGGAAGGAGAGGCAGGAGAAGGAGCGAGCGCAAAATGACGAAGCGGCACAACCGCAATGCCCAGTGGAGCAGCAGCCGCAGGGCGAAGCAACGCACGTGCCTCAAATCGAGGTGACTCAGCCGCCTCAAGACGAGGCAGCGCAGCCCGCGGCCTAATAGATCGACGGCGAATAGATCTAATCATATTGTTTGTAGGGGTGCTGGCGCTACAGCCTACAGGACGGACCTCAGCAGATACGAACTACGGTCGTACCCGAGGGTACGAACCAGTCGTACTTCTTCGTACTTTTACTCTTGTCATCTCCTTCCATGTACTCTTATCGCTCCCACTCGTTCGGGAGCCTCCCTTATTCCTTCGGCGTACTCTGTCTTTTTCAGGGGCTTTGGTGGTCGTTTCCCGCATCTGGCTGTATCCGCTATCCTCTGCACTCCTAACACACGCATCATATCTATTGTATCAATAAAACTTCTTGTATTCTATCATCACTATCTGGCGGCGGATGCAAGTATGGCGAGAGTAGCCACAGAGGCAAAAGGGAGCTTAGAAGATGACAACGGCGGTGGTACACGCGTAAAACAGCGAGCGCTTCTCTGCCTGTGTTACCTCGAATTTAGGCAGCTATCTTGACCTTCTGCGCTTCCGTGGCGAAGGGATGGTCTGAGTAGCCCTCGGCGCTGCCGCCAGGGATGTAGAAGAACTCCCGCTTGTAGGGTGTCAGCTGCCAGTCATTCTTCCACCTTTCTGGTAGATCGGGCTAGAGAAGGGACCATCAAGTCAGCACTCTCGTCTGGTAGAGTCGAATGAAAGGGCAGGTCCAGGCAGCAAGACCATAGAAAGGACAGGGAACTCACATTACTCGCAAACGGCCTCCCCACCGCAATCAAATCCCCCTTCTTCTCTGCAACCTCCATCGCTAGCTCCCTCGAGTACGCCCCGCAGCTGATTAGCGGGCGCGGTGCCCAGATAGAGCGGATGAAATCGGTGGACTTGGCGGGGTCGTATTCCTCCACCGGGAGGGTCATGGCGCCCTTGACGCGGGCCTCGATGATGTGGATGTAGGCGAGGGAGGGGTGAGCGGCTGCGAGTTGCTGGACGAAGTGCGTGAATTGGGGGACGGGGTCGGCGAGGGTCATGCCTGGGTAGTGGAATAAGCGATAGTTGGTTTGGGAGAGCGAGAGGAGGAAGGGTAAGACGAAGAGAAGGAAGGTATGAAAGGGCTGGCTGAGGTATGAATGCGCGCGCTGAAAACTCACCGAGCACGGTGCCCCAGGGGTTGAGGCGGATGGCGGTGCGCTCGGGGCCGATAGCCTTGACGACGGCGTCGACGACCTGCAAAGGGAAGCGGCAACGGTTCTCGATGCTGCCACCGTATTCGTCGGTGCGCTGGTTGGAGACGTCGCGCAAGAACTACATTCGCGGTGAGCCCTTCAAGTTTTCCTCCGCCATTCTTCACCGCTCATACGACCCACCTGATCAATCAGATACCCGTTTGCCCCATGAATCTCCACCCCGTCCGCGCCCGCCTCGATTGCATTCCTCGCCGCCTGCGCGAACCACTTGACATACTGCTCGATCTCATCCTTGGTGAGCTCGCGCGGCGTCTCCTCCTTCTCTTCCAATCTGATGGGCGATGGCGCGACGTAAGGGTTGCCTTCGGCGGCGAGGACGGCGGGATTGGCGGCGCGGCCGGTGGCCCACAGCTGAAGGAAGAGGAAGCTGCCTTTGGCGTGGACGGCGTCGATGATCTGTGACAAGGTCATGCATTAGAAATATCTCAGAGGAATTTTCAAGGTATGGGACGCACTTTTCTCCACGCCACAATCTGCGCGTCGTTGTAAATGCCAGGAACGTTGAGCATGCCTCCCGCGGCGAGGGAGACCGGCGTGGCCTCGGTGATGAGGAGCGTGCCGTGTGTACTAGCGCGTTGGGCGTAGTAGTCTTTCATGATTGAGGTGGGAATGTGGTCCGTTGTGCAGCGCATCCGAGTCATGGGTGCGAGTACAACGCGATGCTGGAGGGTGACATTGCCGATTTCGATAGGCCGGAAGAGTTTTGGTAGAGACATGGATAATGCAGGTGAGAAAGGGCGCTTGCAGTACCAGGAGGATGTACGGGGAGTGGAGACACTGCGGGTTATATATAGGAGTGCCGCCGGTCATACACCTCGTTTGGCGAGCCATATAAAAGCGAGTACGCACGAGTCTTCGTCAGCCTTGCAGCAGACGGAGCGCAGACAATAGCGAGCGCGGCGTCGACAGTTATGGATGACATGTTGGCAGCAGCGTAAGAGCTTGAAAGCGCGTCTCGTGACAGGCAACTACGAGCGAGTAGACGGCGAGGGTCGGGTCATTGTGGCAAACTTCCGCCAATGTCGCATCGCACGAAGCGTTCTTGACCATAAACGAAAGAAATTTACCAGGCGGAGGAGCGAGCTACATCGACCACGGCTGTATCATGTAGCAGGTCGGCACGACGTAAATAAAGCCGTGGATGCTGAGCTGCATAGCCAGATGATGTTGTGTGGCGGGAGCCGCAGTTGAGTCGCAGAGTACATGGAAAGGAGGGATGCCAGCTGATCTTGTTCTCCAGGCAGCCAGGCTGTTGTCGCCGTATGGGGCATGATGGTGGTTCGGATTAAGAAACACAACCGTGACATCACTCTAACGTGACGCCATATGACAGTGTCACGAAAGCTGCTCAAAAGCAGTCAAGTTTACAAATCTTACGGACAGTGCTGCCAACGTTCTCCCTCGCTCTCGATGCCCGTCGCTTCAGCTTTCTCAGGCGACGTGAGCGTACAAACGCACCCACGCGCATCTGCCCCGTGGCCCAGCTGGTTAAGGCGTGTGACTGTTACGCATTGGCAATCACAAGATCGTGAGTTCGAGCCTCACCGGGGCAGTCTTTTTGCCCAGCCACCTTCTGGCCAAGCTTGGCTTCAATTCATCGGTGTGTACAGAGGGTGCACAAATTATCAGAAGTTCCCGTCGTCGATTTGGGAGATAAGATGAAGTACAACTTCACGTCACGTCACAATCACAATCGACACCCGTCACGGAAGCAGCTGCTTGTCTGCTTCCGTGATATTAATCTCCCTTTGCTCCTTGTTGCCTTTCGCCACCATGTCCGGCCAGATGTTCTGCAGTCTTATACCCCCGCGGGTTCGGCTCATGGCCTTGAAGAAGATTGAATGGCTAGGGCATTTGAAGTCATCCTTGCGTCAGTGATGGACGACGCTCCCACACAGTGCGCTCTGAGAAGAGCCAGAGAAGATCGCTTAGCTGCTTCATCTCTCCCCCAACTTAACGCTCATGACTCTAAATTGCCTGCCTTTCCCCGTGAACTTCGGGTGGCTGGACGGGAGAAAGCAGAAGCCAGAGCGACCGCTACGCGTGCGCACCTACTCGCCCGCGCTTCCCTCAGCCGTACTGAGCTCAAGATAGGTCCTTCTGTCCAATGGTCGCTTCCACGTCACTCTCGACATGGCGCGTCAACTAAGGCGCGCGGGGCATGAAGTATACTGCGTCGACGCGATGGAATACCACGTTTGCAAGTTCTCGAACGCCGTACGCCAGTGCTGGCAGGTCCCCTCTCCGCGCGTCGACCCGGACGGCTACCTGGCGGGCGTCAAGAGAGCTATAGAAAAAGCGAACATCGACCTCATCCTTCCTATGCACGAAGAAATTCTCTACCTCGTCGAATGCGAGGACGAGGAGATATACCGCCGGCTCTTTGCACCCTCCCTTCCAGTCCTGCTTCGCATGCACAACAAGTGGGAGTTCACCCAGTGGATGCGGATTATCGGGCTCGATGCGCCGGATGCGTACCTCTGCAAGTCGTATGCGGATGTGGAGAAGATATCTTGGCGGGACGAGAGGGAGTATGCGCTGAAGCCTGTTTTTGGGCGCGCCTCTCAGAACGTCTTCCATCTGAAGCCGGGAGAGCCACTTCCGAATGTTTCCGAGTTCGACGTCTCAGAAGAGTGCCATTGGATCGCACAGGAGTGGCTGAAGGGGAACCGATACTGCACGTATGGCATTGTGCGGCAGGGTCACGTCAAGGCGCTGAGCATGTAAAGTTCGTGGCCATGTAATTCGAGCTCGTACTGACTTATAATAGTTACGCCGTCACCGAAACTATCGACGGCTCCTCCTGCGTTTACTTCAAGTCCATCCATCACCCGCGCATCCAAGCCTACATGGACCACATCGCGAAGCAGCTCCCAACAACGACCGGCCAACTCGCCTTCGACTTCATCGAAACGGCCGACGGCCGCCTCGCCGCCATCGAATGCAACCCCCGCGCCACCTCCGGCATCCACCTCTTCGGCTCCACCACGCGCCTCGCCAACGTCCTCGCCGATCCCCGCGCCTTCCCCGTCCAAGCCGACGTCGGCGCGACCCGCCAGATTATGCCCGGCATGCTCATGTGGGATCGCAGGAACGCGCGCGGATTGCGCGCGTACCTCACGCACCAGCGGCGGCTCATGAGCAGCAAGGTCGTCGTCTTCACGATGCGCGATTTGCTGCCGACGGTGATGCAGCCATTTCTGTTGACTAGTTATTATGAGATTTGCAGGGAGAGGGGGCTGAGGCTGCCGGATATGTTCCAGTGGGACTGTACGTGGGAGCCGGAGGGGGAGAATTTGAGGCGCGTGAGGGAGGTGGCGGAGGAGGATCGGAGGACGTGGAGGGCGTGTCCGATGCTGGATGTGGCGAGGCCGGACCCGAAGAGGGCGGAGAACGAGACGGCGGAGGGGAGGAAGGAGAAGGAGAAGACGCTTATACCCTTGCCTCCAGGCTATCTGACCGACAAGATGGGCTTTGCGCCGGCGAGTCCGAACTTGAAGGAGTCCGCCAGCGGTAGTGTGGAAAGTGATGCCTCGAAGCCATGAGCGGCAGGTGGCATATCATGCCTGCGGTTCCTACTTATTGTTGACTCTACTTTCATAGTCATCCTGTATAATATTTACAATGACTAGCCTTGCCCCATTCATCTGTTCCATGAAGGTTCGGGAATTGCTAGTTGAACAACGCGGTCATCACGTGAGGTCTCGGCGCGTTCCGAACGAGAACGCGATCAAGGAATGGCCATCGCAACTCAATCTCAAAGTTCATCTCACATCCTCGAAAGGTCGCAGCCCTCTTGAATCCATGGTGACCTACCGTGAACCTGGATATCGGCTGAGCAAACACATCGGCGAGCTCCAGCAATATCTAACCGTAGTAGTACTGTAGCTACTAGCTCCTCTGTCAGAGTCTGTCTTGTATGCTCTCGCCACAATGTCCCGGCAATTGCCGAACCCAATAATTATCGGCTAACGCCGTATCACTCTTTACTCTCCCCTTCACGTCCCCGCTGCCATGGTTTCTGGAAAGAAGCGCCGAATGATTCTGAAAGATATATATCTCAAGTGCTCACTGCCTCGACCAACTTGTTTGAGTAATCAGACGTCAGGACCTCGCACGAAGATGGCCCAAGCCCAAGTTGACCGCCCTACCGCCGATCAGGTCACGAACCGAGTATCCCGCGAGTCAGTGCGCATCTGACTTTGCCTCGACTACCACCCATGTCTCCCAAGAAATCGCGAGGAACATCGAAGACTATCAAGCCTGTCGCTGGTCCGAAGCTACCCAGAGACCAGTATCATCATGCGTTACCGCGCTTTATCCTTCGCAGGTATCAAGTGGGTCCGGCATTGTAAGTCCCACGCAGATTGCCCTCACGTTGTAGTCCCTCCATCTAAGGTACCCTCAGGACCAGTGCTGAGCGTACGAAGGCGCTCAAGCGCGACGGCTTCATACCGGAATATGTTCGCGTCTATGACATCTCTGCGAGGACGTTGGAGATACGTCCGATCGGCGAAGTCTACGGTGTCACGAACCTGTACCGCGACATAAGCAACATGGGCAACGTGAACCACATCGAGGAGAAGCTCGCTCGTTTGGAGCAGAAGGCGGCGAGCACCATCACCCTCATCCATAACTCCATCCCCGACGGCGCATTCGACATCAGTCGTACCGAGCTGGGAAACCTGCGCAAATTCCTCTTCACAATGCACGTCCGCCACGATGCGTGCTCGAGAGAATACTTCGATAAGGACCACACCGGCAATGCGCGATCCCGAGACTTCCTGCAGGCATATATCGACGAATACGGATTCCACACGTCGGAAGAGCTGTGGCTGTACTTCATGAACTATCTCCTGGACACCCCTCACGAGCAGATCATGCAGGACGGCGACATGTTACTCCCTCCGCAACCGACTGCTGCCGACGTGAAAAGATTGAAGAGATTCTACGCTATATCGTATCAGCAGCAGGCGACTCTGTACTTTCTCGGCGTATGGGAAGCTGCGGACACCGACGAGTTCGTGCTCACCTCCTCGTCCTTCGGGCTCTACGAAGGCTGTCTTGAGACGAACCGTAGGGTCATGCTCCACCGCCTCTTCGTCATCAGCCCTCGACTGGTTGTGGTGCTTCGAGTGACCGCACTGCGCGATCCTCAAGGTCCAGGCTACGAACGCTTCCTCCCGGGCTGCCTCACCCGACTCGGACACTTGAGGTTGGTGCCACCAAAGCCATCATATACCCGCATACCTGCTGGGCTTCCCGGATCGCAGGCGTTCGCCGACTACGTCTTGTCGGACGCCGGCCAACGAGATAACTTTACGATTGCGATTACGAAACTCACATCGGAGGAGACATTCATGGTGAACAAAGTCACGCTCGAGAACACTAAGGCCGACGGCTCCCTCACGTTCTCCTCACCGAGTTTCACCGTCCGCACACTGCGAAGATACCTTCGCCAGTTGGGACCATGGGAAGAGCGTGCGGGACGCTGTCATGCGCTCCTCGAGCAGTTCGTTCCTCCGCCCAATAGGCACGAGACGCCTTTCGAGGGCCTGATGTCCCTCATTCTCGAAGCAGAGCCGAAGTCGCCACGGTCGTGGTACATGTGTGGTCTGGCAGTCGTGCGCGATATGCCTCATCTCGTGGGGCAGCGATCGCCTCGTGACATGCCATTTGCCCTCGACTACGGCATCTGCGTACTAGCGCTTCTCTTCCACCTCTACTCAAGGGTACCCAGCGAGTCCCCTTCGGTCATCGACTTCCTACCCCTTGCACTGCCTTCCGACATTTCCTGCGATGCGTCTACGCGACTCGTCAATGCTGCGCGCCCTCTCTTGCGTGCCGCGGCGCCAGGCTGCGTATGCTCTGCCAACAGCAGTGACGCAGACCGCGTCCTCGAGGCTGCCGTCATCGTGGGCCTGCTCGAGGCTGCGATAGCGGACGTGCGCTTGCGCATCGCCTTGCACAAAACCTATCCCCATCTTGCCGATCACCTCGCCATCCGTACCGGTCACCAACTACGCCGCAAGGACTGCGAGCGTATAGCGCGGGATCTTAACGACCTGATGGTGAAGATGTATAAGGGCGAGATTCCTGCGCCTTCTCGATACGAGCGCGCTTTGACGCTAAGAACGTACTGTGTCGTCCTGCGCGGGGCATTCCACGACAGCGCGGCTCAATACGCAGAGACGGTCTTGAAGCTAGTGGAAAGATTGGAGCTGATGGGCCAGACTGCACCGCCGTCGGGTTTCGGACCTCGCCCTCGAGCATGTCCGAAGACAAGGCTCAGTGGCACAGAAGGGGACATTTTGATGAGCAGGCTATCGGGGATTCTCGCCGAGTTCGGGTTCAGGCCTGTGGGCAATTATCTGGACGAGAGGGAAAGGACGTGTGCGCACTGTGTTGGAATCGCGGAAGAGGCGCGATAAGATAGAGCGGCGATGACGCTCAAAGGACTTCATTTTAGATTAGACAAGGGCGCGCCCTTTAAGGACGCGCCCCGCGCCACCTCACCTCAGTCGCGTACCATACACGAGCTGAGGTGAGTGGCTGCTCCCCTCCTTACACGTTCAACGTTACTTACTCATTGTGTACAGTTATTCAGGTATTTATATTATCAGTCGCGTACCATACACGAGCTGAGTTATTCAGATTCTAACAGGTTATGAGCCATTGAGAGCCGTGCCCTCGAAGCCGCTCAGAATCGCCCTCGGTCAGCACACACGCGAAACGTCCACCAACGAACGTACCATATCCCCCCTCCAACATCGTATAGACCCCCATGGCGATCGAGAACGCGCCAGGTGACGCGAAGAACGCGCCGCCACCCGACACAAAGGCCACCGTGCCGACCATCCCTCTCAACGAAGTCAAATCCGTCAGCCACTTCGCCGACTTCAAACCCCTAGACAAGGAGAAGGCGAACTACAAGGCATGGCGGGTCTCCATCGAGGACGCGCTCACCCTTGTCGGACTACGCCCCGTCGCGCTCGGCCTCATCCCGCGACCAGATTCGGATGCCGCACAGGCCGCGATCTGGGACAACAACGACTGTCTCGCGCGCGCCTGTATCCGCCAGCGGCTGACCGAAGCGGAGCGAGACCACGTCGAGGACTGCACCACCTCGAAGGACATGCTCGAGACCCTCCGCAAGCGCCACCGGCAGGAGGGTGCTATCACGCAGATGGCGCTCCTACAGAAAACTCTTACGGCTCGCTTCAGCAAAGACGAGAACATACTCACGACGGCGCGCACCATCATTGACGACGTCGAGCATATCCTCGAGATAGGCTTCCCCACCAAAGACTCCTTCAAAGTCATCATGCTCCTGAATGCTATGTCTGGCGACCTCGAAGACGTACGAAACTCACTTGACACCCTGCTGTCCTCCGACAAGCTCGACCTCTCCACCGTCATGCGCCGCCTCGAACAGATGGCTGCGCGATCGACGGCCGATAAGACCTCTGCAGAGACTGTCCTCGCAGCCACAGGAGGCCGATCGAAAGGCCGCACTCGCACGGGACCGACGTGCGGGAACTGCGGGGGATACCACCCGACGCCGGAGTGCTTCTCGAAAGGCGGCGCGATGGAGCACAAACGAGATGAGAAGATCGCCGAGCTGAAGGCGAAACGCACGGCGCAAGCAGGCAAGAAAGGAGGCAGCAGCGCAGTGACGAGCACCCCCTACAAGGGCGGCAAGCGGGTCTTCGATGCTGAGACCGGCAAGGCCTTCATCATCGTCGAGGAGGAGACGATAACCGCAGGCGCCGCCTTGTCAGCGGGTGACGTCACATCCCAGGAGGAGCTTCGCGCACTTGCAGCGGCCGACGATCATGCGCCATCCGATGGCGACTCGGACTACTCGCTCGCTTTTGCTCACTCCCAACCCGCTGCTTCAGTCGACTGGAATGACGCTTGCCGCATCTCGGAGCAAGCCTTCTCTGCCATCCGCCCCCAGCCTACGCCCTACTTCTACGACTCAGGTACTACGTCCCACATTACCTACGACGCCGACGATTTCGCCGATCTGAAGCCCATCACGCCGCGCGATGTCCAGGGCGTCAACGGCTCGAAGATCAGCGCGGTGGCGATCGGCACCGCCATCCTCACGGACGACGACGGCAACCTCATTCGCCTCACGGATGCGCTGTACGTGCCCGAGGCCACCATCCGCCTCATCTCCGTCGGAAAACTCTGCGACCGCGGCTACGTCATGGAATTCCACGACTCCGAGTGCTCCCTCATCGATCGCGCCACCGGCAACCTTGTCGCCACTGGCACTCGCAAGGCTCACGGCCTCTACGCGCACAACGGGGGAAACCTGCTCCAGGACGAGCGTGCCAACATCGCGCGAGCAACCCCGACGCTGGAGACCTGGCACCGCCGCCTCGGGCATACGAACGTGCAGACGATCATCAACATGGCGAAGGGGAACCTTGTTGAAGGTATGCCGATCGACCTATCCCTCCTCCCCCCAACATGCTCACCCTGCATCAAGGCGAAGCAAGCGCGAACCCCGGTACCCAAGACTCGCCAGGGGCCGCGGGCGACGCGTAAGCTTGATGTTGTGGCTGTAGATCTCATTGGGGAGGAGGCGGTACGGTCGATACACGGTAATTACTACTCAATGCACATCGTATGCGAGGGTACGAGCATGATGTGGGCGATACCTCTGAAGACGAAGGATGAGGCCCTCCCACGCCTCCAGGAGTGGGAGCAAGCACGTAAGACCGAGGCACCCGAGGAGAGCCTCGAGGTGCGCGTGTACCGCATAGACAATGGCGAGCTCGACTCGAAGGAGATGCGCGCCTGGCTAGCGTCCAAGGGCACTAGACTCGAGCTCACCGCACCCCACACCTCCGCGCATAACGGCATCGCAGAGAGGGCTCACAAGACACTGCGGGGGCGCTCTCGAGCCATGCGCATCGATGCCGGCCTTCCCGAGTTCTTATGGGACGAGTTCTTTATGACAGCTGCCTATCTTGCGCCGCTGACCCCATGCGCCGCACAACGAAGCAAGACACCATACGAGGCATACTACAACAGAAAACCCGACCTCTCCCGTCTCCGCGAGATCGGCTGCCGCGCGTTCGTGCTCATTCAGAACAAGCACAACCCGAAGGTCTATGAGCGATCCGTCGAGTGCGTACTCATCGGATACTGTCAGAACTCCAAAGCCTACCGCCTCTACCACCGAAAAACGCGCAAAATCGTCATTTCATACCACGTCGTATTCATTGAGGCTAAAGACGAACTCCCGCGACCCCTACACCCCATCATGAAAAACCCGGAAAGATGGCCAAGGCAGGCGAATGTTGATGATGTGACGGAAATGTGACCCTCGCGTGCTTCAAGTCATCAACGCGTGATCATAGGATGACCTGCTGTGCATCTACCTCCACCTGCGGGGCCCGCGGTCGCCAGCACTCAGAACTCGGCCGGCCACCTATCTGCTTCTCCGATGCGGTCGTGCCAGCGTTTGCCAGCGCACATCTGCTGGCGGCTGCCAGCTCAATGTCCAAAGTCAGACGTGGCGGGGCTTCGACACGACCTGCTTCCTCCCACCCATGACTCGTTACGAGACTATAATAGCAGTGTATACCTTTCCCTCATAATTTACTCGATTTCTCCTCGTCCCCCTCCTATCATGCTTTCAAGCAGCTATACGCTCAAGTGCCGTTCATGCAACAAGATTTTTGTCGGCACTAACGCATACACTCGCCATGTCGACACATGTCCTGCTCGACGGGCCGAGGAAATGCGCGCCTCGACCTCAGCCTCTCTCCCCCAGCGCCTTCGCTTGAGCACTGCAAGAGCGACAGCCAGCAGAAACCTGCAGGCGCTCAAGCAATCTCTTACCTTCAAGAAGCGCCCGCGGCTGGACTCTTCCAGCACATCGGCTAGCGGGCGAACGCACAATATCCCCAACGATCATTTGGGTGGCTCGCGCAGAGGGTCAGACCAGGTCCGTCACTTCTGCCCTTTTCATCTGCCTCGGCTGACGCTCCCCACAGCCAAATGTGCGTCGATCACTCTCGGCTAGTGGAACTGAGGGGAACGCAGAGCTGAATGAGGTGTGTAGCGGCGTGACACTCATTCGCAGCTAATAAAAGCCTTAGATCTCTCTTATGGCGCCTCAGACAGGTCCCCCTTCCCCCGGATCTCCCCAAGCTGCATCACCCTCGCACCCCCCTTCTCCTGAACCTCACCAAGCTGCCCCTGCACGTCTCCCTTCAGAAGCTCCCGAAGCACCTCGCGCACGGCGTCAATGGCGACCTTCAGCAGCCCTTCGTCGGGCTCTTGATGATGTACTTCCTGAAGGTCCTAGCCGACTATTCCATCGTCTGGACGCTGCGACGAACCAGCGAATCGACGAAGCCGAGCATGTCCTGCCTTCATCCTCAAAGTCGCTTCCGCAGGTCATTCTGCACGTACACGAGAAGATTCGCACCCTCCCCAATGCCTTCGGCCTTTCCAGAACTTACCGAAGACGGCCTGTTGGTCGTATCCCAGACGCCGAACTTCCACTCGACCGCTGTACTGATGTACCTGCCCCTCGACCACGGCGCATGCGGCGGGCCGTGAAGGACATCATCTACCCTTATCCGAACATCAGTGCATTCCTCATCGGACGTTGGCACGAGAAGGGCAGCGAGAAGAAGACCCTCCATGAACGTCAAGAATTGCAGAAGGTTATCCTCGATCCTCGCTTCAACCGTGACGACCTTCGGGATGTCGACTTCGTGAAGATCGACCGTCTCCTCGCTGAAGATGTACAGTCGCCGCTCGGGGGATCCGGGTGGGGCGACAATTCGGTGACAATTGATATACCGACCGGCTACAAGGACACGAAGCATGTCAAACAACAACGCCGTCAGGACGCCATGAATGCTCAGCGCTTTCATCTCTCCACTCCTGGCAGGCCGACGCTACAGTACGAGCTCAAACATGTCCGAACGCGCTCACTTGTGCACATCATGTCCACCATTGTCGAGGAAGATCCCGCGTCAAAGGATTTCCACTGGCAGCCCTTCGTGGAGCACTGGACACCCCCGTACGAAGACTTCGAGGAGGAGGAGGTTATGGGAGAGCTCTATGCTTCTCGTGCATTCCGCGATGCCGAGCGGGACGTCCTGGCACTTCCACGAGAAGGCGACGATGATGATCTCCCCCGTGCCGTCTTTGCTTACATGTTCTGGTCCGATGCGACACATACAGCGCAGTTCGGCAACTCGAAACTTTGGCCTGGCTACGCATTTGTTGGCAACCAATCCATGTACATGCGGAGCAGGCCGTCGGCGCGCGCTGCTCATCACTTTGTGTATTTCCCCATGGTGAGCTCTATTCTGACCCCGACCACAACGTCGCTTACTTAATAATGCCACGAATAGCTAGATGACTCATTTGAGGACTTCCTGGCGAAAAATAATGTCCATGCGACACCTCATCTACTCGCACATTGTCGACGCGAGCTCTTTCATGGCGTCTGGCATCTCATACTGGACAAGGAATTTCTGGAGGCCTACACGCACGGCATCATCCTCAAGTGTATGGACGGCGTCACGCGGCGCATCTACCCGCGCATTTTCACGTATTCCGCTGACTACCCAGAAAAGTACGTCATCTGAGCTGGTACTTGCCAGGACAAACTTGACCTTGTTTTGCAGAGTCCTCATAGCTACGACTCGGGACATGGGAATCTGCCCCTGCACTCGATGCACGACCGCCAAACATGCGATTCGTGAGCTCGGAACGCCCGAAGACCGCGCGGCACGTCGGGATCTTGCACGGAAGGACAACCAGCAAAGGCAAGAGAAGGTCCGAAGTGCACGTGAAGACCTCGCCAATGGCTACGTCGTAAACAGCGACCGAGTCGAGCAGAAGCTCAAGCCGGAGTCGTATGTTCCCATCCAGGTAAGAAGCTTCACCGATGGCCTGTAGTAGTGCTCTTAACAGACGTGTCATTAGAACGCTTTCTCACAATCGGAGCTTACCGCCCGCCGTCTGAATGTCTTCTCGATGCTCGTGCCAGACAAGATGCACGAGTTCGATCTTGGCGTGTGGAAGGCCCTCCTCGTCCACATTGTCCGCATCCTGGAGACGTTACCTGCTAACAAGGTCAGGGAGTTTAATTCACGGTGAGTTTCTCGCTTCGATCACTGGACTTCAAGCTCACGACTTTTAGCTTTCGTCAAATGCCAACTTTTGGCCGCGACAAGATCAGACGCTTTGCCCGGAATGTCTCTGAGCTCTCCCGCATGGCTGCGCGCGATTACGAGGACATTCTACTTTGCATCATCCCCTGCCTCGAAGGCCTCCTCCCCACCGAGGACGAGAAGTCTATCCTGGACCTGCTATACATCATGAACTATTGGAATGCTCTCGCGTCGCTCCGCGTGCACACTTCCTCGACTGTTCGTATTCTCGATGATTTGACGACCGAGCTTGGCAAAGCGCTCCGTTACTTCGCTGATGTCACTTGCTCCCATTTCGAGACGCGGGAGACCGAGAAGGAGCTTGGGAAGCGCAAGCGCGCAGAGGCGCGACGTGCTGCTACGGCAACAGCCAGTGGCGTAGCTGGAGAATCATTGGCTCCAGCAACGGCCTCGCGGGGCAGGCGCCCGAAGACCTTCAGCCTCGGCATGATCAAGCTGCACTTTCTTGGCGACTACACAGAGGCTATACGTCAGTACGGGTCATTGGAACATTTCAGTACTAAAACAGTGAGTTAAACTACGGCTACGGAGTGTGTGGTTCTAATGACAATACAGGGGGAACTGGAGCACCGTGTCGTGAAGAAGAGACGCGCGCGCACAGGCAACGTGAATTTTGTGCCTCAGCTGGTCAAGGCAGAGACACGCGAGCGCGTACACGACAGGATGCACGAGGAATTGAGCGCACTCTCGGAGAAGGGCACGGACGACTCTATCCGCAAGTCGACGGGGGCTACAGTCGGCTCCGATCCGGGCGTTGATACCAAGGATCTGCGCGAGCATCACCACATCGCAGCAGACGAGTCGGGAGAGCGTCTCTATCTCGCGTCGTGGCTGACTGCCAATGGCAAGGATCCCGCATTTCAGGTACTGTTGTTTCTCTTCGTGATGTATTCCTTGTGCTTACTCAGCTACAGTCCTTTATGCGCAAGCTAAGGGAGCATCTACTCGCACGACTCGAAAACTACAATCACGCCAGCGATCCTCCAGCATATAACGACCTTCAGCTCGCTCAGGTTGTCATACAGAATGATCGCGTCTTCCCGCATGCCACACTCGCTGTCAACTACACGACGTATGACATTCGGCGCGACCAGGACCTCATTCATGTACCAGCGGTATCCGGTCGGCCGCCTGACGACGACTTTCTCGGCCACCGCGACGTCATGGTATACAACACCTCCGATATTCGACCCCATCCCTTCGCATATGCTCGGGTCTTGAAGGTTTTCCATGCTCGCATTTCCCACCCTACCCTCTCACCGGAGCCCCGCCGCGTGGAATTCCTCTGGGTGCGCTGGTTTTCGTTGATTGACCACGGACAGAGTGGTCCAACGAAGATGCGACTAGAGCGATTACAATATCTTGATGGGCCTTCGGCTTTTGGCTTCGTTGATCCCAGCGAAGTTATTCGAGGATGTCACCTTATGCCTGTGTTTCACCGTGGCCGCACGCGTGAATTACTTGGTCCTTCACTGTACAGGGACTCTTCGGAGGGTGACTGGGCGAGCTATTATGTTGGAAGGTACGTTGCTGATAAGATTTAAATGTCTTCGTTTGACATGTTCTCTTCACAGATTTGTGGACCGTGACATGATGATGCGCTACCTCGGCGTAGGTATTGGCCATCTCAATCCCCCGACCTTTCCACATGAGCTGAATGCAAATATCACTGTGGATGACTCGCCTGGCTGCGTGGATAGGGCAGAAGAAGAGCATGAGCTCGACTCCTTGTGTAGTGTAGATTCGGATCAACCTGTAGATACAGATGACGAGCAATGAAGTTGTCTTGGAATTTCAACCTAGGTCAAACAAGGACCAATACCAATCACATGACCGTGTCCTTGCGCCAAACACGTTGAAACTGCTTGGCGCGTTCTCTCTTTTCCATCTGTCCCGACGTTCATCACCCTTCTTTCTAATTTACTCCTCTCTGTTTCTTTCTTTTCGCCTATCTGGACGTACCCTGCAGCAAAGTAATATGCCATCTTCGAGGTCCTCTCGGCCCCAGCATCGTTCATCCAGCCCAAGCCGGTCCACCTCGGAGCGCAGACGGGCGAATAGCTCAGGAAGCCCTCATTCGAGTCGCTCACAAGGCGAACAACGTCGGGCTTCAAGGTCTCGAAGCCGGTCTCGGACGCCACGTCGTCCTCGTCAAGACGAGGCGGAGGAGAACAGGTCTAATGACCGCACATCGGGGTCAGGAAAACGCGTGAGGTCTGCCTCCGCATCTAGCAGCGAAGCAGAGATACTGGACCCGTGCGTACTACCTCGTCATCCCTTGATGACTGTATGCCTCATATCACTATAGAAAGCGCTTCAAACTTGACAGCAAGACACACAACAGGTACAAGGACCTGGGTCGTATCTTCGGCCGCGACTGCGAGATGTGGGTCCCACCACTGGACGTCATTCGGGTTGGGATGGCACGCGACCCGAACCATGATCCCGCCCTCTTCTCATTAGAGTGCGTCTTGTACACTCACGCTATCGTCTGCTGTCAAACTAACGTATGCTCAGGGATAATCTCCTTTACAATGCGTTCCTCCGGCTTGCGCAAACCGCCCCCGATGTCATTGACCATCTCAACGAGATCAACATGCAAGCTGAGCCCCGTCGTGGCAATACCTTGCGCGCAATCAGTCGCTCGGTGCGCTCACACGCTCGGTGCTTTTGGATGGCTAAGTCAATCTGGATAGATCAACCAAGGACGCAAGGGGGCTCGCGGCGACGACGTGAAGAGCTGCAAGGCAGCGTTGCGCGACTGGGTGTGTGATTGGGTTCCACCGCTGCCCACAAAGAAGTCCAAGGCCGGGTTCTCGCACGAGAAAACGGGAAAACTCCTTTCGCCCGTCCGTCAAGTTTGGAACGAAGAGTAAGTGATGAGCCCCATACCGATGACGGCTGCTCACCGTCTGACGCAGTACACGAATCAAGTGCTTGAACCACGAAATCGACTGCTCTCCCGATGCGCTGTGTCGCCTTCTCTTTGCCAATGAAGAGGATGATACGGTCGGCTTCCTCAAGCATGAGCTCCTCGTGAAGGTGTGTTATACCGTCAGTCGATCCCGTTCACTGCCTGACACGTTGCGTGGACATCAGTGCTACAAGCACATCTTCACTGGCCCCACGTCGGCTGTCCAGAGCGAAAGCTCGGGTCGCACGGATACGAACGGCAAGCGGCACGGCATTACGACGGTCTCAATCCCAGCCATTGCTTATTGTGCAGTCTTGGTGAGCACGCTGATTCTCAAAGAGCTCCGTAGCTGACACGTACGAAGGTACACTTCTGCCTGTCGTCGCAGACATCCATGGGTCAAGGATCTCCCACGAATGGCTACCAGTACGGCCGTATGTATCGGTTGATCCTGGAGATCTGTGAGGGTCTTGGTGTATCTGATCGTAACGCCCTCCTTGCGTGGTGGAACCAGTAGGTTCTTTCTGTTTATGTCGGCCTAGCTCACACGTTTACAGGAAAGCGTACATTGAGCACCACCGGCCCGTCCACGATAGTGCCGCTCAGGACCTCCTGTCTCGCTTCCAAATGCGAGCCAATGCCGACAACCCAAGTGACGAGACCTCTGCGCATTGTTAACTCCCTCTTACCGTTGCTTCGCATGTTATATTCCTGTCCATTCATTTTTTGTCGCCGCTTGTCCATGCTATCGAGTTCTCACCATCTACTCTATCGCTGATCTTACTGATTTCCCCTTCTGCTGTCGCCACCATCGATATCTCCACCCTTGTCTAGCCAGCTTTGCGTAGTCCGTATCGTACTCCAGCCTCGTAATTAATGACTATTCTGCTGTTGCTTTCATTAATGTGTGACTGCAGAGCTTGCGCAGGAAGCTGGTCTCGCAGGTGGTGGCTAGGGACAGACGAGACTATGACGAACTTACGAGAATATCTTTGCCGGACAGTTACAGTATGCTGCAAATACGACGATATACGCCCTACACCACAATCGAACGGGTATCTACGAAGATCTGCGCAGGTGAGCGCAGGTGAGCGAAGATCAGCGGAAGCTCGGGATGATCCTCTGGATCCGCCGTAGATCTCTGCTTGTCTTCAGTACACCATTCCCGCGGGGATTTCGTGATGCCTGGCCTACAGCTCGGCAAGGCTGAAGAGCCCAGTGGGGAACCAACAGCGCCAACCTGGCCCGAGGCGATCATAGAGGAGGCCAGTCGCCAGGGTGGTACGCCTGCACCGACCGCCGCCGACCCCCCGAATGACAACACCGGGCTCCTTCCCACCGCTGGTGAGCAACAGGCACCACCCACAACGCCTCCGGCCCCTTGCGAACAACAGCCTCCCGCGCCCACTATACCTCCTGCCCCTACCCCCATTCCACCACCTCCTCGGCGCTCCACACGACCGCGCCCACTGACTTCGAAAGCAGCTGATAATGCAGGGGTGCCGTACGATGACCCGGTGGCAAGGGCGACACGGGAAGCTAGGGAGTCCGGTGAGCGACGCGCGGAGGCCAGGGCTGCACAGCATGCCCAGCGAGAGGAGACTCACCCACAGACACCTCCCGTCCCGGAGGAACTGAATCGAGCACTCAACGCCGCAATGGCCGAAACCAGCGCGTTCGACGCCATCGAGGACAACTTGGAATTTCCGGACGACCCCAAGTCCGTCCGCGAGGCGCTCGCCTCGGACGAAAGCGACCAGTGGCGCCAGGCGATACACGACGAGATTTCGAATATCAAGAATCTCGGTGTCTTCAAGCTCATCCCTCGCTCGGAGGTCCCCCGCGGACGGCGCGTTGTCAAAGGCAAGATGACCTTGCGTCGCAAGCGCGACGCAGAGGGCCGGGTAACCCGCTACAAGGCCCGCTACTGCTACCGCGGAGATCAAAGCATACCCGGGAAGGACTACGGAGAGACTACCTCACCAACGGCACGCATGGAGTCCTTCCGTATCCTCGCCCACGTCAGCGCGGCACTTGACTGGACTGGGGATCAGCACGACGTCACGGGCGCGTACCTCTATGGCGAACTCGATGGGGAATGCTACATGGAGCAGCCCATCGGATTTGAGGAGGAGGGTCATGCAGACTGGGTGTGGGCACTACAGCGCCCTCTGTATGGCATGAAGCAGGGAGGCCGGATGTGGTACCAGACGCTGAACGAGAGCATGGCCGAATTCGGCTTCACGCGCCTCCCGGTCGAGTACTGCATGTACTACCGCACTTCTGCATCCGGCACAACCCTCTGCGCCATACACGTTGACGACATCGCCTCGACCTCGAGCAACGACACCGAGAAGGCCCTGTTCACCGCACAGCTACGGTCGAAGTGGAAGATAACCTCCGGGCCACTCGACTTTGTCGTCGGCATCAAGGTCGAGCGCGACCGCTCCACCCGCACCGTCGCCCTCTCGAAAACCGCCCTGATTGACCGAGTTCTTGAGCAATTCGGCATGAAAGACTGCAACCCGGCACGTACCCCGCTCGAGCCTAACACGGTGCTCACCAAAGCGAGCTCGCCTCAAACTGAGGAGGAGCGGCAAGTGGCAGCTACGCGGCCGTACAGGCAGCTTACCGGCTCGCTCATGTACATCTCCATCGGCACACGCCCAGATATCACCTATGCAGTTAATCAGCTCAGCAAATTCAACAACTGCTGGGGAGAGGCGCACTGGCAGGCTGCGAAGCACGTACTTCGCTACCTCAAACGAACTCGCGAGTATAAGCTCGTCCTTGGCGGGAAGCACACCGCCCGGCTCGTAGGATACACCGATGCCGATTGGGCCAAGGATCCCGATGATCGTCGCTCCGTGGGCGGCTACTGCTTCAGCCTCGGGCAGGGTGTAGTCTCGTGGAAGTCGAAGAAGCAGGCGACCGTATCCGACTCATCCTGCGTATCGGAGTACATCGCGGCATACGAGTCCGCGAAGGAGGCAGTATGGCTTCGCGCCATACTCAACGCCATCGGCCTACCGCAAAAATCAGCGACTCCGATCCGCATCGATAACACCGCAGCCGAGCAACTCACAGGCGACGACACCACCTTCAACCATCACAAAACCCGACACCTCGATATCAAGTACCACTACTCGAGGGAAAAGGTCAACGACGGGACGGTGGTGTACGAGCACGTACCCGGCACGGAGAATACGGCCGACATCTTCACAAAAGCCCTACCGATACCGGCATTCGAGAAGCTCCGGACGCAGCTCGGAGTCGTAGAGAGGACCAATCTACCTGAGGAGGAGAGCTGAAGGAATCCTCGCACTCATCGCCGAGGAGGAGTGTTGGAATCGCGGAAGAGGCGCGATAAGATAGAGCGGCGATGACGCTCAAAGGACTTCATTTTAGATTAGACAAGGGCGCGCCCTTTAAGGACGCGCCCCGCGCCACCTCACCTCAGTCGCGTACCATACACGAGCTGAGGTGAGTGGCTGCTCCCCTCCTTACACGTTCAACGTTACTTACTCATTGTGTACAGTTATTCAGGTATTTATATTATCAGTCGCGTACCATACACGAGCTGAGTTATTCAGATTCTAACACACTGGCTGCACGACGCTGTTGTATCCGGCGTCCTCGATTGGATGGTCAAGAATCGGTGTGGATTCCTTTGCGCGTTGTTTATTCGACCAGGCTCGGTTTTCGCTAGCCTGTCTGACTTTATCGAAGACGAATGATTGCGGGTAGCTGCTGATTGTTTTGTGTGCGGAGGTCTTGCAACAGGTCTGAGCAGTCGTGCGAACATTGGTGCCGTCAGGAATATCCAAAATACGGTCATAGCAGAGGCTATCAAAACAATAGAAACAAAAGATATGCCACGACCATGCATCACGTGAGTTCTCTTCTCGCCCTTTATAACAGCGCGTCCAAGGAGGGCTCTGTCCTCGCAGCTCATTTCCAACGTTCATTTGGCGCATCATCAGCCCCCATCATCACGACTCGCTCTCAGCGCTCATTTTACGTTCTTCTGCACGTCCTTGACCTTCTGGCCTCATGCAGATATCTCCTCACAGTCTTCCCCCGTCTCTTCGCCTACCCTTGGAGCTGAAGGATGCCATATGTCGCGATGCCGGTCTGCGCAAGAAAGACCTGGCGCGACTTGCGCTGACCTGCAGATCCTGGTATATCCCTGCCAACGTTATACTCTGGGAGTCTATCAACGGCTTGGGGCCTCTGCTCGCACTCATGCCCGAAGGCACTTGGAACGGTATGTGGCTCGCGTATATACAGATGCAGTCGAAGTGGCTAATTGAGTCTTGTAGGTATGGAAATTACCACCCTCGAGGGGTCGCTTTATGTGAGCCACATTCTCTGCGTGCATGACCTAAACCCTAATCTCTTTGTCATTGGGAACAGGAGGACGATCCCCCACTCACAGTCGAGCACTGGACGCCGGTGTTACGGCTATCGCTACTGGTCAAGGAAATTCGCTTGAACGACGTGACACGCACCATTCAACGCAGAGTCATGCAATATCCCCCGCCGACCACATTGTTTCCGTCCCTTCGCTCCCTCACTATCGATATGTGGAAGGCTTCCAACGAGCTGGGGCCGCTGAACGGTCTCGCGGCCGCTCATCTGATTTTTCTCCGCGCTATCATCCCGCAAACGCTGCAAACGCTGACCCTCGTTGACGCGCCAAAGCTCTTCGATATCCTGCCTTTATTCTCCCGACTCGAAAGCCTTGTAATTCAAGCTCCCCATGCCGCTTTGCACGTTCTCAACAATGGCTCTCACCACGGAAAGGCGCTCACCTCTATCGTTCAATGCATCTCCTGCTGCGGAAACCTCTCGTGGGTGCGCTTGGACCTGCCTTTTGGGCGTCGTCCAGAGCTCATGGAAGCTCTCGCGCGCTTGTCTGGTCTGGAGCATCTTCGTGTCTGGTTCTGCCGCCCTGAACAATGGCATGGGCGTCAGCCTACGTACCCGGACCATGCATTCCCTGCGCTGAGATCTCTTGAGCTCAGAAGTTTGTCGTTCTTCGATGCCGCAATACTTCTAAAAAGCCGGCAAAAGCGCAGGATGACCAACATCGAGGTTTTCTCTGACGATCCCGAAACTCCCGAGTCTCTCGCCCTCTTCACAGCGCATGTCAAGCAGTACTGCACCCCCGTCACCTTGAGGAGGATCCGTTTGGCGTTAAACGACCCGTCAAGCCGCTGGCCAATCTCGTTCGCGCCCATCGCGCCTCTCATGGCTTTTCGGAATTTGCGGAACGTCCGTTTCTCTCTCTTCTGCGGCGTACATATAACGGAAGCAGAGTGGCAGTTGATTGGGCAATCCTGGCCTAGGCTGCAAAGCCTTACGATGCGTCCGCGGTTCTTCGACGACCCCAGCAATGCACAACCCTCCTGCTCGCTCGCTACACTGGGAACCATCGCAAGGCATTGTCCTGAACTCAAGACCATAACACTCGCACTCGACGCTACCGTCTTACCCAAGATTGAAGCACTCAATGTTGTGAAGAACCGTCGCATGGTCATCACAGTTACGCCCCCCCTACAGGATATCGTAGCCGCGGAGCCTGTCGTGCAGTATCTACAAGGTGTTTTTGGCCACCGTGTCAAAGTTAATCTCCAGTTGAGGAGTTCGGAACTAGAAGCTGGAGTGGACAGGGAAATCAGACGGAGACGTTTACAGTGGGACATGGTCAGCCTATGGACCTCAGGGACATACCTCGACTCGCTGGGCATGCCCATAAGAGGGCAAGCCTACATGGCTGCAAAATCCATCGTGCAAATGAACCATTATGAGGCTTATTAAATACGTAGCCGAGTGGTATAATAGAGTACTACACCGATAGACAACGAAAAAGTCCCGTAGTGTACTACAACAAATCCGCAGAGTCCGTTGGTATCAAGGATCGTCGAGTTATAAGGCGCATGCTAGGCATCGGACAGCTGGTTACACAGCGCATGCGATCACGCATAGTGGAGGTAGTCGTTGAAGTTGGTGTAGGGGATGGTGTCGCCGGTCTTGGTCCAGTCGAGGAGAGAGTTCCAGCCATCGGTGAGCAGAGCGTCGGTGCTGCTACGCAGGGTGTCAGCTTTGGAAAAGACATAGGGAGAGACACCCGACAAACCTGGGCCAGTCGCCGGAGCCGATCTCGCTCAAGGTGGCGTAGATGAAGTCGATGTAGTTCTGCTGCGTAATGGGGCAGCCGTTGGGCTCCCAGGCGCAGTCACCGACGATGCTGGCGTAGAGCTGCAGGTCAAGGGAGTAAGTAAACTGCAGCACTTCGAGTAGAAAGGACTGCTCACGTTGTAGTCGAGGTTCGGCTCCTCCCACGTGCAGGTGAGGTTCTGGTTGCCACAGCTCGCGAGGCCCTGGACGGTCTCGGGCTGAAGTAGCGCGCATTAGACACCGACTTGATGGACGAGATATAGTATGCGAGACGACTTACGCCAATCTTTGTGCTGCTCGTGGCGACGGCTACGCAAGCCTTCGTGCCCCAGAGGTTGCCGGTGCCGCCGATGGCGTTCTGGTCGTTGCGGCAGGCCTCCATGAGGTTGCCCTGGTACTTCTCGTACTGGATGTATCCGCCCCAGCCGTGGACCGCGGCGTAGCAGTTGCCGCCGTTCTCACAGACTTGCTCAGCGGGAGCGGCGAAGGCGACCGCGGCGGAGAGGGCAGAGGCGACGAGAGCGAACTTCATGGCGAGGGATGTGTAGAAAAGGGTGAGGTGGTGATAAGTACTGGACGGAAGTCGAGGGAGTACTGTGGGGAGTTCAGATGAGTTTGGCACCCACGTATTTATACCTGATCTCGAGGCGGGTCCCGGCATTCTGCCGCTCCCGCCTCACCTTGTTCCGGCTCGGGAAGGCCAATGGGAAGCGGGCGTCAATTCAGGCGTCGTCGGGTGTGGCGAGCGGGGACCTGTCGCCGTCGTTTCATTCGATCCCGCACTGACAGCTCAGCGGATGCGTTCCTTGTGCCGCACCGCTACGCAGACGTCTATTGAGGTCAGAAAGGAATCATGTGCCGAGGGCCCGTCACTTGAGGACTCCAAGGCAACGCGACACTGCCCATTCTTCCGACTGCGTGAAGGCAGCGAAGAACATGAGAGAACATGTCAGCGTAAAGACCGAAAACGCTTCGCTACCTACCGAGGTGTTTCTGCTCACAGCCTGAGAAGTATTCAGCGTATGGAAACCGCAAAGCGGAAGCCATGCAGTCGTAGCAGTGCCCGGCGAGTGTCAGATCGACGTCAAAGGACGAGGTCAAAACCGAACGTGTGGCTATGTAGCCAGACGCATCCGCGCCCAGTCGGGATACGTTCCCTTGTAGGGCCAGCGATTTGTTGAAAATATGCGCAGAAGATGCTTCGATGAAGTTGGCATCTGAGCAAGAGGCGAAGCAGCTTGTAATGAGAAGCACAGACACGAGCGTGTCTTTGGAGAGTGGACGCTCTTCTATCTTCGTCCGATGCGAACGGCTCCTATTCTCACCGGCGTGAGTGCTCGGGCTATGCTGGTTTCAGTACCATGACCTTTCCCGCAACAGCTGTGCGCTTACCTAGCTCAAAGGCCTCCGCCCTTTGTCATCAGGTAGCTTGACAATGGGTCGACGCGGGCCGTGGCTAGAGGGGTGCCCGTGAATCTACTCTGCCTCAGGATATGATGTTCCGATAGCTTCAGGCCGCTGTCGTGCCACAGGTTGCGAAGCTCATGAGATGTGAATGAAATTTCGTCGACATGAGGGCTGGTTGAAGAGGCAAGCGTCGTAGGTATATGGGAGTCCTGGAAGAGTTGGCATGGATTGCCGGCAAAGCCCGGGCACCATTTACTTCGAAGTGGTGGCGTCTCCTAGAGCCTATGCTCTCATTCTCCTATCATGAAGCTACTTCTATGAGTCTGAATGGAACTTCGACTCGGATTGAATAGATATATCCCTCTGACAGATCCTCAAGAGTTCCCGCTCTCATCTGCCATTTGTTCACCCTCCGCGTCAAATTAAATGCCAAAAATCTGACAATGACCTGCTGCACGGTCTTTCTACCGGCAAGCAGCAGAGGTCCCGTTCAACAAACATGCCCCTCGCCTTTTACTAGGGGCATCCGGGATGGGGCCTCACAATATGCTGCGGTACAATCTTTGGATCCTTTCGCCTTTCAGGCGATGCTTCTTTCTTTTTAGCCTCTGCCTACAGTAGCCATGATTCGGTGATTGCGGTATCGTATTCCGTAGGGGATATCGAGGCGAGGATCAATTGATGCCCTCCACGCCAGTGGCGCCTGGTTCGCCCAGCTGCGTACACATGATATTACATACACGACCCTGCTCCAAGTTTACCTCCCCCACTTAGCGCTTTAGCGTCCTTTGCTTCTCTGCGAACTCAACGATCTTCCTGTCGACAAACATGCCTTTCCGGTCGCGGACGCTGTCCATATACGCTTTGGCAATGTTCGACCGATCGGCCTTCTCGCCAAGGTCCTCGAGCTCTTCCTCAGTCTTCGGGACCCAGAAGGGATCCTGGTCAAGGAGCTCGTAGCCGCTGAAGATAAGCTGCGGGCTGGCTGCGCCGGAGGTGCGTTTGCGGATGTCTTGGGGTCGATCGGTAAGAGCGAAAAGGCGACTGAAGAATGGGCATACCATCGGCGAACCCGAAACTCTCTGCGACGGGGATTAAAGCGGTGACGGTGAAGAAGGACGTGCCCTCCTTCATCTCTTCGGCGACGATGCGTCCGCGGCGTTTCGCGACGACGCCATAAACCTTGCCAAGTACATCCGCTGAGATACGATGAGTTATGCATTCGGAAAGAGTAGGGGCACAACGCACTCGAGCACTGGATATCACAGGAGTACATCGCTAGCAGCAGCCGAGGCGACCAGTCGAGCAGCCCATTGCGGCAGGCATCGCGCACGCCAGTGATCACACTGCCTACCAGCTGCGCCATCCGGTTTTGCTCTGTGGATGTCATCAGTCAACGGCGATGGTGTCGACGGGGCTCCTCACCTATCTCGCGCTCAAGGGCCTCCTTATCGACTTCCACACTCTCCACGAAGTACGCTAGGCCTTCGACCGGTTCAGCACACAAAGGACCTTGGAACGTCGCCAGCTGAAAGCCAGTCTCGATGTGATTGTCGAGTGCCTCGATCCGCTTGTCCGCTTCGCCGGATAGGTCTATGTCTTGTCCACGACTTTGCCCGCGATCGAGGCGGCGCTTGAGGCTGCAGATTATCAGGTTCCCCGCTACATCGCCGCGAAACGAGGGAACTCACGATCGCTTGCTATCCGGCCGCGTGTCTACCAGAACACACCCACCCGCTCTTTGCGGCCCAAAAGCCCATACCCGCTCAGGCATGCTCGCCCACTCCCCACCAACCTTCGTGCAGACTTCCTTCAACGCGTCCCAAAACTGCTCGGGCCGCACAGTTGCCTTCCTAGCCACCTCGCCCTGGACGTCTACCTCGACATCGAGCTCCAGTTCCGCGTCCGCTTCGGCAGTGCTTTGACCGTTCTCCTGTTGGCCGCCAGCGGACTCGGCCTTGAAGTCCATCTTTTTTATGACGGAGATGTTGTCCTGAACGAAGTCGAGGATGGGCTTGGGCAGAGGTGCGGCGCGGATGGTGAAGGTGACGACGTCGTGAGCGGAACTGCCGCGGATAGTGCCGCGCGGTGCGTTTGGTGTTTTTGGCGGTGCCATGTCCGGGGCCTTGACGGCGGTCTCTCGGAAGGGTACGATGGGTTTTGAGGCCTGTATCTCGACCTTCGCGAATCGTTCTCGAAGGTCTTTGAGACACCGCTGGAGGGCGTGTCAGCATGTATGCGCGCTCGCCAATCCTATAGGCGTACCTCAAGGTGCAGTTCTCCGGCGGTGAGAATGACATGCTCGCCCGTATGTTGCTGGAAGGTCTCCACGCACGGGTCCGCCTGGCTGAGGAGCTTCAAGCCGTGTACCAATTTTTGCAGGTCTGCGGGCATCGCAGGCTCCAGTGCGACGCGAACGATGGGCGGAGTCTGAAGAATCTGATTAGCCTAGGACGAAGGATCATTCAAGAAAGACCTACAGCGCGATTGACGCTTCCCAAATTGATAAGATACTCCCTCATCTTCGCCTCGTCGTCAACGATATGAGTTCCACCCGCCGCGGCGCACAGCGTCCCACTTCTCAACACCTTCCCCTCCAAGCCACGGATCGCGAATATGTTCCCAGCTCGCACAACGTCGACCGCCTGCAGCTCGCGGCCCATCATCACATACAGGCCCTCCACCGTCGTGGTTGACAGGTACCGTGCGTTCGCGGAATGCCGCGGACCGAGTGCAGCATTGTATTTGGGCAGGACGCAGTGAATGGTGGCGCCGACTTTGAGGGAGCCGGAGTAGAGGCGGGCGAAGCCGAGGATGGCTTCGGCAGCGATTTTAGTATCTTTCTCCTCGTCGGCTGGCGTCGCGGAGGGTGTAGCCGGGATGTCGACACCTTCGGGCGCGGGTGTGGTACCATTGGCTTGTTGCTGCGCTTCCTGCTGCTGCTGCTGGTCGGCTTGCTGCTGCCTGGCCTCGCGAGCCTCTCGCGCCTTGGCACGCATTTCGTCAGCCGTCATTGGGCGCTTCTTGTTCTCTGGAAGATCGCTTTCTGCTACCGCAAACATCTTGCTGACATATGCTACGACGAAGGCATCGGCGTCGTCGCGAGCGGCGTATAGGTCCTCCTCGAGCTTGTTCTTCGGTGCGATGGTGGCTTCGCGGAGGTCGGGGTAAAGCATCTTGGGTATGCGGGTAGCTTGAGCGTTGTGCGGGGCTGGAACGACATCGATGGCTGCTTGGATGATACAAGAGGAGAGGGGAAGCCATTGCGTAAAGATGAGCGATAGTAAATGACGAGTATCCTTGCTACGCAGGTCGCGGGGGAGAATTTTGAGGTTGAGGGCGGAGACGATCTTGCTTGTCTTCTCGGGATCGCTGTATAGATTGTGGAATGAATATGAGGCGAGTGCATGATATCAAGGACGCACTTACGGATTCAGTACGACCGCGTCGTATACAGCCCAGATGTTTTCGAGAACGAACTTGACGAAGATAGGCTTGAGGGGTCGACCGGCAAGGTGCTTCGAGCCGATGGCCTTCTTCGTCTTGGGGTCGAAGTAGTAGTCGCCCCAGAGCGCTCGACGCAGGCCAGCCTCACTGAACCCGAGCTTCGCGGCGTATAGCGAGGCAAACTTGCTGACGCGGAATCCCCAGCCGTCGATTGCGGAGGCGAAGACGACGTTCCCTTTCTCGGGCGCGAAGTAGATGTCCTCATCTTCGAGTTCGCGGTAGTCCTGCTCGTCGCCTTCGACGGCTGCATCTGTCTCGCCGGCGAGCGCGTCCTTCTTCTCTTGGAGGCGCCGCTTGCGCTCTTCATGCCAGCGCAAGTCGTCCTCCATGCGGTCTGCGGCAAAGAAGGAGCCCATGACAGCGTTTACATCCTCGACTAGGCGAGTGAGGTGGTGGTGCGCTTCGGTAGGGGATAGCTTGAGCTCGGTTATGAGACGATCGAACTTGTTGATGACAAGGATAGGCTTGAGGCGGTCCTGCCATGCTTGTCGGAGGACGGCGGTGGTCTATACTTCCCGCGTCAGTGATGTATAAAGAGGGGACAGTGATCGAGGGACGAACTTGAGTGCAAACGCCTTCGACGACGTCAACCAGGACAAGTGCACCATCGCACAGGCGAGAGGCGATGGAAACTTCCGACGAGAAGTCCACATGTCCCGGTGTGTCGATCATGTTGACGATGTACGTCCTGTTGGGTTGGCCTGTGGCGCGTAAGCAGGCACATACTTCTCTCGCCGATCGTCCACTCACCCTCGCCCCCCTTCACATGGAACTTCAGCGACACGGCGCTGCTCTCCATCGTAATCCCGCGCTCCTGTTCGTCCTCACGACTGTCCAAGTAGCGCATCTTTCCCGCCATACGAGACGAGATGATGTTGTTCGCGGCCAGAAGCGCATCCATGAGCGTCGTCTTCCCATGGTCGACGTGTCCAAGGGTCGTCAGGATGCGCACATTATTGGGATCGGGGGCCTCCATAGTGCGGAGCGTGGTGAAGGGAGGAAGCAAGGAGAATAAAGACAGAGCCGCGCAGAGTCATGATGACGGATCCAGATGAAGGATCAATTGCTGCCCATCAATTGAGACGGCGCGGACCAAGTTGCATCTTGCCGTCATCTCTGCAGTGCTCACCCTTAGACTGACTTGATCTGACTGGCGACGACTATGGCGCCCCAAGATTCTGTGTTGGAACATGCTCTCCCGATGCCCTCAATCAAGAAGTTGAAGGGCAAGCGTGTTGTCCTCGCCTCCGCCAGCCCTCGGCGGAAGGAGATACTCTCGCGTTTCGTACCTGCTCTTTCTTTCGTCTTTCTACTAGGTCTAACACAGTGCGAAGGGTATCTCGCCGGAGGTTGTACCATCCACGTTTGAAGAGAACCTGCCTGTGTCTTCCTTCGAGGATATTCACGAGTATCCGGTGGCAACTGCTCAGCATAAGGGCGTTGAGGTCTACGAGCGACTTGTTGTAAGTAATGGTACTTATATCATCCATTCATGGACAGTGTTGACAGGACGCATCAGGCAGAGGACCCGGATAATCCACCAGACCTTGTCATCGCCGCCGACACCGTCGTCCTTACGCATGCCGCACCAGTCGTCGGCCAAGTACACGAATCACTCTTACCTCCCATGACTCAAGAGATCCTGGAAAAGCCGGTCGACAAGGAGGATAATCTGCGCATGCTCCTTGACCTGAATGGCGGCATTTGTGAGGTCGTAACGGGCGTTGTTCTCAGTAAGCTTGCATTAAACCGTTATACGGATGAAGCTGATGGAGTATAATTCTAGTCTACCCCATCTTGACGGCTCCGGGCTACGGGATGAAGTGCGCGCATGTTCTCTCCATGACCGAACGGTAGCTGACGTCTTGCAGGTCTCTCGATGAGCGGACTCTCGTTCACTTCGCGGACAATCCTCCGGCGCTTGTCAAAGCTTATGTCGACAGCGGCGACGGACTGGGCAAGGCAGGGGGCTTCGGTGTACAGGTACGCTCTACTATTTCTCCAAGGGCTCCTGCTCCGCCACCAAGGGTCACCGAGCTATGGAACCCTGGACTAACAGTGCCTCCCTACAGGGTAACGGCGGTCTCCTCATCAGCAAGGTTGAAGGTGACTACAACAACGTCGTTGGCTTCCCTGCATCGTCGTTCTTCCGCTATCTAGAGATCTTGGTCGAGGAGAACGAGGAAGAGGGTGGGGACTTTCTGTCGATAGATTAGAAGGAAGATGGCAAGAGGCGATGGCTGCTAAGGTTACTACTGATTCTATCGTCTGTTACTGGACCGCTGGATACATTGCTTGATTCGTGGTCTCGTTTGAATACAGTAGCCCATTTTCTCGTCGTGCAAGACCCGCCAAACGGGGACCCACAACCCATGTCGAGATGTTGAAGTTGTCCTTTGATTGCCGCCGCCGTCACACGGACGTCGAGCAGCCGGCCCGCCGCATTCGTCCGATGCTCAGATCGCTCACCCCAGTGGTGAAGCGCCCACCGATATGGCGCCCTCCACGAACGCCTCACCGCTTGCTCTCGACTACGAGGGCCCTCAGGAATGCACCGAAGCCGCCTCGACCGGAAAATAATGGGTTGCGACCAGAGGACACGAATGAGGCGCGGCAAGCTGGAGAGGCACGCCCAGCGGATGAGGATGCCAGCTCGACGCCAATAACCTTGGACGCACCGACTCGTTCGTCTGCACCTATAGATGATTCTACGAAGCCTGAGGAGACGCCCGTCAAGCCTGCGGACGGTACAAGTGCATCTGAAGACGCTCAGAAATCACTTGAGGATTCCGCGCGCGAGTCCCACTCTACTTCCTCGGACTTCGCATCGTCCTCGCATCCGGAATCAGCCTCCAACTCTCCCTCTGACCCTTCAATGCCGTCGAAGGCAGAGGAGATCCTGGCTCAGCTGCAGACCCGCCTGCGCGAATTCGCCGAGCAGACCGCGATCGCCGTGCGGAACCGCGCAGACGACTTCACGGCGCGATCCAAGTCGACGTTCTCTCAGCTTGGCGCGGAGCTCAACCGCGTCACTGGCTATGAGGAGATCGACGCGCTCAAGAAGGATGTCGTGGCGCGAGGTGCGTAGCACAGTCTCTTTTCCGCTTCATCTTAACCAACACACCTACCTCCCCTCAGAAACCCACATCAACGAAGCCCGCAAAGCCGCTCGGGACGCCAAGCTTGCGTACGAACGCGCCGTCCTCCAACGCTCCAACTCCCAGCGCGAAGTAAACGACCTCCTGCAGCGCAAGTCCACCTGGACGGACACCGACGTCTCCCGCTTCACCACGCTCGTCCGCGAGGACCATCTCTTCGAGCAGGCCGAGCTGCGCGCCAAAGCACAGGCCGACGCCGCCGAAGAGGCCGTCGAGCGCGAGTTCACTGCGCTTATGCAGGCCATCCTCGCGCGCTACCATGAGGAGCAGGTCTGGTCGGACAAGATCCGCAGCGCGAGCACGTATGGCCAGCTAGCCGCGCTCGCGCTCAACTTGCTCGTGTTCATCCTCGCGACGATCGCGGTCGAGCCGTGGAAGCGCCGGCGGCTCGCAGCGACGTTCGAGCGGAAGGTCGAGGAGCTGAGCAGGGAGATGGAAAGGACTGTGGCGACGGGCATCGCGGGCGTGAGCGAGAAGATGGAAGCGCAGAATGTGGCGGCAAGGGAGACGATTGCGGTGCTGCTGAAGCAGATCGAGCTTGAGCGGGAGGCGAGGGAGCGGGAAAGGTCGAGGAGTGTGGCACAGGCGGCGTCGGAGTTGTTGGTCGGGAAGGACGAGAAAGCGTACGAGTTGACGACGGTGGCAGCTACGACTGCTGTTGTGGCGGGGCTGCTGGGGTGGCTGTTGCGCAGTTCCTTGACTTGATTTACCTCTGCACTTCGCTTTGCAATGCACATCGTCGCTCCCTCGCATCCCATTCATCGGGCCGTCCCATTGTGCTGAAGATGACAAGGTACATATACATAAGCTAAGTTGTACATCGCTGGGTAATTCGGCCTATCGCCCCTCCTTTTTGCACTTTTCTGCCTTCCTACGCATCCCCGACGGCGCCAGGCGTACCCGGGTTGCCCGCCGTCCTCCATGCCGCCAAAATCAAGCTGACTACGTCGTCAATCCCCTTATCCTCCCGCACGCTTGTGAACACCGTCGGTCCATCGCCGCGCATGAGCTTCGAGTCCCGGTCCATCACCTCCAGCGATGCGCCGACGTGGGGCGCAAGATCGATCTATGGCGGCGAGTGGAATGAGTTTGGCGAATGGTGACAATATGGGACGAGAACCCTCGCAGACAGCCATTCACCTTGTTGATAACGAGCAAGTCCGACTGCGAGATACCCGGGCCACCTTTGCGAGGAATCTTGTCCCCGCCCTGTGTCCCTCGTCAGCCAGCCTTCCTCTCCGACTTGACTCTAGTACCCACCGACACATCAATCACATAGATGATATAATCCGCCAGCTCCCTCGAGTAGTTCGCCGCAAGATTGTCCCCACCGCTCTCCACCAAGAGCAACTGGCAGCCGAACTTCGCCTGAAGGGTTTCTAGTGCGCCCATGTTCGCTGAGATGTCCTCGCGGATGGCGGCGTGGGGGCAGCCACCGGTCTCGATGGCGAGGATGCGCTCGGCGGGGAGAGCTTTGTTTTTGATGAGGAACTCTTGGTCTTCGCGCGTGAAGATGTCATTGGTAACGGCGGCTGTGGGGAAATTAGGATGGGTTGGCAAAGAAGGGATTGTGTGGGGATGAGTAGGGATCAGGAAACTGGGATGATGGCGGACGCACCGATGTTGTATTCCTTGCGGAGGCGCTTGCATAGCGCAAGGGCCAGCGCAGTCTTGCCAGAGCCTACGGGGCTGGGGGGCGCAGATGAGCGATCGCAGCGCGGAGCAAAAGTAGATGACCACGCACCCTCCAATACCGACCGTAAAACCGCGCTCCTCAAAGTTGCGCAGGCTGTAATTAGGCATGTCGCGCTCGGAGTACTTCCCTGTAGGTGCCATGGTGGGGCGCAATGAGTACTCGCCCTTACGCGCCGCGCTACAGCCCGCCCAACCACCTTACCTGCGCTCTCGAGGTGCTCATGCGTGTGTCCGTGCTCGCCTCCGTGATCGTGAGTGTGCGCGCCCGCGCCGTGGTCGTGGGTGTGCGCGGGCGGCGGAGAGCCCGAGGAGGAGAGGCTGTTGATGAATTGGACGTTCATCGCGGAGGGTGGAGGGGAGACGGAAGCTGACGAGATGGGGGAAGTGCAGCGAGATCGCAGATAATGGGCGCCTATCTTATCGCCGTGGCCAACTCAGCAGCAGGTCACGAGTTCGCGACTTGGAAGTTCAACTCGAAGTCGAAGCTAACCGGCTTCCAAGTACCTCTGCCGTCGCATATTGGGCGAGTAGCAGTCTTACCATTCGACAGCGCTGCAGCTTTGACATGAGACTTCGAAAGCGCCCTGCTTACAAGTACATAGTATTTCGTGAGCCAGTGAACATCTCGTCATGTCATTCCATCTTCAAGGCAATCATGCCCAGCGAAAGACAATCACCTTCACCCTCTCCCGACGAATGGCGCTCCAGAGGCCCTTGAAAGTGATTAGCAGATTTTCTCATGGATTACAAGAGCGTCCACTCACATGATATTCATCTCCAGCACCGTCACCTCGTTCGGCAGCTCCGCGATATGCACCACCGCGTCCGCGACGTGCTTCACGTCGAAGGTCGGCTCGACGAGCAGGCGGTGCTCGAAAGTGCCGTCAGGGTGGAGGGTGCCATCCGGCTGCTTCGCGCCCGCTTGGTGAACGGACATGAGTTCGGTTTGGGTGTTTCCTGCGAAATTGTTGGTCGATGAAGTGCAGGCCGATGTGCAAAGAAACGAAGTGGCAGACTGGGAATGCTTGAGCACGCACCTATGTCAATTTGCGTGCAAGTGATATTGAAGGGACGGCCATCGAGGGCAGTCACCTTCGTAAGCCCAGAGATGGCATGCTTCGAGCAGGTATAAGGCGCCGACTGGGGTCTCGGGACATGCGCGGAAAGGGAGCCATTGTTGATGATTCGCCCTGGAAGGCCAAGTCGTTAGCTACTCAGCGAGAAGCGTATGAAAGCATACTAACCTCCTTGCGGCGTTTGCGCCTTGAAGGTCCGTACGGCCTCTCGGGTGAAGAGGAATGGCCCAACGAGGTTCACGTTGAGGACGCTTTGGAAAGCTTCCAGTGAGAGGTCCTCGATAGGTACTTGCGGCACGTTCATCCCGGCGTTCTACAGCGGCGTCAGCTTGCGTCCTCGATTATACAGCGAATGAGCAGATATACACATTGAAGACCATGTCGACTCTGCCTATACCCAGATATCAGCTTTTCTGTCAAGATAATAAGATGTTCAACCCACCAAATATCTTCACCGCATCCTCAAAGACATACTTGACGAAGGCCTCGTCCGTCACATCGCCGACGCATATCCTCAGCTTCGCAGAAAAGGGATAGCGGTCGCCGCCGCATCGACCCGCAGTGATCTCCAGCTCATTACGGCGGCGAGCGACGATGGATACATTCCAGCCTTTCTGTACTAGTGCGATGGCTGTGGCGCGTCCTGTAATGAGATCACGGTGTAAGTAGAACGCTCTATACAGGCATTGACAAGGTTCACGATCCACTTACCGATCCCGGACGATGCGCCTGTGACGATTGCAGTCTTAGCCATCGATCACCGTCTAGAGCCTCGCAGATAGTGGGCGTTGCCGATAGAAGAGCGTCATCCTGCCCGTCCCCGTGAGTCCGAGAAATATGGAAGTTTCCCCGCGGGGCGAGTGCGTTGAGCTGGATGGGGATAGCCCGCGCTTTGAAGACCGTTTTGGATACTTAGGAGAGGTCTAGGCCTCTATTGTGAGCCTGCAGGTCGAGCGTGAATGCCCTTCATCATGATCATCAGCGCCCCCAAGAGCCTGGACGTGCACCATGCTCTCCTCCTCCTTCCCCTCCCGAGGGCGAGGCCTCGGTAAATCGCGCCATCGGTTGGCTGCAGACGCGTCCCGGCAGTCGGAAAGGTGGAATGTGTCACCCGCTTTGACCGAACTCCCAGCGCGTCTCGCGCGTGTGGGCAGGTCTGATGTCACCCCCGCCCCCATGTCGCGGAGCAAGGCCAGCCGCTGACGAGACGGTGCCTGCCCGAGACCTGGGAGGCGGCACCAATCGCAGACATTGGTGTGGGCTATAAAGGTGGGTGGGGAGGTGTGAGAACGTCAGTACCCCCGCGCTAGTCAAGTCGCATACACCTTTCGCGCCACCTCATCCTACACTTGGAAGCCACGCCTTGCAAGTCCAGCAAGCACCTGCTCACCTCACCAATCACCTTTGGAACCCGCCCATCCATCACACCCTCGGAATGCCTTCCTCGTCATACACCTCAAAGGCGGCGCACACGTTTGCGCTCCTCCTCAACACGCCCATCGCCGACGAGAAGAGGATGCCCTCCGAGTTCCAGATGCAGGACATGACCCATCTCCGGGCGCGGTCGATCGAACTTGCCCGCTCACGGACACCGTCCCTCGACTCGCTTGACCTCGACTCGGATTCAGAGGTAGTGAGTAGCCCACATCCCCGCCGCGCAGGGAACGTGCTGACGACGCTACTGCAGTCCGAGCCCACATCACCTATAGTACCCGCCGACATTGAAACACCTGCCCCCACGCCGCAGAAGCGCCGTAAGTCGTGGTTCATGGCATGACCGAGTCGCCTTTCTTCATTCACTTTGTATCTTATCTTGTGAGTGTTTGCGAGATGGGTGGTGGGGGCAAACGGCTGACGACGCGACAGATATTATCTCATCCATCTACGAAGTACATTATCAGCCTACCGTAATCGCAGCCCTACGGCTTGCTGGAGAACGCATTGAAGGATCACGCACCATGGAATAGTTTAGGAGGACAGCATTGAACTTGCATGTATGTTGCTAGAGGAACGATTGGAGGTTTCGTCCACAGGACATGATCATATCACGAAGGGCCTGCTTATTGGGCGAGTAGCCTTCCTTAGTCTGCAGACCTGAGACCCATAAACCGTGCGGGCAGGCGACGATAGTGAAGGCACAGCAAGCAGATGATGGAATCCAGGAAAGCTAAGGATACAATGCGTGCAGGACGAAACTGAGGACCGAAAACAAAGGCTTATGTCGCCGTGGGGTCGTGAAGCACCGCTAACAAGTATCGCTCGTCTGTGGAAGTACCGTCAGCGACCAAGCTCGGGCCTTTGACCACTACACGCACCAGGCGAGATCATAATCTCATGTCTCCTTGTCCGTATCCGCATGAAGCGCACGTCGTCCTGCATAACGATGTCGTCAGCACACATTCCAGTTCACATGAGCCACGCCCACGCACCGCATCCTGTTCCCCGTGATTGACTTCCTCCAACCCGACCCGCACGCTCTCCACGATGCGCGCGATCGCATGCGCGTACTTCCTCCCCTGCTCGCCATCGAACACGACGCCCGAGTGCCTTATGATACTGACAGGCTGCCCTCGTGACAGCAGAATGTACCCCAGCACCGACCGATGTGAGGCGAGCAGCGTCAGCGTCTGCTCGAGCTCGGGCGACATGGCGGGCGGCGGGTTCGTTGAGGTGCTGGCATGGTTGGCGGTGGTGTCGTGGTCGGGGAGGAAGGAAGCGCGGGCGGGTGTTATTGGTGTGGACATCGTGGTCGAGGCCGCGGTGGGTATTGGGTGGTGGGCGGACGAAGGATCGGGCCAAGGCGCGTGGTGATGTTGGAGGCCGGAAGGGGAAGTGGGAGGCGAGGCGATGTTTGGCTTTGTTGACTTGAGCTTTGTTCGTGCCATCGTCGAGGTGTCCGTGCGACTCAGAAAATCATGTCCTATGGACGATTGATCTCTTTGCAGGCAAACACTATATGGCAGAGGGGTGGCTAACCTTTAGCCATGTGGCGGACCGTCCGGCGGGAGGGTCACTGCAGTACGCGCGATACCTGGTATTGTTCGCGCTCACTGACAAGCATCCAGGGCCTGATAATTTCCTGCGAATGTCAAAAAGCACAACACATCGTGTATACCTGTGTTCGACGTCTAGATAGAACTCGATCAAGGCGGACTGATAGTTAGGCCTAGTCCGCTCGCTGCTCAGTTTGCCCCTAATGTTGAACCAGGCCAGCTCAAGACGTTCATGATAGCATGAGGGTTGATGAATCCTTGGCAGCATATTCCTGGTCAACGGCAGAAGGCTTGACGCCGGCCGCTTGCGCTGTTCGACATTCTTCGGCAACTGCCGGTGTCACGTCGAAGTCACGTTCGCGTTGTGGACGCACCTTGCCGTCATCACTCATGAAGGGCGCTGCTGGAAAGTCGTCGAAGAGGGCTGGCCCCTCGACTGCTACCAAACTCGACAAGGGAAATGTGAGCTAACGTCTTCCCTGTACTGTGATCATGCCTCATCGTCCTAGCCAGCAGCAAAAACTGCAAACACTTTTGGTTTTTGGGTCCGACTGGCTCGGACGCCCTTGGTATTAGGCGCGGTTGTTATTGCGCTCCTCGCATACTCTTTATATCCTGTGAATCTTTTGGATGGACATCTGTGGCGTCCCGACCAGGGATATCTATCACATACCGGCGACAGCGACAGTGATGCGAGCAAGTTCGCCTTGGCTGACCTGCCCGGAAGAGGCAAGGGGCTGGTTGCTGTCCGCGATATCGAGGTAAATATTCCCTTACCACTTATGGGAGCTGATTATGACCCAACCTAGCGCGGCGAACTCCTCATACGAGAGAAGCCCTTATTTCGGGTACCTTTCTCGAGTAAGCATATCCTTCCTTTTTTCTCACTGTTGCGTCTAAACTCTCATCCTATCATAGCTAGCAACCCCAAAGGCGTCATCGCAGAAGGTTTACGCGCCGCCTCTCCTGAAGGCAGAGCAGCCTTCTTCGACCTCTCCTACGTCGGCCTACCGGACGACTTTGACCCCGCGTCCGACCCCGATGCGCACGCCCTCGCGATCTTCCAGACGAACGCCGTCGCCGCGGGCGATATGGTGGGCATCTTCCCCCGCATGGCGCGCCTGAACCATGGGTGCGTGCGCGCGTTCAATTCGGTGTACTCCTGGAGGGAGAAGGAGGGCGCGCTGGTGGTGCACGCGCTGAAGCCGATAGCGAAGGGAGAGGTGCGTGGGGCTCGGGTTAGGCTTGAGGATAGCCTAGGGTGGCTTATTGTCGAGCCTAATGGTATCCCCAAGCCTGAAGGCGGATGACCCTACTGGCGGCTGACAGAGGTCACAGGAGCTGCTCACGACGTACTTTGATACCAAGCGTGCCCGAGATGACCGCAGGTGAGTTGGATCCAGCTTTCTTAGTCCAGCATACTTCTTTCCCTTACAATCTAATCTATTGGGTTGCATCATGCTAACGCGCGCCTATTAACCTCAGGGCGCATCTGAAGGAGCGATATGGCTTTGAATGCAACTGCTCTGTGTGTGCATTGCCGGAGGCGAAGTCGAGCGCCTTGGATCGCCAGTTGGCAGATATGGTGAACGAGTACGCACGGCTAGCAAGTTGGGCCGAGGGCAAGATCACCGGGCTCGAGGCCATACGGACTGTCCGACTGCTGTGGCGGTTGGGTACGTCCACGGGCTACCACAGCGAGCGCGGCCGACTGGCAGCGGACGCGGCGTGGGTGGCGGCTGCGCACCAAGAGTGAGTGGATGCTTCCTTTTGTCATCTTGGAGATGAAGATACTGAAGAAGCCACACAGTGCGAGTGCGACGCGGGCGTGGGCAGCCTTGGCGAAGGAGTTGTACGCTTACGAGCTGGGGGTGGATAGCCCAGAGGTGGAGGAAGCGGGGAGGGTGCTGTCCGACCCTAGCGCGCACCCTGCCTGGGGAACGCGGCAGCGGCTTGCTGTGGGTGACACGCGGGGCCTGCGGTGACCGGCGGGTATCGCAACAGGGACTGGGCAACTCCGCGGCATCACGGCAGGCAATGAAGGACCCCCGACTACCTCTTGGGGACATCAGAGTCGTGATGGCGGGCTCTGATGCGCCCTCGGGGACGTCGACGTCGGCGACGGAGGAGACATCGCACGCAATGAGCTCTAACACGTACGTGGCATGTGTGCCAGACACCTAGTAGAGCGAGGTTCTCAATTCAGCCAAACCTCGTCATGCTTTCGTTATGTTTGTCTGCAGTTCGACCCTGCCATTGGTTGTAGGCTGATACGGCTTGACCGTGTTTAGCGACGTGGGGTCTCATCCCAGGCGCAACCCGACCCCACCGTGTACTCTTTCGCCCGCACTTGCTAAGCGGCCCTTTGGGCATAGATACAAGACCAGTGCCGGGCCCGTCGACTCCTCCGGCCTGTTTTCTCTGGAATGGCCGCGCAATAGTAAGAGCTCGAAAAAACGCATATACAGGTAAATCTGCATTAAATGACAACGCGCATCGTGACGCGCTGAGCGCAGGCGTGGAAAAATGTAGACAATCCTGGGTGAGGGAAGGGCAGTGAGCCCCTGCTCCCCCAAACGGATTCTTTGGCCGCGGATATGGGGAAATACCCGCCGAGGGCGCGGTACGAGCTTGGCGGTGAGCGGAATGCTGCACACGCTGCGCAGTTCGTGTATCGTGCTCGCCCCACGACATGCGCGCGCCGTCGCGCTCAAGGAGGGTCATGGAAGGGAGGAAGGGGACATGTGTAAGGTACTACGCACGGCGACAATTCGCTCGCTCGTGCATTCACCTTTCCTCCCGCCCCTGCTTGTGCATTACTCTTGCCTGCCCAACTCTCCTGCTCGCCTTATCTCCTGGTCCCTGCATCCCCTGCTCGTGTGTCAATGCGACGCGCACCTCGTTGTGGAGATAAAGGCAGAAAAAAGAAAGAAAAAAGAGAAAAAAATTCACTGTCGCTGGCTTCATTTCAGCGTACTGACACGGCTGAGCGCAGCCAGATCGGACGCGCGTCGTGTGCTGTGACGCCTCGGCCTTAGCCGACGCCACGTGCTCTGCCTTCACCCCTCGCGGGGGTATTTCCTTTGGAGTTCCTTGAGGTTCTCCTGGTTTCTTATGACTCGTATATATACTCCGTGACTAGTTATGACTACTTACAGCTGTAGGTATAAAAGGGCCCTCCTCCAAGGGAGGAGGGCAAGGTTTTCAATCGAGACTTCGTTACAGAGTAACCTCGTGGGAATCTTCTTCATCATCTCCGTGAGCCGAGCCCGGCCCGCTCTCCGCGTCACCGTACTCGCCTCATATTTTTACTCTCTCGCTCGACGTCCTCGATAGAAACATCGACTTCGACTTCGACAACCAGCAACCAGCAAAGTTTTCACTACCTACCCCTATTCCCCCCGCTAAGGCAACGGACTTGATCAACCCGGCACCCTTCGCGGCTTAATTACCCTTTCTTCCTTGTCGACAATCTCAATGGCGCCAAAAGCTCAACCTCTGCGCGACTCCAGCGGACGTTTCCGCCCTCGCGCAGCGTCGGTTGACACCGGTGAGTCTCAGACCGCGTGGCGTGGTACTGACGACTCCTTCACTAGTGCACTCTCGGACAACGAGTCCGACTCGGGTACGGCGGGCGCTCAAGATGCGCCGCCTGCCACCGCCGATGACCAGGTCATCGAGCATGCGACGGTGCAACACGACGTTGTGCCGTCGTCGGGTGCTTCCGCCACGACGGTGGGGGTATCCCGCCAGGTGTCTGCTCTCGACGGAGCAGACCCTGGAGAGGGCGAGTGGTCGGCCGATGCCGCTGCTCAGTCCCCGACCCACGCGCATGCCGCCGACGGCCTCGTGCCTGAAGCTGGTGCTCAGCCGCGTGCACCGGGTGCTGTGGGCAGTCGCGCTATCGCGCCAGAGTCCACGGAAGTAGATAATACTACGAATAAAATTTTCCCTCAGTATGATGAGAACAGCGAGCACGGGGCTCGCGAGTCCGAAAGCGTGAACGTACCTGAGAGCTCTATCCCCGGAAACAGTAGGGACCGGATGGATAAGGGTAAAGGCCCGGATCTACGCAATTTCGGTAATCTCGACTTCGACGAGGTCGAACACGATCCCGAGATTCAGCGGGACATCCTGGATGCCGCAAATCGAGCTCGGGGATCGCGGGCTCAAGTGCCCAATCAGGGGCCAAGGGTGTCTTTGGCAAATCTGGAACCCCGCGCCGCCGAAAACAAGCAGATCGCCGATCTGTTCGATGCACTCCACCTCAAGACTGTTGAGGCCGCGGACTACGCCGCCCTCAATGCCAAACTGGCGAGGCAGGTCAGCCAGCTCAGTGAGAGGTACGACAATCTCGTCGAACTCCTCACGGATGGGTCTGGCGCCGCACGCTCGCGCGCTGCGAGCGTCGCACGTGAGCGATCGGTGCCGAACGAAGTTCAACCGACACGTGACCTGAGCGCAATCAAGCGCGAGACCGCGGAGGCCTCTGTGCCCCCCGCGGTGCATCGTGAACGTCCTTCGAAGGCTTCTAGTCCCGAAGACAAGCTTCGTCCGAGCTATGTAGCTGGGGGCGAGTCCTACTGGGACAAGTACATGGCTATGATCAGAAGCCGTGTAGTCGGCCTTCCGAGCTCAGACTCGGATGACGACGGACAGTTTGACAGCGCGGGTAAGGCCAGCCGCCTTAAGCCGCAGCCTCCCGAGTCCTACGACGGCCGGGAGGACGATGAGGCCTTCTGGACCTTCGTCATTGATTCTCTTCAGTATGTCACTGATGGTCGAGTGGCAGCCACTCGGCAGGCCGACGTTGTCTCGCGTTGGCTCACTGGCAAGGCCAGAAGGTTCTACAAGCAGAACTACATGCTTAGTGCTTCTCGAAGCGCAAATCTAGACGACTTTTTCAGAGATTTATTCGATCACTGTTTCAGTCTAAACTACAAAGACAAATGTCGTACTCGGTACAAGTCCTGTATCCAAGACAATCGCGATCTCCGCGACTACATGCACGATCTAGAGCGCTTCTGGGTGGTGCTGACTGAGGAGACCAGCCGAAACCGGGTCTTGAAGTTTTGGGAAGGCCTTGACTCCTGGCTCGTGAAGCGCCTGATGGAGGACGGCTTCAGCAAAGAAGTTGATGAGTTAGAGCCTACGTACCGACGTGCTCTGCAGCTCTGGCAGGCTAGCTACGCTGCCCGAGCCCAAGCGAAGGGCAGGCGCCCTGACGACCATGGTGGATCGCCCCCCAACCGCGGAAGCGGCACGGGTGGCGCATCTGCATCGTCCCGACGTTCTGGAGGCGGGAGCTCTTCTGCTCCCTCCTCTAGGCCGCCAGCGAACGCGTCTGCTGCCGCTGGAACGCGCACCTCGAGCTCTAATGAACGCTCGAGGACCACTGGAGGTAAATTCAGCGGACAGGCAAGGGGGTCACAACGTACCTCCGCGCCGAATGGAAGGAGCGCGAACGGTCGCGCCCCTCCTAACCGCAAGCCAGGAAAATCTCCTGAGCTCCTGAAGCGCCTCCGTGAAGAGGGGCGCTGCTTCCGCTGTGAGTCTAAGGACCATATAAGCCGAAACTGTCCCGAAGCGAACCACGTACCTTCGACGTCTTCTGGACCTCCTGGTCTCGCGATTCACTCGGTGGCAATCGAACAGGCACGTCTGCTCGACCAGAGACGTGCTGGCATCACTAACACGACTACATTGTCAGTCAATATGGTTCAGTTCGAACCCTCGCACGACTCACCTGGGTCTAACCCGGACAGTACACGCTGCACGACGTGCTCACCGCCGTGGGCAACACACGTCCTCGCGGACTGTCCGCTTGTCTGTGGCGACGTTCCCGGACGCCCCCACCTCTACGTGCAGCCGCTCTTCGACTACTACACGCGAATTGCGCTGCGCACGAGGCGCGAGCCTCCCAAGTTTTGCTCGGGCGACGACTTGCTCGCCCTCTGCGAGACACCCGAGTATGCCGATTTTATCGGTCGCGCCTGCGACCCTTCATACGTTGGCGACTTGGGGCAGTGGCGGGTGCGTGGTGCGTTCGCGCTGAACGCCGTGCGCGCTTGGCCTGGCGACGGCGAGAAGCTGCGCGATGCGATGTTCCACAACCTCGCGCCGCTCTCGTATCTTTGCGATGGCGCGCCCGTCCGTTTCCTGCCAGTCCAGACCCAGGACGATTGTGTCTCCCTCTTCGAGACTGTTGAGGCCGAAGCTGGGCGTCGCGAACTGGCTCCGCTTCGCATCCCGAATGCGTTCTTCATCCGCGAAGGCTTCTCGATGGAGGACTACGTTGCGCGTCAGATATGCGTCGACTTCGGGATGGACACCTCACAGGCTCGTCGCATGGCGTACCTCTACTCCACGGGCACTACCCTCGGGGATCTCGTGCCCGAGAGCGTCGCTTACGCCCTCAACTGGGCAGTCAGACGCGTAGTCGGCGAGGAGCAGCGTCGCGCTGACCTCTCCCGCTTCTACGCCTTCCGGCCGTACTCTGGGTCGCCGGTCATCCTCGTGTGCGACACGCTCCTGGGCGTGTCGTGGGGTCTTCGTCTCAAGGACATTGACGCCGGTATCAACGTCTGGTACTGGTACATGTATCAGCGCATGCGCTACTTCGTGGGTGGGCATCAGAACACGGCTCACCCGAAGCGCTATATGTCGCGCTGGTTCGAGTCGCCTGCTGATGCCGCAGCGCGTCGAAGCTTCGACGTCTTCACGCAGCCCGACGGCGCGTTCCCCGCGCGTTGGTTTCGCGAGCCCGCGGAGGACCTGATTGAGTCCGGCGTGTTCGCACAGGCGTGGGCAACGATGGTGCGCATGGCGTCCAACGTGCCGGTACGTTTCCCAGCTTCGCGTCTTCCATGGCGTCAGCTGACGGTCTTCGCAGTATCGAAGGGGCGCTCCGCGCCGTTGGCGTCCTCGTCCGCACGCGTTGCGCAACGGACAGCCGTCTTCCCGCGGGGGAGCGGCCGCCGCATCCCGAGGCCCATCGTCCTCGTCGTTCGTGTAAGCGGGCATCCCTGCAAGGCGTTAGTAGACTCTGGTTCGTCAGTAGATCTCGTGAGCTCGGCTCTCGCTACTCAACTGCGCCTTCCGCTCATTGAGCACGATGGCCAGGTGTCCATGACGATGGCAGTGAGCGGGTCGCGCTCGAAATGTAATTTTCATACGTCTGTAGATTTTGAATGGTCAGCTATACACGAGCAGCGCGTCTTTGACGTCTTGAACCTCGCGACTTACGACGTCGTCCTCGGGACTCCGTTCCTGTACCAGCATTCCATCTCGTTCTCCATCAACCCGCCGAAGATCCTCATTGGGAGCGTTGAGGCGCTGCCGCTTGAGGGGCCACACGTCGACGACTTGTTCATGGCGAACGTAGAGCCCGAGCCTGGCTCGGACGAGTTAGAAGCTATTCGGAAGCATCTAGTCGAAATGGCCTTACCTTTGTGCAAGACCATCGCGGAGACTGAGCTCCCGCCCTTGCGTGCGATTAATCACACGATTCCCATCATAGACCCCGACCGTCGGTACCCGTTCCGTCGCTCGAATTGCCCTGCAATCTTTCGTGAGCAATGGAATGAGAAACGCGACGCATATATGCGCTCGGGGCGGTGGGAATTCACCACCGCCACGAACACGGTGCCCATGCTTCTCATCGCGAAGAATCAGCGCGAGAAGACGAAGCTACGTACTGTTGTAGACCTGCGCGAGCGCAACGACAACACGCGCAAGTTGTCGTCCCCGCTCCCCGACCAGAACGCGATCTTGCGTCGCGTCGCCGCTGCGAAATATTGGTCAATTCTCGACGGGAAAGACCACTATGAGCAAATACGTGTCTTACCTGAGTACGAAGACGTTAACATCATGGCGACGCCTGATGGTAACGTGAAGAGCAAGGTTATGCTCCAGGGCGACTGCAATGCTGTCGCGACGTGTCAGGCAATAATGACGCATATTTTTCGCCCTTA